CCCCCCCGCTTCCTCTCCAATCCCCCCTCCGCCACCGCTAACGCGAATTGACGCAGGCATTCAGCAATGGCCGCGGTAGCGAAATCGTCTGTATGACCCTCAATGTCTTTGCGCAGCGCGTCGTCGGACGCACCCTCCATGAGCTCGTTCGCAACATGGGTAAGACCTGGCGTTACATGGTCTCAGACTCACAGTACCGCTGGATCGGTCCTGAGAAGTCCGTCACCCACCTCGCCGTCGCTGGTGTCCTCAATGCCGTCTGGGATCTATGGGGAAAGGTGCTTAGCAAGCCAGTGTGGCGTATTGTCGCTGATATGACCCCGGAGGAGATTGTCGGCTGTATCGATTTCAGATATATCACGGATGTGATCACACCAGAGGAGAGCATAGAGATGCTGAAGAAGACCCAGGCTCGGAAGCAGGAGAGACTAGAGGAGGCGTTGGCGGATAAAGCTGTGCCGGTGAGTTTTGGTGGGGAATATTTCAGGGTCGCATAACTGACCCTTCGACAGGCTTATACTACATCACCGGGCTGGTTGGCGTTTTCAGGAGACCGCATGAAGGAGGTTTTGCACGAGACGATTGCACAGGGATACACAGTGTTCAAGTTTAAGGTCGGCACGAGCATCGAGACGGATCGCGCTCGTTTGTCGGCTGTGCGTGACATTTTGGGGTATGATAACGAGTACCAGATTATGATTGATGCGAACCAAGTATGCTCATCTGGACCCTTTCGATCCGGCTTCAAGGCTAACGCGCGTCTAGGTATGGAGTGTACCAGAAGCGATCGAGTATATGAAGCACTTGGTTGAGTTCAAGCCTGTATTTATCGAGGGTATGTCTTGCTTGAATTCCGTAGATGGGTATATCAGATGCTGATACTATCTAGAACCCACAAACCCAGATGATGTCCTAGGACACGCAACAATCCGCAAGGCGCTCAAGCCATATGGCGTCGGTGTCGCAACCGGCGAGGCGGCACAAAACCGCGTCACATTCAAGCAGCTCCTTCAAGCTGAAGCCACTGATGTCTGCCAAATTGACGCTGTCCGCCTTGGTGGCGTGAACGAGTGTTTGGTAAGAGCTTCCTCCTGCATCCCCCTTATTATTTCGAGGGCTAACCCCATTTTGCCAGGCGGTCATGCTCATGGCTCTCAAATACGACGTTCCCTGCGTACCACACAACGGCGCCATGGGTCTCACAGAGTTGACTTCCCATCTCAGCACCATCGACTACATCGCCATCAGCGGCCGCAGGTCCATGTTGGAGAACGCAGACAGCCACCGTGAGAACCTCCGCCACCCATCGAAGATCGTCAACGCACACTACGTGACACCTTTGGCACCTGGATACTCCACGGGATACACGGATGAGGCATTGGAGAAGTACACATACCCAACCGGATCTTTCTGGAGTTCCGAGATCGGCCTGCAGATTATGGCTGCGCCGACTGGCGGAGAATTATAGACTCAATCATAGATGTAATAAATATAACGGCCGTTAAATGAATATCGCGGACTGGAAGATTAGGTGGTGGTTGTGATCGGTGTTAATCAGACGGAGGCCAGCATCCGCTGCTTCCTTCGGATATCCTGGATTATGGAAATCACTGCTTCAAGGCTCGAGTTTGGCGACGCCCATGGCTTGACGTTCTCGATTACCCGGGTCTGCAGCTCGTGGATGTCGGGAACAAATCGTTTCAAGCTGGGGCATAGTGATGCAAGGGTCAAAACAACGATCGCGCCGAGGGATCTGCTGACGAGTTAGCAAACCATCAACCAACCTTCAAATGGAAAGGCTACCTACGATAAAGAGAAGGTCCATGTGTACTGAGAAGCCCGCTTCATGATCTCTGTAGTATTGTATAGATAAATTCGACAGGCTTCTAGACAAATCTCACACTTCTCCATAATATCATCCACTGGCTCGGTGGCTCCATAAGCAACAACGTGCAGGACAAATGGTCGATAGATGATATGCTTGGTGGCGTAATATCGAATCCGAAGAACTTGTTGGCGATCATTCGCTGTAATACTGAAGTCTAAAGCTGGACGTACAGTTTCCGGGATTGACTCATACCACATATTCAGTTGGCGATGCAGCTCGTCGCATATACCCCTAATAGAGGATATGGCAGGAGATGGAAAGGCATTGGATGGGCTGGAGGCATTCAAAGATGTGGCGTGCTTTTGGGGATAAAGCGAATTGTGAATTCGATTGAGTAGGCGTCTAATTGAGATCTCTGCTAGGTAGCAAGTCGACTCTGTCTCATTCAAGTTGTTACAACTCGGAAGAGTCACCTCGTCCGTTAGTTGCTGTAGGCCACTCTGTGGTAACTCGAGTTCGGCAAGCCGATCACACTCGATTAGGAAACAACTCCAGAACAATCTGAGGACACCTTCTTTTTCAGAGGCGTCCCCTTCCTGAGCTCGTAATCTACCAAACATTAGCCCATGGGAATAGATGCTCTGGGGCTAGTGAACCTACCTGGATAACTTGAATTGGAGAATGGTAGAAGCCGAGTATACAAGTCGCCAGCTCTGAAGAGGGCGGACTATATATGCAAAGTAAATGCTCGCGAGTACCAATGCTTGAGGAAGCAAGATATTCCATTCGAGTGACCACGCAGACATTACTATTAAAGCTGGCATTGCAGATTGCATATACTGCATTCCCGGCAGGCTTGTCTCAAAGTCGTGTGGACCATCGGAAGGCAATGCTATTGACCCCAGAGCAAGTACAACCAGACAAAGCGCGCTCTGGACGCTGGAGTCGACTCCAGTCTCCAAAAACCTTGCGTAGATCCTCGAAAACGTATCGTGATCCAAGATGGGATGGCACGGGTGGACCTCTGAAAAGAAGACCGAAACGAGGTAATCAGTGATTTCGCGGTCAATATGGACTATAGGTTGCATTGGCTGCCACCCGTCGAATATGAACTTAGAAGGTAGCGGGTTCCTCGACTCCAGTGAGGAGAAGAGGTTCGTTGGATACTCCCCAATCAGCGCCTTCATCTCCGGCAAACACAGCAGGTAATTCGACGAAGTGATGTGCTTCGCTGGGATCGTAAGGACGGGCAGATCTGCTCCGCCGGTCTGCAAACCGGGAGCATCATAGAACCAAGGGGATGTTGGCCCGTTGTCATTCGAGCGTTGTGCACGTGATGCCGTCAACACCGCGTCGATGGTGGACGTTTGGCTCAGGGGCGAGCTGGAGGGGTTCGGCACCAGTGCCAGTCGTGACTGGATCTCTGTAGACAGTACTTCCATGCTCTGGGCGTGCGACTCGAGCAGACCTTCAATTCCTTGAAGCTTGTTCAGAATCTCTGCATTTGAGGTAGAAGGGTCATCGGCTTCAAACCTACAAAGTAGTCATTAACGTCAGTATATGAAATTTTAAACGTTAAGCTTCCAACTCGGCTAGTTACCTCCGCACAGGCAAGTCGGCATAGTGGCAGTCTGCTTCGGCTTCGATGCAATTGCTACATGATGGCCGGTTGGCGTCACAACGTCTCTTTCTAGCTTGGAGTCAGCGTGGCGTTAGCACAGCGGCGACACAGGCCAAATACCGATGGCGGCAGAAAGTGCAGGCAAGAGGAACCCGTCGACGACTATAACTCATTATAGCCTACAATACATATATTATATGTATAGATCTAAAGTGATAATGATCGAGCTTTGCAAAGCAGGGGTGCGTATCACACACATGCAGGAACACGGAAAGACTCCAAACCCCGATGTTCGGAACTTTCGATCGGCTAATAATCACGTGGCGACTCCACAAATGTCAAAAGAACTGTTGCTTGGCGACAGATGCCCCAATTGAATAATTGGTTTGATGCTCACACTAAAAATAAGTCCCCAACCAGAGTCTTCTACTCTGTTCTGATGGATGATCAAGATACGGTTGTAGACCAGTCACCTGACAGTACCTAAGTTTGAACGTCATGTGACCTCGACCGGCTCACTTACCTAGAGCTAGTAGAGGTTTTTAAGTTACTGGGGTATAGTTTAGCTATTATTACTTGTTAAAATATATTACTACTGTTTTCTATTTAATAGAGAAAGTGTTGGGTCAAGTGGTCTATTCTACTTCTAGCTAAGGAAAGAAATTTATGTATAGTATCGTATGAAAGATGCTCGTAAGGTACCTAGGTATGTAAGGTCAGCTAAATTGGTCTAACAGAAAGTAATCAAGTTATGGCCTTTACTCCTAGGTGATGGAGCGCCCAAGAATTTACTATAATATATATTATAACTACAACTATAAACGGCTACTCCGTTTTTCCATTTCCTAAGTTTATACAAATATGATATATCTTAGCCTCCAAATATAAACAAAGACCCCTGATATCCAGCGAAAGGTCTCCCTCTGGTATCGGTCTTAGGCCTGGGTGGCGGTCTCCAGATGGGTGCTGACCTGAGGCCGTTTCTCCTCCAAGACGGTCTCGCCGTCAACCTTGGAGCCCTCCGCGATTCTGCGGTTCTCAGCGTCGACGAACACCTGTGGCCGGTTGCGCTGTGTCAGCGCCGAGTTGCGGAACACAAACACCGAGCTGCTCTGCAGGAAGATCTCGTCCATGTCCTCAAGGGTGCGGCGCGAGGTTTCGGGATAAATGCAGTACACGATGGGGAAGTAGCAGTATACAATGATGGCGAATACTGCGAGAGACGAATGTTAGCAAGAGGGCCTAAGAGTATAACCTAATGTGGCGCAGGTTAAGTACGTACTAAGGTAAAATCTCCATCCAAGATTCGTCACACCGACCTTGGTGAACTGAGTCACAATGAAAGACCCCATCCAGTTAGTAGCTGTTGCGGCAGCCGCACCACGTGTACGCCATCCCAGAGAGTTGATCTCAGAGTTGTAAACCCATGGAACCTTTCAAATGTCAGTATGGGGTGTTCAGCCTGGCAGGATAAATGTGAAAAGCAGGCTTACCTTCGCGTAACTTGTGCCGTAGAAAAAGTAGTAGAGGAAGAACATAGAGGTTGTGGCAGCACCCATCTGATGGTTTATATTAGTACGGTAAATTGGTTGCAAGGCGTATAGGATACTTACAGCCTTATTTTGTGCAGGATTGATGCCACCCTGGCGTAAGCACAACGCTGCAATCAAGTAGCAAGACCCACAGGTTACGGAGCCATAGAGCATAAGCCTGAAAGTTCGAGGTTAGCAAAATTAATAGATGGAAGAAGAACGGTGGTACATACTTGCGTCGTCCGACCAGATCAATCAAGAGCAAACATAAGAAGGCGGCCCCTAGATATGATGTGGCGTTGCAGGCGGTCAATAGTCTGCTCATCTGCTGGTCGAAGCCAACGCTCTGTTGCAGTAGAGTCGGTAGATAGTATCCTGTTTTATTAAGTCAGCAGTGTTATTACTTAAGCTACGCGTTGCGGAGACATACCAAGCGCATTGACACCGCTGAACTGCTGCATCATCTGCGTTCCGCAAGATAATAATAGGCGGCGGAAGTTTTGGGTCTTATCTCTGAAAAGCAAGACATCCTTGATCGACAAACGATTCTCACGCTCCGCGGCAATTGCAGACCTGATCGAAAGAAATTCGGCGTTGACCTCCGAATCATGGATATCGACGTTCTTGCCGGCCAATCTGGCAATGACTTCGAGGGCTTCCTCTTGTCGGTCTTGTAGGAGGAGCCATCGAGGAGTCTCTGGTAGGAAGGGGAGGACGGTGATGACTATGATCGGGAAGACAAGTTGGAAAGCCAACGGGAAGCGCCATTGTAAAGCACCGCCGCTGAAATAAAGTGCGTAATTCATCCAGTTGGCGAGGCAGAAAGCTGCGGTATTACACAAACTTCCGACCACGACAAGTTTTCCTCGTATACGGGGCTTTGAACATTCGGCTTGATAAACGGGACAAGTCGCAGAAGTCAAGCCTGAGAGTAGGGTAAGTTTCTGAACAGAGCTCGAAAGAAGAGTAATAACATACCCATTCCGAAGCCATTGATGACACGGCCAATGATCATCTGAGGAAGGTGATATGCGGAAATCTGGAGAATAGCACCAACAGAGTTCGCGAAAAGGCCAAGCATAATCGTTCTCTTTCTGCCCATCTTATCTCCGAGGGTGAAGGCGAAGATTGCACCAAAGAAGGCACCAAGCTATTCTCTGGTCAGCAACAACTATTGATGAGAACTGGGAGACAGTTGCCGTACCGAGAAACAACTAGACGTGATACCCGAGATGTTTGGATCTTTGATCTCTGGGAAGTAGTGTATAAAATCTTTGGAAATCAGGACTCCTGAAAAGACACCCTATCGATGGCAAATCAGCCGGCGACCCAGAAGGCCTTGAACGAGCAAATTTACCTGATCATATCCAAACCAGGACATGGAAGCTGATAATCTGTTAGTCTATAAAATCGAGATGGAGATGGAAGCATTCTCACCTGCGTTAGCAAGAGTGATGAAGAATATCAGCCAGTTGCCACGGACATTGTTGATGTAACCCATCTTGACAGGAGGAACACCCTTGGCGTTCAACGATCGAGGATGAAAGTTGGGAGATTAAGCTCGGGCAGAAGAAGGATAAGAGCATAAAACACTCTCCTCTTGTCGATCATACCGAGAAAACGAGAGGGAGGACAGAGAAGTTATAGATGGTGAGAAAGGAGTTGAGGGAGGGAGACCATTGACAGTCCTCTACTACTCGTAGCGTCAAAAATACATGTACCGTGCTCAGGATTGGATGTCCGGAGCAAGTTGGGGTACCTCGTGGCGTGGGGAAGTACGGGGAAAAGAGAAATTTGGGGAAGCCAACTATGAAACCTCTCCCCATTACTCGGGCACCAATTGGTGTGGCGTCCGCCGTCTGGGGTTGGAGGGCGGCAGGGGGGTGCAGAATTGGTACGATGCGGCGGGGATGGGCGGCTTTAAATCCGCCAGGTCTCGTGATGCTGCCGATACCCGCATGGACGGCATATCCCCACATCTACGAGGAGCGCCCGGCGGGTATAGGCGGAAAGGCATTCTGCTCGAGTCAACACCATCTAATGGTCTGGAGAGCGTCCCGCCCGCCACCACATCCAACTTCCAAGACCTTCCTTCCGATGTAGAATAATAATAAGGCCATATTATTACGGAGGTAGACCATATTTCGCTTTTTTCCATCGCCCATGTAACCATTTCCACAGTTGCTCCTTTCCACACAACATTTTTGTATACATTACTCCACACACACGCAATGGCTCCTTCGTACGCTACCCCCATTTCTTCTGGAGGAAATTATGTCTGACAAACTTCAAGATACGTTCTCGTGACGGGTGCAACGGGCTTCATTGGTGCCCATATCGTCGACGTCCTGCTCAGCCATGGCCTCAAGGTCCGTGGTGCAACTCGGTCACTGGCGAAGGGACAGGCGATGATCGATGCGCGGCCAAAATATACCTCTCAACTAGACTTTGTCGAGATCGATGATTTCGAGAGGACAGGAGTGTTTGAGGAGGCTGTGAAGGGAATTGACTCTGTCATCCATGCGGCAAGCGTATGGTCACCCTGTGCATCTCCTGTTGGACATTGACTGAGCAGTCGCAGCCCTTCACCTACGACACAAAAGATAACGAGAAAGAACTCATTATTCCTGCCATCAATGGAGTCAAATCCATCCTGGACGCAGCTTCAAAAAGCGACGTGAAGAGAGTTGTGATCACATCTTCGTTTGCTTCAGTATTAGACGCAGATAGGAAAGCGCCTCCTTATTTCACGTACACCGGCAAAGACTGGAATCCGCTTACATACGAAGAGGCAGCCGACCCAGCAACGAGCGCAGTCATCGCATACCGAGGCTCCAAGAAATTTGCTGAGTTAGAGGCGTGGAATTTTATCAAGAAGGGTGACGCAAAATTCGATATCGTCACTCTATGCCCTCCAATGACATTCGGCCCGGTCGTTCACCCAGTCCGCACTGTAGAGCAACTCAATGAGTCCAACGCGATGCTGTGGAAGATTGCAAGTGGCCATAATCCGTTGCCCGTTGCACGAGTGCCATTCTGGATCGATGTGAGAGATCTGGCAAAGGCGCATGTCGAAGCATTGCTGCGTCCGGAGGTTGGGAACAAGAGATACATTCCTGCTGCGCCTGAAGGATTTTCTTATCAGTTGGCGGCTGATATTATCCTAAAGGAGTTTCCTTGGGCAGAAAGGACGGTCACAAAGACGACAGACCAGGTCATTGACCAGTCTCATGGATTGGATGGCGAAACTGTCACGAAGGAACTCGGGGTTGAATATAAGAGCTTCAAGCAGACGGTGGTGGATCTGGTCACCCAGGCGGTGGACCTGAAGAGGAATAGCACAAAATGAAACTTGCATCTTACTTAGATGATACCTTTAGAATAGAGCTGCAAATCGAGTGCCCTCGTAGATTCGAGAACATCGAGAAATAAACGAACAGAATACCTCCCTCGAAATCACTCGCACACGCTGCAACCGATTAATAAGAATAGAACCATCCCACATGCTCGGCTGCTTGAACCCCATGATCTATTGTTAACCCTAACCTGGGCGGCATCGGCTCGCGGCTCGGGTACGCTAGAGAATAGCTCCGTCGGGTCGGCATTTACTCGCGGACAGCGTAACCAAGAGTCACGGGAGTCGACTTTTGACAAAGGTGGGTAAGAGCGGAATCTTTTTACAGGTCGCAATCCTCGCGGATAAACCGCCTCCTGAGAAATCCCCACTATTTAGCACCTAGTGTCAAGTCTAGCAATAGCGATTGCAATCAACAATGGGGTTTTGTGGAACGCGCATCTGAAAAATTCCCCTCCAAGCTCCGAGTGCCACAAAATGGCCTATATCAGAAGCTGGTGCCCCGGGAAATACCCCCATAGAACCAACAGTCAAAGTAAGAACTGAAAATTTTGCCAAGATGGTGTACCCAGATACTTTCGAAGGCTTTGCCATCACTTCAGGAGACCAGTGGCAGTCCCCTAAGAGGTTTGAAGTGAGTGTCTTCTAGTCTACGCATCTTCTATGACGACTGTCTGACACAACAACTCGTAGTTCAAGCCAAAGCCTTTCGGAGATTTCGATATCGATGTCAAGATCATTGCCTGCGGCGTTTGCGGATCCGACCTACACACAGCAACCGGAGGATGGGGAAACAAGAACTGGCCCCTTGTGCCTGGTCATGGTAAATCTCAAAAACCAGGAAATTCTAGAAATCACACTCACACCTACCAGAGATCATTGGCCACGCTGTTAAGGTCGGCCCCAAGGTCACCTCCGTCAAGGTCGGGGACCGCGTCGGTGTCGGAGCACAGATATCTGCCTGCCTAGACTGCCCACAGTGCAAGGAGGACAACGAGACATACTGCAAGGAGCAGCTGGGTATGTTCCACACTTTGGGGTGTAATAGGGAGCCTGGCTGATCGCAATCACCATAGACACATACGGTTCCGTCTACCCAGATGGCACCTTGGCCCACGGTGGCTACTCTTCCCACATCCGTGCCCATGAGCACTTCACATTCCCCATTCCAGAGGCATTAAAAACCGAGGAAGCTGCACCAATGCTGTGCGCTGGCCTCACAGCCTACTCCCCCATCTTCCGTAACGGCGCTGGCCCAGGAAAGAAGATCGGAATCATCGGAGTGTAAGTCATCCAAGCCCCCCGTCATCGCGGGGTTCACTTCGTTGTCCATCCAAGTAACGAAAACTAACCCAAACACAGTGGCGGCATTGGCCATTTCGGTATCATGTTCGCGAAGGCCCTCGGCGCAGAGGTCTGGGCTATCTCGCGCAGCTCAGCCAAGAAGGCCGATGCCCTCAAGATGGGTGCTGACGGTTTCTTGGAGACTCGTGTCAAGGACTGGAATGTGCCACACGAGTTCACATTCGACATGATCCTCAACACAGCGAGCTCGGACGACGGTTTTGATCTCGCTCCATATCTGTCGCTGCTGCGCGTGCACGGCAAGTTCATCAGCGTCGGCCTGCCAGAGGGTGAGGGCAGCAAGGTCCGCCCACAGTCGCTACTGGCAAACGGTTGCATGATCGGCGCCAGCCACTTGGGAAGCAGAAAGGAGACACTGGATATGTTGCAGTTGGCTGCCGATAAGGGCATTAAGAGCTGGGTGGAGACCATCCCAGTCTCTGAGAAGGGCTGTGGAGAAGCCTGTAAGTTTGATCCCCGAGGTGTCCTCTATGTGTTGCAAGTTTGCTAATGATTCCTCTGCAGTGACTCGCCTCCATAACAACGACGTTCGATATAGATTCACCCTCGTCGACTACGACAAGCAGTTTTAAGGGTCTGTAGATATTAGATATAAAATAAATAATTAAATTCCGAAATACTTCTACACGATGTGACCGAAACTAATGTTGGATGCTTGATCGTATTTTCACTCGCCTCTCGCATTAGAAAATTTATGATTTGTATGTGTCAGTTCACGTTTGATTTCTAGACACTCTACAAATTATGCTCACACAACAAGTGAAGTTATTATGTGGGACTGCCGTCCAAGTATCTTGGCGTGCTGGATAATCTACACTTTTGTCTGGATGTAATGCACTCCTACGGTCAATTTCGCTTTCATGCAAAAGATTTTAAGCCCATAGTTGGGGCGTCTGCATATAGTTAGTTGTACATCAGCAAGCGCGCCAGTGGCCTAGTAGTGGTTTATTCATACTTAATGAAAGTCCAAAAAAAGAATTCTTTACATATTGCTGGGATGTTAGTGGTGCTGTTCCTGGAAATACCTTGGTTGCATAATTAGCTCTGAGTTAGGGAAGCGTCTGCGACAAGGCTTTGGTATAGTGGTTCCTGGCATCTAATAAGTAATGGCTCTTAAAAGGTGGCATTACTATTTGTATTTCTGGCTATAGGTTCCTTGTTCCAAAATTTGGAAGTCCTCATTACGGCAACAAAAAGTTCCTCGGGCTATTGCCAGTAGCTAGTAATTATCCTGCTAACCGTCAAGCTCTCTTTTCGCATAGAAGTTCTTTTGTTGACTCTTTGTATCAATACGATAATACATTTACAAAGCATATAATTCTTGGAGCTCTTTTCGCTAGCATGTATAAGCTTTTCAGGTGTCAAGGCTAATCCCTCTGGACATAACAGAGTTGTAACATAGAGTATTGTAGCACCTAGCACCCTCCCGCTTCCGCCACCAAAAATGAAAAAGAGAAGTCAATGAATAAGTCGAGGAAAACTTCCCTCGTCTAGGTCCCGTGACATAGCCTCCTCTTGACCTGTAGGCGGTATAGACGCGAGTGTGTGATATATTAAACGTGAATCTTTTCGCGTCGTCAACCCATCCAGCTTCCGATTACCATCACTCGATCTCTCATCAGCGTCAATGTAAAGCATCAAGCTCTCTCCTAGTCGCAGTTACTTTGACACTTGTAAGTTTTGTTTGACCTTCACTCACCATCTTACAGCCTTCACAGGCTTTTCAATCCATACAAGCAATTTCGCCGGACTGATTAACAGGTTGGCTTCAAGATAGATCGGGTTGAAGCTATTCCGTTAACAGATTCTAACTGGATATAGGCATTCGTCAAACAACAGTATGTCGGCAAGACACAGGATTCCGAAGGCTGGAGGATTGTGCGACGCACCGGCGGACTACATAATGAACAGGGCGCGGGAAGATGGAGTGGCTCTTTGTTGTGAAAAGAAAGAGCACGCCATAGCGACCATCTGGGCCCATGCCCACGGGCTTATACTGCCCGACCTTCACGATTTGATCCGACCAGATAAAGTCAAAAGTTGGTATCAGTATTATCGATGGTCTACTCAAAACCTAAAGGCAGAGATATACGACCGGATGAGCGGGGTCCCTGGTTCGCATTCCATCTTTTACAACCTTACTTTGATCAGGGAAAAGGAAGCATTAGTTGCAATTTCTTTGTACCTCGATGCGATGGGGGTAGACTACGAACAGGATATTGAAGAAAGGTCGATCAACCCAATACCTGAGAAGAAAGTGGGGAAAATACTTCTTGGCCTTGCACAGCTAGTCTTTGGAGCCCAGGAACAAGCTCAGCCTCCAACATATGACGTCCCATTACAACACCAAGCACTATCTCCAACTAACCGCAACGTTCCTGTACTTTTTTCGGAAATTCCAACTGCTGCCTGTAGAGCTGCGTCGTATGGTCTGGGACATCATAGTGGACGAGCCACGAGTAATACAATTTTATCGCCAACGGCTGATCACGAAGTGCAATGCGCCGGTTCCGGTTGCTCTATGCGTCAACAAGGCATCAAGGGGTTGGGCTATGAAAAAATATACGAAATGCCAATTTCCTGGTTATGGCAACAGGTACTGCCCGGTATTTACCTATTTCAAGGCTGACACCGATATTCTCTACTTTGGTCCTCGGACCTTTGAATTTAACAGCGACCCCTTATCGACCTCAAATCGGTTTATTTATCACTACCCAAAACAAGAGCTGGGATTTATTAAGAATATAGCCTACACCAACTGGCATTTTTCGGCAACAATGGAGGAGAAACTTGTTGACAAGCTTGTTTCGTTCATCAATGTGAAGACTGTTACGTGGGTCCCTAACGATTTCGATGTCTGGTTCAAACCATATAGCACCGAACTATACAATATCAAGACCTATGCCAGTACTGCGTCTAATCCGAGTCTCGGTAAGAAAGAAAGGAACATAGATAACAAGCAACTTGACCACGTGCGCAAGTTGTTTGAAAAATGCGACCACAAGCGCATTGATGCTGCTCTTGCAGCTAATCAAGCTGCTGGTGTTGCGGAACATCAACTAGTACCAGTTGAAATACGGGAGAATATGCCTGAGTTCCGCGTTGCATGGACAAAGAATCTGTTGGACCCTAGGGTCTAGGATGGCAATATTGAGGATCTTGACAGTGCTGAGGATATTGGCAATACTGGGGATTGTGACAATACTGAGGGCCTTGAGGATGGGGGTTATGTGTAGCAAATCGTATTTGCTACGGGTGGTGAAGTGTTAGCTTTTCCTCTTAATATTTACTCTACAGTTTGTTACTGGGGCCGGGTAGCTCATTGCGATGGGCTACCTGGGGCATTTCTTTTCTTTGTTTGATTTTCTGTGTAGAGACAAATTACTCTGCCTGATAGATAAGTGATAGCTATGAATTACATAGCAATTCCTGGGTTATACAGTTATACCTAGCTAACTAAATGGAATACTTCTCTCGAATTTCAGTGTCCACGCTTAATATGAAGTGAATTATCCAGAACAGTATAATGTTCTAATGTTTTATATTACGAGTGAAAAACCCTTCAAGTTACATAGGTCGTGTCTTACACTTTTAATAAATATTTTGTTGTTAGTGTAGTGTCATATCACGTGAGGTCGTCCCCCTATTTACTTCTGTCGGCTCGCTTAGCTCTCATAACTCGGTCACTATGATCCCTTTTCAGCATCAATATCGTGTCTATATTGTACCATTTGATATAAAGTGAAGCATTATGAAACCTGGCTGCCGGCAAGATTGTGTTTCGTAGTATTGCTCTAAGTACGAAGCCATTTGCTTTTGAAGAGAATCAACCACGTGACACTACCGTCACAGTAGACAAGCAAAAATGTACTTTATCTTAGGCACTTCGGAAATTACATGTAACATGCACCAACTTTGTTGTATTTTACTATTTACGGCAATACAACAACACATAGGTTCAAGTTCAGGTTTGCTCGACAACAAACTGTATCTGTTATATCTAAACAATACTACTAAAACCCCAAATGACAGTCTCCGCACACCATCCTTAGGCTCTTCCCATACCGGGCACAGTCATCCTCACCTAGTGCTTTTAACTGTGCTTCTGCAGGTGCTCAACTTCTAAGTCTCTTGGACCTTCGGCATGGTTGCAAATTCTCGTTCTTCCGCTTCCGCTTCACAACTTTCTGTTGACCCGGTGCATCAAGCATCTCATGCTCATCCAGTGTGTCATGTATCTCATGCTCATCCGGTGCATCAAGCATCTCATGCTCATCCGGTACGTCATGCATCTCCTGATCACCCAATCCGTCCTGCTCATCCGGTCCGCCGTGCCCATCCCATCGGTCGAGGCCATCCGATCCGTCCTGCTCTCCCGACACGTCCTGCTCGCCCTCCCAATCAATAAAACACTCCCAGTCCACTTCGTGATGTACTATAGCATTTTCCCCAACCATGCTCCAGTCCATTAGTACATCCTTGTCGTCGTCAACCTTCCACATACACAACTGACCTAACTCTACACTAGGTTTAGTAGCATCTCGGAACTCATCAATGTTGACATTAACTTCGAGGATGTTAACCGTCTTCTGGACTATCTTTCTCAATATACCTAAGCCTTCTGTTCCTTTGTCCTCGTTATACCACGGCCAAAGTGAGAAAAGGGTGTGGACCTCTCTTACGTTCTTGAAGGGTGTGAGGAAGTAAGGGAACTTGTGAACAAAGTGCTCCAGCACCAAGGAGGGATGTGGACAATCGTGCATTTCAGAGAAGGGAACAGGAAATCTTTCAGTTGGTGCTATAATGCGGTGCAGAGGAGCCGGAATTAGGGCGATGTTGCGGACGTTGTTGGCACCGGTCTTTGCTGGTGAATACCAGAGAGGAGTAAGCCAGGTGTTGGAAGACCCATCAGTTAGATAGCATGTGCTATATATCTTTGTTAGTATTTATATGGAAATTTTATAAAGGGGCAAATCCGTATAACGAGGGAATTGGTAGAGCATCCTAGCAGGAACCGATTTCACTTACCAAACAATAATTTCCAAAGTTTGAATTGTAGCCACGGCATATTTGCTCATTCCATATAAACTCCATTTATTTCCAGCATGCAACGTAAATGCATTAGAACCATAGAATATGTCAAGAAGACAACCATAAGCTACAGGGGAGATGCGCATGGCGACTATGACTGCGGGCATTTCGCCCGTCCACTCCAGGCAACATCTTCCGAAGATGTTGTTGCGGACCTGAACTGGGAGCTTATCGAAAACGCTCCCGGGGTTTATGGTGCGGCTTGCGACTGGGCTGTACATTTCTGACGTTGGTACAAGCCCGATCGGAGCAAGTGTGGTACAGTCCATGGTGCGATGTTGTACCTCCTTGCGGTTAGGTTGTTGGGTCGTTGAAAGGGGAAGTGAATATAAAGAATTTCTCTGACTTGGATCGATCTTGCAAATGGACGTCAGATAGATTGATTTTGTGGTTGTAAACTGAACGCCTCCAGAAGAATCTAAACCTCCTTGAGTTAGATGTCAGCTATGGTTGGAGTGACCAATGTTTAGACGCGATTTGCTGCAGCTCGCAAGAAGGTTTAGGGGAGAGCAAGGCGAGGTTAATCACATCCCAAGGGGTAACTGAGCTAGATTTGTTTATAAATAAATTGTATCGCGCGAATCGCGTAACTTTCTGCCATGACCAACTAACAAACACGTCCTATTCTGCCACAATAGCCAAGACGGTAAGTAAGTAGGTAGGCATTACAGACAGAAAAGCGGAGGAACTAACAAAATACGGTCGATTGGCCACCGCCCAATATAACGCCGTGCATAATGACCATGTAAGAAACTCCCTTTAACAGATAGTACACTATCCTTTTTGGCTCAAAATCCCGTAGTATTGTCTCTGGGAAACTTAGCTCAATTATTAAATATACCAAGTAGTATTAGCAATGCTTGAGAGATAAAAGCAGAAATTGTATCGGCCACTCTAATTATGGCTATGGGCTCGTGGTATCTACAAGGACTTTTAATACTAGCTTTCCATCATCATCTTTGACCCTCCCTGCCATATCAAATGCTTCAGGAATACCAGCGAAGCCTTCGAATCTATGTGAAACGAGTTTCGACAGGTCAGGTAATAGCGGGTTTCCACTTGAAACTAACTCTATTGCCTCTTGATAGGTATTGGCATATCTGAAGACCCCAATAAGATCGACTTCTCGAAGGGCAGCGGCTGAAATTGGGAGTGTTTGAATGGGACTACCCATTCCAATCAGCATTATTCGTCCTCCGGGTCGTGTTGACTGAACATGTTAGCAAAGGAGTAGCAATACGAACACGAACCCTTACATAAATAGCGGCTTGCAAGCAGGACTCTACACCAGTGCACTCAAACACAGCATCAACCTCTCCTATGTCAGACTTGGCCTTGATGAGCTCTGCAACTTCTTTTGCAAAAGCAAGTTTCTCTTCGATCGCTTGAGGTCTCTTCATCGGAACAACAATCTGCTCGTCGGCGAATTTATTCTGAACCGCAAAGACCACCCTGGCCTCCTGGATATCTGCTATGATGACTTTTTTGGCTCCAGAAACTTTGCACATGGCTGCGCAGAGAAGGCCCACTGCACCGGCTCCAAAAATCAGGACAGTGCTACCAGATTTCAACGCTGCACGTCGTGATCCATGAATGGCAACACCTAAAGGCTCGAGGATTGCTCCTAATTCTAAAGAGGCATTGGAAGGAAGCCTATCCTAGTCAGCACTACCCACAATGTATTCTAAGGGGAGCATACTTATGGCAATAAGCGGCAGGGTGATTTATCCTCTCCTGTAGTGTACCCTGAAAATGTGGAAAAGATTTGGCAGAGCTCCTGAATCTTAATGTTTTACAAATATTATATCGTGCTTCTTTGCAGAGGTTGCATTCAAGACATGGCAGGCCAACTTCGAGAGCAACTCTGTCTCCGGCCTTGAGGCCAGTGACGGCTGAGCCGACTTCTACTACGACGCCGGAAGATTCATGGCCCAGAGTTAAAGGCTCCTTGACTATGATATCTCCGTTTCGGTAGTGATTGAAATAGTGAAGATCCGAGCCGCAAAGACCGGTGGATTGAACAGCAACCTGGACCTCTGTTGGTTCTGGTGAGTCGAGTTGGCGATTCTCCTGCATAGAATCAGTTGGGCGACCCTCAATCAGATTTATTGGATTGACAAACTATTTTCAGGTCCTTCACCCCGTGCAACACAGAGGCCTTTACTTGGGATGTTTGGGTAGCCATCATACAATCTGATGCGATATGGACAGAATAAACGTTGTCGAGGGAAAGATAGAAGAAGTTTGTACGTCCTCTGAATTCGGATCTCGAAATACCTTTAGTTCCTATGACCGGAGTTGTACCCCACCATCCGGCGTTTGACGGGTAATTGCGTGGCGCCGGCCCGGAAAATCTCATGAACGGAGGCCGAGGTCGAATCAGATGTTGGTAATTCTGCCGAACCGATCGAGGCGGTGAGAACAGGGGCGACTTCCTTTTGCGGAATCAAATCAATCGTCACAACTTCAACTATCCGAACGAAGGGAGAAAGATGCCCCAAAACATGAGAACGACATGAGAACGACACAAGAACGACACGAGAACACCCTGAAAGAAAACCCCGCCTTGTGGAGACTCGTAGTTATATTCCCTAATTCTCTATTTCTGTTCAATTCCCTTTGACACCTCCCAGCGCCTGTTCTGTCCATTCCCACAAGTCCGTTCCTAGCTTCTCGCTTTTGGCTGTTTTGTCCAATTTATCAGTGGTCAGCACACCTACTGGCATGTAAAATGCGCCATTGACAATCTCACTCCTTTTTGCGCCGGCGGCCGCCCAAAGTTGGCTTAAGATGCCTTGTTCCTGCTTCATGATACTCTGACCTTGCATCCAAAGGGATCCATGCACCAGTGTCTTCCTCCATGGAGGCAAATTTGTTATCATGCCGGTCTCTGTTACTCCGGGGTGTACTGAAACAGAGAGGATATTTGGGTAGCGCCTTGCTAACTCAGCGGCATAGACGATATTAGCTAATTTACTCTGCCTAAGAAGCTATTAGTATGTCGACCTTCGGTAGAAAAGAATTGTGGTCAGAGCGGCGGCTGCGTGGCAGTTGTGCTTGCTCTTAGCTAAAGCCCGATCCGACGAAGAAAGGGATAAGGTCAGAGGGATCTTTTTGGCACGAGGACATCCATACCCTAGTCGATAGAACGATCCAACAACTCCGTCCGACACAGTCGTCAACTTCGGGAAATCCACTCCTCCTTTTGGGTGCATACGCCATGCTGGGGATGCTAGGCACACAATCCGCACATCTGCTGCTTCTATCTCGCTTGTATTGATCATGATGGGTAACAGCTGCTGGATCAACATAGCATGTCCTAGATGGTTAGTCGCGAAGAATATCTCGTAGCCGTCTTTGCTAAGGGACGGCGGCACATTCAGAATACCAGCGTTGCATATCAATATATCAAGTCGGTTGTGCGCGAATTTTCGAGCAGCCGCTTTGACGGACGATAAGGAGGAAAGGTCCATTTCGATAAATGTGAGAGCCGCCAAAGCTTTCGTATTTCCGACTTTATCCACCAGAGCTTCTCCGGCTTTCGCATTCCGACCGCTGAAATATATATGTGCTGGATCATGCCTGGCAAGTGCTTCCACCGAAGCAGCTCCCAACCCCGCAGTTCCTGGTGTTTGGTTAGAAGGATAGAGGAGAAGTCTAGTGAGGCGCTTTACCTCCTGTGATGAAAATGACTTTGTCCTTCAGCGAAGGAATATCTACGTCTGGATTGAAATCGGCAAACCCGTTTAAGGTAGGCATTGTTGGCTTTCGAACGAGGATGACGTGCACTCAATTTTTTGGGGCAATAAAACTAAAAGGGTAAATTCGAGGCAAGAGATCAGGTTGGGGTACTCTTGAGAGATGCGGATTGTGTTGACTTATAATGTTGCCAGTCCATGCCCTACTCAGTCTGGATATTGCTTACTGCAATCTAACTCCATATCTTTGTGCCTCACTACGCGTAAGCTTTATATGCCTATCCATACAATGCTTATCGTTGAATTCTACCTATTTTCTAACAATATCAACCTAATTTTGGTCCTCAATGGCCCAAGGTGATCCCGGATAACTTTTGGGGCGCATGTGCGTCGCTAGCGCATAAGCCGAGTGCATGAAGCTAGGATCTTGGACCGGACACTAACCCTGCTTTGTGCATTGATATCTCGCTGGCCCCGGTTCCAGATCTTCGACCATATAAATCCCTCGATATATAGCAGGCTGTCAGACGGACCTCTAGATAAGACCATAAGCTAGATGCATATATGTGAGAGCCTCTACCCTAGTGGCCCCAGAAATCTCTCCTCTCATTCGGTCCTAACATTCTTGTGGAATACACCAAAATATTCCATCCCGAAGTCAAGGATATCCATAGCTCAGTATGGATGAAGAAGGCGCAGCAATCCGTCTAGTTCCCATGGTGCAATTGCGGGAGGTAGGGTTACTAAAATTGACATGGAATTTGGAGGGCAGGTATTGACGCGTAATAGGCTGTCGATAGGGATGATGACTGGACTGGCTTGACAGACTTAAAAGCGAGGAAGAAGCGGCAGAATCGGTTGCATCAAAGAGCGCACCGTAAGTTTTATTTCTTAAGGACTGGGCGATAGGAATTTCATGGTTCTCATATCCTGTCCAAGTCTGAAGACTGGAGACAAAGCCATATATTAGGCTGCACCAAAGTATTATACTTTGGGCTCCTATTGTCCTGATATTGACAATTTGAAGGACGACGGAAGGCACTTCAAACCCAACCAGGTGCTCTAGGGCAAGGCAGCCAGCCACCGTACGCCCAATTTGTACCTGAGATTTCAATTCACGAAGTGTCGCAACAAACATCGAACCGAACTAGTCAGTTGGTATCGAGTACCAGCCGGTATTGGGGCGAGTCGGGCGACACATTGGCAAACTCGGCACAATCGCTATTACAAGCACTCGATACCCAAAATTACTCTGTACCATTACCAACACCCCAGGAACCAGCCACTAACGACCTCACTCTTATTCCAACATTCAAACTGCATAAAACAATACCGCCGGTGCTACCCTACATCACCCCAGAAACAGCCCATCTCCCAGTCCCACCTATCATATTTCCTCTAGCTCCCGACCACCGTCTTCTCATCTTGATTCAGTACAATGTGCTTCGCGCCACCCTCATCAACATGTCCATCCTTTCCCTCGAGCATCATGTCTCCTTCGATTGCAGCGCGGCCTTCACCGTCCCATATCCTAGATCGCCACACCCAAGCATCCCGCTTTCCCTCCTTCCGACCCCTCTCCAACAATCCATACCACATGAACCATGGGTAGACCTCATCCCCATACGCGGCATGCGGGATAATGTCCTCCTGAACTACGGAACCTTTGATGAGGATGATTTATGTACGGATCTGGTTGGGGGGTTATATGAGGGGTTCAATGATGTAGAAAATAGAGGGATTGTTATTTGGGGAGAACCGTGGTCTGAGGACGGCTGGGAGGTCAGTGAGGGATTTGCGGCTAAGTGGGGTTTTTTGCTGAAGGGCTGTCAGGCATTGGCTGAGGCTACCAATCGGTTTAGAGAGGAGAGGGGGGATGATAGGTTGGTGTTGGAGGTATGAATTGATAAAGTTGTATGCTGTCACAGATTTCTTGTTGAGCTGCACTTCAGAATTGCTCGAGTTTGCTTAAAATCGATCCACTGAAGAATGAAAAAATGTAAAACAAATGGCATCCTAATAATAAGACACTATCAGGGGATAGTTCGAATTCGTACCTGGGTCTATCTTTCTCTTCTAGAGCATAAAACTATGGGAGCAGAGTGGTACGTTGTAGCATAGGTAGGAGAGACACCGTTGTGGTTGTGATATATTTTGGCGAGAGTTTCGATCCACGGCCTCCACAGTTTATAACCCCAGATCCGTATAATACCCCAGAAACTAAAGCCGGAGAGCACTAGGTAGAGGGATTAAAAATAAATATGTATGTGGTTTAACAAACAACAATTATAATGGAGACCTCTTGGCCGCGTCATGGGAAATTCGTCGGCTTTTGACGGAGTTGTACCCCATACTAGCGGGTCACCCCACTTCTCCTGAACTGGACGATTGTTGTCCGGATATCGGTCCGAACTCGTGGATTTATGAACCTCACATCTTCCCACATCAGAATAGGAAGACTTCTATCTCGATCATAAAAATCCCAAAATCACAATCTATAAGCCCTCAAAACGAAAAAATGGCTAACCCAATGACTTCGATGTTCTCCCTGGAGGGACAAACTGCGCTGGTCACAGGCGGGACCAGAGGTATCGGCCAAGCTGCTGCTGTAGCGCTCGCTGAATGCGGGGCAGATATCATATTGATACAGGTGTATTTCACCGTCTCCATCATGATATAGGAGGTAATTGCTAACGCTTATGTGTTCACAGCGGGATAACACCCAAGACGCGACCTTGAAGTTGATTGAGGCCACAGGAAGGAAAGCAACAGTTTATACAGCTGACCTGTCTTCGCAAAAAGATGTCGCAGCCCTGACGCCATCTATCTTGAAGGATGGGCATAAAATCAATATATTAGTCAATTGTGCTGGAATTCAACGGCGACATCCCAGTGCCCAGTTTCCTGACAGTGACTGGAACGAGGTGCGTAGCAGAAATAAGAATGATGCTCAATGGCTTTCGCTAATGCATTATTCCAAAAGGTTATACAGGTGAACCTGAACACGGTCTTCGCCTTGTGCCGAGATATTGGAGCTCACATGTTGACCCTCGACCCTTCTCCCACCACCGGCCGTCGCGGCAGCATTATAAACTTCGCCAGTCTACTCACATTCCAAGGTGGGATCAACGTGCCCGCATACGCAGCATCGAAGGGCGCAGTGGCACAACTGACGAAAGCCCTATCGAACGAATGGACCTCGAAGGGCGTAACCGTTAACGCGATTGCACCGGGATATATTGCCACAGATATGAATACCGCACTATTGGCGGATGAGGCCCGGTTGAAGAGTATTACTGAGAGGATTCCAGCTGGCAGATGGGGTACTGCGGAGGATTTCAAGGGGAGTGTGGTGTACTTGGCGAGTAAGGCGAGTGCGTATGTTTCGGGACATGTGCTTGTTATTGATGGTGGCTGGATGGGACGATGAGGATGGACATGAAGTAATCGCTACATAACCTTAAGGTATATCAGGTCCACAGGAAAGCAGGCAGCGTATGGAGGCAATTCAGCTGCTCGCTCGCCAACTTGTAATACCCCACAGTATCCTTTATAGGCGAGATAAAAAACCTCTCAAGGTCAGTCGCAAATAAAAGCAAGAAAGGGAGGCAAAAATAATATAACAATTTTTTTTTATATACTCCAGAAGCAAACGAGTTTAGCCCGGTGTTGAATGCCTACATCTCTTACCGATTTTGTTTTGTCGCTTTTGTTTTGTCGTTTTGTCCCAATCGATCCTCTCCAGAAGATAATTTGACCTGAACTACTTAGCCAAGTGGCCGTCTTTTGTCTTCCTTAACATAAAATCGCTTATTTTTATTTATATAGGATAGGTACCTAGAGCGGAGGGGAGAAACAGCCACGTGACTCGCCTTCTAAGGCCTATACATGTGCTTTCGGATTATTACATCGTCCTGTTCAGCGGTTTTTAACACTAGAAACGTGGTGGGAGATGTAAGAGCTTTGAGACACAACATTTCTATATTTACTTAGGTAGTCGCAAGTACGACGACTGCATTGATTGTAATAAAGCGCTATGTTGAGCTCTCCAAAACCTTTGTGTGGATCTGCCTGCTCCCTTCCCAGCTACTGCCGTGATCGGTCTCAACGGATACAGTCTATATTTTACCTAGCTCCTAAGAGCTAAACATTCTTCATACAGGATAGTAACCAGTGCAATCTAACTTGCTTTGTTAACTATAAATCCTCTCCAACAGTGAAGAGGTGCCCTTTTACACGGTCTGCTTAGAATAATGCGAATTGCATAGCTTCCACTCTATTCTAGAAGGGTGGAGGACGGTTAGATATCAAAGAAGACTGATGCTCTGTACCACCATATCTTGGCTTTACAAACGCATTGAAACAGGACGTTTGAGGCTTAAATTATAAAGCTTTCTTTTCCTTTGCAATATGAGCGAACTCCTACTTAACCTAGCCCCACCAACTAGATTCATGCTGCCAACCTAAACTACAATCATTCTAAACAGATAACCAGTCATGCCTCCAAAACCTTCCTCGGAGCATGTGGAAGGCATCAGATAATGATTACTCCGGATATTTTCCATCGATGCCCAATAACACGGGATTTGACTTTGGACAGGCACCAGGACTTCCATATGGGGCTGAATGGAATTTTTGCCTTCCAACTCTTCAAGACCCCCGCCAGCTGCCTCCCGAGATGACGACTAGCCCCGAACACTTTACTGAAATAGTTGCTGCAGCTATTCAGAATGGCTACCCGGAGCATGAAATTGAAAGTGGTATTGCATCGAGTGGCTGGTCAAATCAACACTTGTTGGACAAGATCAACGGCACTGTCATGGGCTTTCCCGTCATATTCTATGCCGTCGCAAGGAACGATCTGTCGATCATCAGGTTGATAGTTAGATACGGCGGCAATGTGAATTCTTCATGTGGAAATCCGCCAGTCCCCCTTTTAGCCTTCGCCATCATCCACAGCAAAACAATCGAATGGGATACGACTGAGATGTTGGCCGCTCTTTTGAGCCTGGGTGCCGATGCCTCGGTCCTACCAAATGCTTTTTATACCCCTTTCTACGAGGCACTCCCCGGTGCTGGTCCAGACGAAACTGATCTAGGGGACATGAGCGATTTGAAATTGCAATGGTGCAAACCCCCCGATGTGCGCTCAAAACTGGCAGAGGTATTGAATATCACGCAACGATATCACTTACACCAGGCCTCCAGGTTACCAAAACCTACAGAGCGACAAAAGCAAGTGGCTCGCCGTAACGGATCCGAGAATCTCTTTGGAGTTCCTTATTTCATGATCGGCCAGCGTGCAGCAGTGCAGATGCTCCAGAAACACTTGCTACATTACATGCTCATGCCACGTAAGGATCCACTCGTGTTGGTATTTGCAGGTTAGTGATACCCATGGAGTGTTCAACATGTTCGATCAGACGTCTCTCTAACACTTTAAAGGTCCCAGCGGCCATGGAAAGACAGAGTTGGCCAGACGACTTGGGGCTATTCTCTCCCTAGATCTCCATGTGAGTGATTGCTCGATCGTAAGTAGAGAGAACGAACTATTTGGGGCAAGAGCTGAGTATTGCGGTGGATTGAGTGGCGCACCGCTCAACAACATTTTGGCGAGGAACAGCGGAAAGAGATGCATCGTCTTCTTGGATGAGTTCGAGAAGACTAATCAAGGTGTCTGGAATTCTCTTTTGCTCCCGTTTGGTAATGGTATTTTCCACCCGCCATCTTCGAGGAACTATCACTGACACTGCGTTATAGGCCAGTACGAAGATCGGAGGAGTAAGAAACTAATAGATTGCACAAATACGATATGGATCTTAGCAACCAACGCCCTAGACTGGTTTATCGTGAACCATTGCGATGACAACCCTGAGATATTCGATGACGAGGACAATCCTAAGAAAGAAGAGATTCTGAAAGAACTCGTTGAAGAAATGGAAGGTCACTTCATCAACAACTTCTCGGTTCGTAACTCTTCCGCTTCGCAGACCAAAGGAAATCACTAACAAGGACACTTACTATATCAAGGCCCCAGTCGCAGGTCGAGTATCGGCATTTATCCCCTTCGTCCCCTTCAGCCCAGCGGAAACCTACGTCGGCATCCACAAATATCTCCTACAGCTAGCAGCCGACGTTCGCCAACCAGTGAACGAGTCTTTGACTGCAGGAAACATCAAATTGATATTTAAATTCGATATAGCTCTCTGCAAGACCCTGGCTAAGAACTATACCTCCGATCTGGGTGTCCGGTGCCTGAAAAAGGCTGTCAAGGATCGTGTTGGGGTGCCGTTGAGTCAGGTATATTTGGACACTGAGGAGCCTATGCGCGACGGGGGCCCGATGGAGGAATTTGAGGTTATTGCTGTGAAGGACAAGATTTCCGTCAAGAGGGTATTATCAATACTTTGATGGCTGCGAGTTCGAGGGATCCAGCGGGGACGAAAAGCTTCTCGATGGGTTAGTGCAAGTATATGTGTGAGGGTCAATAGTACCAGAATATCTTACCCTGAGTTGCTACTCCAACGCCACTTAATATCTTGTGCCATATTATTATCGCAGCTACAACCCAATCAACACCCGACAGAAATTGGAACAAAGGCAGACAAATGGGGTATCAAATTCTGGATCAACAACGCACTGTGTTTATCTATCGTACACAGAAAAATGGTATTTCAACTCCTCCACACTCCTCTCCTCCTATCTCTCACCGAACTTTTAACCCGTTCGATCTTCCCCTATTTCTGGCTGCCTCCACAAACCATCGTCGAAGATCCCGTGCCTGCACAGTATATCTGCACCCCACATACTTTACTAGATAAATATTCCAGTCTCGTTCCCTATTAAAATCAAAAAACAAAAACCCGCTAAAAAGCTCGGACATCCATAAAAATATCGGCATTTTGCAGCCAAAGAAGAGATTCCTGCATCGAAGAGAAGGTTTGCTGGGATACCCATCCGAAGTGATATAATATAAAATGACCCCGTACCATAAACTCCGATTAGATATCTCCTTATACGAAGACATCAATAAACACATTCTCGTCCTGGAGGACCCATAGCCGAGAGATAGATTGTACGTGGACGAAGGAAACATGGCTTCATTCATCCCCGCCAAGGTTTTGTTTCCCTCCCCTTACTATCCGTGCTCACCTGGCTAGCTCCTCTCCGCATAGCAGTAGCAGCCCCCGCTACAGCCTGAGGACTCTCTCGCCCAGTTACACCCGAACCTGCTCTCCCCCTTGGCTGTGGTAGCAGGCTTGTCCGCCGATTCCCTGCCATTGAGCTCGCGGGCCGTATCTGTTTTGCAAGCGCGCTACTAGATGCCGTAGGATCACTGGAATGTGGTTGTAGTGAAGCTCGGCGATTGGCGGATGTGGTGAGTGCGGACATTGATGACTGAGTGGTGAGATGCCTCGGTCGTGCCACAGGCGATGAGTTTGCGAGGGTAATCTGGGAATAGGGGCCAGGACTAGAGATACGGTCTCGGACCCCGAGGCGGGAATGAGACATGCGAGATGGTGTAGTTTCAGGAGCTGGTGATGCGGAACTCTCACGACCAAGAGGAGACCGGAGAGGGATTTTCGAATCGTGCGACATAGATGATCGGCTGGACTGAAGGTTTGGCGGAGTGCGGGCGTGAGGGCTTGGGGTTGTTAGGCTTAAAGGCTTGAAGTTGTGGCCAATGATGGTATCTTTCGTGTTAACACTTGCGTTCCACCGTGGTCTTCCATCTAAAGTGCTCACAGGCCGAGGGAGGCGATTGCCAGTTGGGGTAGCTGAGCCCTGTCTCGCAGGTGATAGAGAACCGCGATCGGTTGGCGGGGTGAAAGTTGACAATCGATTCGCAGCGCCCTTGCGTGGAAGTTGACTCCCACTCGCAGGCATGCTAACATTTCTTCGTCTCCCACCAGGTTGTGGTAGGGCAGTCTTATTCCCAGCACGAAGCTTGCCATTCTTTGCTGGTGTGATGGGATCAAGTCCACCGCTTAGTCCTGTCATAACGACTGATGATGCAGGTGAGCTTCCCGGGGTGTCGTTGATACTGCTAAGGGTGGAGCGGTCGTTCGACACCATGCTCGAAATAGAGTCCCGGAGTTGTTGACTTTGCCTGTCTGCTTGGATATCCTCTAGGGTTAGATCCAACTCGCTCATCTGCTCTTTCAGCGTATCCCACTTGCGCTGCATATCAGAATGCAACCGCAAGATTTCGCCGTTGACGGTTAAACGATCTTTGACTCCTCGTTCGATAATGGACATAACTCGTTCAATGGCAGGGCCGTAATGCATCTTCTTCGCTTCATAACTCTCGATTTTGTTGCCCATCGTTGCTGGATTGTTCAAATGAACCCCAGCATCTACCGCTTCCTTGAGCTTGGACACACTTCGTTCAACCGATTCATACATCTTCTGTGCCTGTCGTCCAGCGCCTCTAAAGACGAGTACCCAACGATCTTCACCAAGTTCTCTCCGGAGAGTTTCCGCATCCTTCTCTAAATTCTTCCAGCTTTTCTCAAGCCCGTCACGCCGCGACTCGAGCTCCTCGCAAGCTGTAGGGAATATTTCATCCGCTCGAGCATGGAAAGTAGATAATCGCATTGGAAGAAAGTCTAACGATGCTCTCAATGGCTGCATTCGTGCAAACAATGCTAGAAGGCTTGAGTCATCCTGGGCCATAACCGCAGTGTTGGGCGAACTCGGGCTCATTGGGAAGGCACCGTGCAAGCTGAATCGATTGTTGGCCTGTAGTCTGGTTTTCGAAGGAGGGGTCTCCTCGACGATAGTTTCCAACTCATTGATGTCCATTCCATCTGCGCCTGATTCTGCCATCAAGGACTTGTGTCGCTTTTCCTCCATCTCAAAGACCAGCCGTGAGAGGACGTCGATCTCGTTCCCAATGTCCCCCAGCACGGTGTTCCAGAGTTCTTCCCACTCCATAGCGATCTCAACCGAGTTTTTGACATCCTTCAGCGTCCTTTTTATCTTCTCCCATTCTTTCAGAATAGTCTCAACCTGCAGCACAACGGTTGTGAGCTCCTCGGATGGCACTGTCGAGATATCGGGACGATTTTGTAGCGCTTCGATAGCCGAGACGTAGACGTTGATGAGTTCTTCAAAGCGGGCGATAGCATTGTCCACTTCTGCCAACCCTTCTCTGCCACCAGCGGCTGCCCATTCTACATCGTCTTCACCCTCTAGGCCAGCAATTACCTCTGATGCTTTGTGAATCCAGCTACGGATCTGCTCTGCAGCTCCCATCAATGCTTTAGAAGCAGCCTTCGAGGTTGGTATAGCAGATACTTTGGTAGATAATAACTCGGCATCCGGTAGCTGTAATGAGGTCAGTTGCGCCAGTTGATTTGCGAAAGAGACGCGCGAGAGTGTGTAGATGGAGCCGGCGCGCTGCAGTCCGAAGGGATTAAAGTATGAAGGCACCTCCCCCGTAAATTCTGCAGGTGTGGTTCCACCAGGAGGCGTGTCTTTCGCGATAGGAGGCGGTGGGATGTCCAGATCATCTGGCGGCACATTAGATCTTTCAAGATGTGCTAGTTTCGTGTCGGGCATCGCCTTGGTCCCATTGCCGTTTGCATGCTCTGGCAGGCGGTACTTCTGCGTGTCCATATTGATGGCCTCCGCATGTGTGACCATAATCTTGTCGCCCACGCTCTCGATTGAATCTCGGCGACGTGTTCCCCCTTCGAAGACTCGCCCACGCGCGTCGCCCGCCGCAGCGTCGTTAAAGCTGCCACCAGTGACCTGCGGCGTTAGATAGCCACTTGTGCCGCTCCAGGCTCGACCACGTCTCTCGATCGAGGGGTTGACGGAATTCGCCTGGTGTATGTGGTCGAGCTGTCGAATCTGATCTTCCGGAATGCGGCCTACTCGATCGGAAGGCAGGAGATTGGGGCTTTTCGACCTATTCGTGCTGGTGTTCGTGTCTTTTCCAAAGCCCAAGGCCTTTAAACGAGCAGCGAGGCCAGGGGATGGTTTGCGCGCCTGTCGATGTGTGGATACGCTTCGCTGGCTGCGTTGTTCTGCTGGACAGGGCGTGGGTTCTGATGGCGAACGGGATGGTGATGGGGATGGTGATGAATAGGAGTGATTCTGCTGCTGTTGGTGCAGTTGTTGCTGCTGCTGCTGCTGCAAACTGGAGCTGCAGTCGGACCGGGGTTGAAGCGTCGACTCGTCCGGCTGCTGTGATCCCAGGGCATCACGGAGCGCTGGCATATCTCGAGCCTCAGTGGATAAGGGTTTTGGAACACTTGATGATCAGTGTTCAATGTCTGAGGAAGGGAATCAGGAGCCGTACGAAATACAGCGACGGCCGAAGTCTCACAAGTTCGACCAGGCCCCTCGTCGACATTGACACGACACACCCAGCTGGCAGAGTGGCTTTGCCCCGGGGGGAACACCGGAGCAGCCTTAGGGGATGGGGAGAGCTGCCCTGGCTGCTGGTCTCGGAAGACAATTATTAAATCGTGGCCCTGCTGTTCTGCTGGTACCCGTGGATTTATTGAAGCCTTCGACTCAACTTCAAACAACTACTATGAAGCTACGAAGCTGCTGGTACTCTAATAACAGTATAGAATGCCGCAACAACAACAAACGGTGCTGAACCGGACTGCACTGGAGACGCGCTTGGTGCGGACCGCAGCGAAGAGACCGCGTCTCAATCTATTTCTTAGTTCGGTCCAAATAGTAGTGGGAGGCCCCCTGGCAAATTGTGGCAATCCAGCAACGAGGAAGAATCGCGAGATCCACACAGGGACGAACCATTAAGGAGTACCCGTAACCTACGGAGCATCCCGCTGTAAGTACTTTCGATTCCTACATGTTTCATATCTCAGATAGCATTCGTAGGTACTTCGTACTAGGTATGCAACTCCCCGACTGAGTTTCCAGGCAGAGGCCTCAAAAGACGACTGCCTGCTGTGAAGCCTCAGATACTGTAGGCAAACAGTTTCTTTCTGGTCGCTCCACCAGTATTATTTATCCCTTCCTCCACCACAGCTAGGGTCGCGATGCAGGTCAACGCCTCCCAATACTTACTTCGTACCAAAGGTTGCCCATGTGTGGCTCACACTCTCATCATACGGGGTGGTCCTGACCGAGCCAGCCAATCTCCCGGGAAATGATATAAAAAATACCAAGGCCCTCACATCTTCCATATTGCGCGGCGACTTGGGGGCGCTCCAACACGATACATTTCTAACTCTAAACTGCGTTCTAGAAGCACAAGTCCCGAGTTAGCCATCAGGCGTCCCAGCGACCTGGTACTCTACTGTGCCAGCGGACTGAGTGGAGCGCAAATACCGGCGTAATGGTCTCCAGTGCACAGAGGTTGACCGCTCGGCCCTCCACATAAAAAGTTTCCCCTGTTCTGCCCTTGGCAATGCCAGCCGATATGGACCGTACGCTAAAATAGGACCTTCAAACAAAATTGAGCTGAATATCAAGTGCTAGAGCAGATAAATCCCCTCGTTAGGGTTTGACCAACAGCATCCCTAGCCGGGACTGTGGTGTCCAAAACGTACCCAGTTGAAGAGAAGCACAGTGTCGAAATATGCGCCGTGACGTATGCCGCAGGTGAGATTGTTGGCTCGCGCAAGGTACACTGCGGATTGGACAGCACAGACATCAATGATGGCCAGGAAGCCCGTTGCTGAAGGAATTGTTAAGAGTAGGTATCTTTCTAGGCGTCTTTTTGCCCCAGAAAAGAAATGATACTTTACGGTGTGTACCCTTATGTTGTAGCCATATTCTCATTAAACAATTGTCTCCTATTTATTAAGGAGTACCAGTACTTAAAATAACTGCAGGTATCCTCATAGCCATTAAGTTCGTTCCATTCATTGTGACAAACGGATATAAAAACTGCAACAAGCCTATCCCATCAAATATCCTCCCGCATAGGTATCTCCACGATAAAACGAAACAACAAATCTACAATCCACCTCGCTCCAAGAGAGTATTTGTCATGACGCGAAAAGACACAAGTAAAACCCAAACATTAAGCCAGCACAGGCATATGCGTTGCCTTGCCCCGAAACTTGATCACCATCTGATGACCTTGTTGGGGAAGAACTCGTCGATGAGCTCAAGGTAGTATGGCTATGAAGATGTATTAGCTTCCAGATGTCTAGGGAGACGAGGGGATATTATACCTTCAACTCCTCAACGGTTGGGATATCATCGCTCTTGCTATACAAATCATAAGGGTTGAAAGCTCTGACAGCGTCCAACATAGTTTGGTCATGTTCATCCATGAACTCCGAATATGCACCAGCACTGTGCCATGGGTAGAAGGAATGGTAACGGATCATTGCGAGCGCCTCGGGAGGAAGGGTCGACTGATCCTTGACGATGTGATAAAGATACTCATCATGGCCCCATGAGAGCATGATGTTATCCAGTCCGATTTCTGGGTAGTAGATGCCGTTCTTGGTCCCGTAAATCTCGTGGTTGTAGTCTGGATTCCCCTTGAAGGTCTCGGGGTAGATAATCCGCTCGTCAAATGCACATCCAACTGGGAAGGTATCGCCGACGACATCCCATTGACCTTGTGCACCGAAAAAGAAGAGGAGTTTGCCGAGATCGTGGATGAGCCCGGTGAGTTGCATCCAGCGTGGCTTTCCATCCCTTCTGATAGCCTCGGCAGATTGAAGGAGATGCTCGATCTGAGAGAGTTGTGTATCAGGATCGGATTCATCGATGAGAGAGTTTAGCCTCTCCATGGCTTCCCAAATAGTCATCTTGGCTCGGGTGTTGGACTTAAAGTCGTTGCGGGCCTTCAAGTTGTAGGCCACGGTCTGCTTCTCGTGCTGCTCCTTGTAAAAGGACTTTACTCGGTCACAGGCATCTTCATATTGCCGAAATTGAGTCTTATCTTTGTTCGCATCGAACTCAGACTTCTCCATCATACCTTTCTCCTTCTTGATCTCAGCCTTGAGGACATTGACAGCATCGATGTTGTCGGACAAGTCCTCCAAGCCTTGTCCATCCCGATCATTGGAGGCCTCAAAGTCAAGGGCAGGTGCCATCTTGATAGAGGTGGAATGAAGTGTGCAGTCTCTCTATATAAAAACGTCTATTTTCTAGTTAGGAGTAAGCACGGAGCTTGTTGTAGTCAGGGTTCAATCACTTACCTATCTCGAGTGATTGGTGCTAACAAAGAGTTTGGCGCTTAATATTTCTTGTATACGGAGAACCCGCTTTAAACAGAATTAAAAATTCGATGAATGCCTCAAACAAGTTGATCGTGTAGCCTGTAAGACGATGGCAAATGCAACTGCGAAGTGATGAGAGGCAATGAAACAATATCAATGAACTTGCTCTTCTCCGCATTCCTGGGGCAGTGATGACCCCGATATTTGAGCATCAGTCAAGACGGGGTTCTCTGGTGCTACACACGAAACAGGAACCGAGTAAAAGCCGATGAGTAAAAACATCGTGCGATTGGTGCCACCCTTTTCCACTCGAGGGCGACCGTTTTCCCTGCAAAGGCCGTCGGCGTTTGACGCAAGAATGGACCACATGCTACTGTGAGACCATCGTGATTTTGCAAGGGAAGAGTGGAAAAGGCAGAGGGAAATAATGGGGCAGGGGGGAGATGGTGGGCCGGAGGCGCGGTGCTGCATTAGCATCGAGAATCTGATGTCAGGCACCTCGCCCCTCGTACGAGAGCGGAGGGGGATCCTTGAGGAGCCGTTATCTGTATCTGTTTTGTACTTCTTGTCTCTATTATCTGACAAGTAAGAAGGCTCGAAGGATCTAGTTTCTGTGGTAGAAGAACGGGGTTGTGGAGAGGCTGGTGGCGATGAGTGGAGATCCGTCGGTCACATCGGCTTATCCAGCTTCACCAACAACCACAGCCCGGGGATTGCCAAGCATAAGTAATTGAAAACAAGAAATATTCGGTATAAACCCTTCTTCAGCTAGGAGATGTCAAATGTTCTAGGCAGAAGCTCAGTCTTACGCCCCTACCAATTCCCCTCATTTGGCTTACTCCACCTAACTTTGTTTGCAAGTGCGATCGGATGTTACTGTACATGAACGTAGTTCGCAATCTTGATTATCCCACTTCTGAATTGGACCCCCCTTTCTCACTACAAAATAGCCTATAAATAGAACAAGAACAGGATAGCTTCTTGACTTGTTTACGGAGTAACGTTGCTTAGACTACATAGGTTGTCGCGTTGCAACGCAATGGCAAGTGCGCAGAAAGCCCCTCACTCGGCATAAAGCTATGCATTTTCAAATTTTAATCACTGTATGTACTCATCAGCTTTGCCTCACGCCTAAGCTTCTCCTCTAGTACAATTCAAGTCTGACAAATTTGTATGAGAACCAATACCAGCAGGAGGTAGTGCTGCCCATTCAATCTGCAAGCATAGCAGGCCAGTATTCCGCAAGCTCTTCACCACTCTTCACAGTCCGAGCACTTTTATAACTCCCGTCACTACTGACACTGCCATCTCTCTTGTCACCCAACGATTCAGCTACGCTCATATCGTCGCCATCACCCTCGTCCTCCCCGGATTCGTCCGTCTCCATAGCCTCCCCACTACCCTCCCCACCCGACGTTCCATCGTTTCCCAGCAGCAACATGTCAATCCCATCGATATATATGGTGATCAACCCCGAGATATCGAAATCCCCATCCCCAGCTTCAAAAGCCCATGCCTCTCGAAATCGAGGGTTTTCCGGTGACTGATTCTCCCGCCATGGAACGCGAAGGTCCATTCTGCGCGCGGTGTTGTAATCAAGGCATTCTGGCCATTTCGCGAGGCAGTCGTTAACCCATTCTCGTCCACAATGGCTTTCGGTGCTGATCTCTTCAATATCTGGCAGCGCGCAAGTGGGGGGTTCAAGCTGTTCAGCGTCGAGAGCCTCAATCCTTTCTCAAGTTCAGTGGAGTATCTTTTTATTTTCAAGGGCCCTTTACTTACTCGTTAAATCCCAACTTCTCGCCCAGTTTGTTATCGTACTTAATCTTGTGCTCCCAAGACAGGCGTAGATCGAGGGCGCCGGAATCGTTAAGTTGGAACATCATGTTCTTACACAGGATATGCAAGACGTTGTCGACTGCCTTAGCCTCCAGCGGAAGAGTCATGATAACGGCTGGAAGGTCGGCAAGGGTGGCGAGGCAGGAGAAAATAGAGAGGGCATAGCTGAGAGCGTCCTTGAAGATCATGTGCCGGGTGCCTCGAGGGAGACAGTTGAAGATGAAGGTTTCGTAGACAGGGAAAACCTCGTCCAGATAGAAATCAACCCCGCTCAATCCGCTCATCCCACTCAGAGTGCTTAGAGGACTATCAGATCCCTCGGGGCTCCTAGGGCTCTGGGTGACTGGAGGAGATGCCATTGTTGTTCAGTTCCTTGTTGACGTGTTGGTTGGTTCCTGGACGACGACATTTTTTGAAATGGATGGGAATTTGAATTTGTTTTGTGTGAAGCCAACGGCCGGCTGGACGACGAGAGCCTGATGAGAGCCTATGTAGCCTTTGGTGAAGCTAATCACAACCGCCGGTTGAACGGTATGTTTATTTACCATTATCAGAAGTGAGCCAGATCCAGGGCCTTGTCTACTCCAATAAGTTCTATCCCTTCAAATCCATACTCTATCTCCCTTCCATTAACACCACCATTACTAGAATCACTTTATCTATCATCTCATAACCAATCTAGATGGGTTATCCTTACAGATTTATTTATCTCAAGTTCATCTAAAATAGTTAAAGAAGTCATAGTTTAGGGACGTCTTTTAATCCTCACGACACTTCAGGTACTACAGGAATGGCGGAACAAGATCGAAGAACACAGATACCTGGGACTTAGACACTCAGCAGATAGCCCCTGAGAACAAACTACTTATGGCATACTACCTGTACTACTCATCCCTTTGACAAGGCCAATAATGCTTTGATCGCCCTAGGCAAACGACCCGCAGATGTATTGTGAATAATAGGTCTTTTTTTCAAAGGGCGTATAGCGTATCACTAAACGCAAAACCCCCTTGAAGCCCCTATTCCAACAAAACATGACAGACATCACTAGAGTGTCTACATAGATACAAAGCTCAGATATCACCATCTTACACTGAACGGCTATCCATACACGTACTTCACTATGGCACACATCCTAAGCACATTAAGCAATAAATCCAAGGATGAATATACAAATGCGGCGAACAAATCTTCGCGTTTATCATCAGTTCAGTTATATAAATCAGTATCGAAACTGTAAAATACTGCCGCTACTTTTCAGCGAAGATACAATATCCCGAACCAGTTACTTCCTATCTCGACCCCAGGAAAATGCAAAGCCCACCCCACTCCATGCTATGCTCATAATACAAAAAAGGAAAACAAAAAAGGAAAATGACGCCAGTCATCGCTGTGCAATTGAATCTTTTTTGCCAGCCTACCCTCCCAAATGAAATATCTAGAAATCCCAGACTTGTATGTATCGCTTAATGAAACCTTTCCTTTTCCTGGACCTGTAAAACCTCTAACATGCACCATAACTATCTCATAGAAGTAACACCATTTATGCTTATGGACATGATCTCGTTACTTAAAGAGCGTGACCGTAACCTCCTTGATTACCGCGACCTTGACCACCCTGCTGCTGTTGCGGGAAGTATTGCTGTCGCGGCGGATATTGAGTGGGCGACTGCCTTCCCTGCTCGGGGTTCGCATATCCGGGCGACGGATTGGACCAACCTCCACCTTGAGCAAAAACATTTGCTGCGGGGGAAACCCACGCTTGCTGATTTTGAGCTTGCATGGGATATTGAGATTGCGGGTATTGAGATTGAGGGTATTGAGATTGCGGGTATTGAGATTGTGGGTATTGAGATTGTGCATACTGGGCCATGTTGTATTGTGATTGAGAGCCGCGGTGTCCGCCTTGCATCTGCTCGGGATACTGCTGGTGCATGGCTTGTTGTTGCCGCTGCGTAATTGCGTGCTGTACCGCTTGGCTGTTAATGCCTTGCTTGACTTGCTGTTTCTCATGTTCTCGTGCTTCGATAGCGCCAACCAGGCCACCGCCTGATCGATTGCTATTTTGAGCCATGCTGATCAGAGGCTGGCCAGTCAGCCGGGCTACATGCTCCTGCTCCCGTGCAGATAATTTCGATGTAATATCCCCAGTTCCTGCGGGACTTAGAGTTGCGGATGCGCCTCTGGAGCCAGGGCGTTGCAGGAGGTCCGTAGAGCTGTTGCGAGAATGACCTAGTACTGCCAAAGCGCCTCTGGAGCTGGGACGCTGGAGAAGCTCAGATGAGTTATTGCGAGAATGATCTAGGGCTGCTGAAGGGCCTCTCGAGCCGGGACGCTGCAGAAGGTCTACCGAGTTACCGCGAGAATGAAGCTGCTGGATATAATCGCTTGAACGATTGCGGTCGAGAGGAGGCGTGGGCGTCTCACGGCCAAGGGTATTACCAGACGGCTGCCTTTGATGGGCATATAATGGTATCGCAGCGGCTGCACGTTGTTGGACAAATTGTTCGGCAGTCATAGTTTGTTGGCTGGGGGAGGGGTTTCCACCAACAGCCAGACCTGGCTGCCATGCCAAAGTCCTGCTATCTGTTCGGTAGTGGGAATTCTCGGGTGTGATGGCCTTGCGGTTTGGAGACTTGGAGCGGCTAGCGTCATCAGGTCTGGCTGGGTAGTTATTCATGGCAGGACCAGGGCTTTGCTTTCGCGGCATTGGAAGCCGATCCGAAGCATAATTCAGAGTCGGGCCGAAGTCAATATGAATGGAGGAGCGTATATCTTGTGTAGGATTATTTGATTGCTCAACACCAACAGTTTTTTTGACACCAGCTCGTGGTCTTTCAACTGACTTCTGCGTATCAATTGATCGTCTCGTGCTAGCATAGTCTGGAGAGGTGGTGGACGCATTATCTTCGTAGACACTGTCGGAAGCACTGAGTTGTCGATTGTATTGTGAATCTGATTGCAAACTACCTTTCGGACCATTACTGCGTCCAATCATATCAAATGCTACCTGATCAATAATATGAGGCGCTAAGCTGTCAGCACTGGATGGCGTCTCCGCTGTTGGAGTTTGCGTGAAGGCGGGATTTTTGGGGAGAGGTTTTCGAGTAACGCTTGGACCGGTTCGGAGCTGTGGTGGTTGTTGCGGAGGCTGCTGTGAGCGACCGCTTGAGGTTAAATCTGTTGATTGCGGAGGGATATGACTATTCTTCGACTGGAAATTCTGGCTGTTCGGGTTTGACGAGGTAACACTTTGCGATTCATACATACCAGTATTACTTTGGGGATTTAACGAGTATTGGGGAGGAGGTTGAGAGGGATTCGATCGAGCATCGGGGACTGGTGGCCGCTGAGAAGAAGAGCCTTCAAATGAAAAACGCGAATCTGATGTTGCTACCAAGCCTTCATGGAGACCGTATTGGTTAGCAGGATGTTCAATTGCGTTGATATTTGATGGTACCCCCATCTGGCTCCTGACCTCCGGGTGTTGACCCATGTTCTGGCGTCTTTGATCTTCACTTATCCTGTGACTCTCCGCATTTGCATGATATGCTGCAGCAACTCCTCCCGCACCGGCCATTTGGGACAGAGTCGCGTTAGACATGCGACTGTTGGCCCTCCGAAGCTCTGGTGAGTGATATGGGTTGCCTAATGGTCGAGCCCCAGGGGGGTGTGAAAATGCTGGTGGAGCGGAAACTGGTGCTGGAGAACTGGTGTCTTGTAGTTCTTGAAGTTCCCGGACTGGGGTTCCTCGGCCAACGTGCTCATCCTCGGAGCTCACACGGTCAGGTGTCGCGACAATATCAGTCATATGCCGCAAGTTTGAGCCCTCACGTCCCACGGCTACACCAATGCTGTGTGGTGGAGGAGTGGGAGCTTGTTCATAAGCACTGTCATAACGAGGAGCAGGGACGTCAGTCTGGTAACGATCCATGCCATGGGTATCAGATACCGACCGGTTATGAGGCGACGATGACTGGCCAGAAGCTGCAAAACCACTCGAAGGGGGCGCAGAATCTGTCCGCGGTATCCCACCAGTGACACCATCTGCAGGAGGGCCTTGGGCCCATGTAGATGACGGCGTAGACTTGGCCGACGCACCATCATCAAACTGTACACGGCTCTGAGATGGGCCGAAGCTAGCGCGAGTACTCCTACGACTGCTGTATCGGCTGCCCTTACCACTCCCATTCTCGATAGTGGTCATACGTCTTTGTGTAAGCTCCTTCAATTTCCGTCTCCATTCGGCTTCCTTCCAGTTACCACTCCCTTGTTCTACAATAAGACCTGTCACGTCTAATATTTCTAGATAGCCATATCGACGATGTTTCGGCATTGCAAACATCAGACTTCGGGGATCCAAGGTGTCCGCAATCAGTCGAGCGGGACGTCCGTATAGGGCAAAAGTATCGAAGGCTGGAAAGAGCCAACGAAGCATTATTTCAAAACCAGTGACCGCAGGGTGAACTTCTGGCATTACGAAGACAAAGCCTTCAGTGGTGGAGGGCGGATTCGAGTGGATTGTTATGTTTCCCTCCACTTTGACAAGAGTTGAGGCATCGATGAGGGGTTTCGATTGTGGGTAGATAGCAAAAGCCGAATATGCGTCGGTAATTGTAGCGATTGGCATGGTTTTCTTAGTTTTCTTGGTGTCATAAAACTTGATGTCTCCTTTCAACACCGGAAGCCGCGACCGATCATACACGGATTTCTTCTTGTTGGCCAGTTTGTGTAGCTTTTGAACCTCCTTTTCATCCGGCGGTGTAATGACACACCAACATCTTCTCCATGGCGTTCCGGCACCGAAGCGTACTCGTGCCCAATCCTCATGCTTGAACTTGGCACGTTCCAATACTACGCCGATGCTATTCAAGGTCTTGCCTTTCCCGGCAATCAGAGCCCCGGTATAAGCCTCCTGCAAAGTGGCATGCTCGAACATCGCGAGCCTAATACCGGCAGTCCACTGGACCAGGGAGTGGTGCGAGTTGAAGTGCAAAAGATAACGATTCCTGCCTGCGGTGGATATGCTAAGGACATTTTGCAATGGGGGCTCGTTGTCGGATCGTGTGGGTAGAGACTCGATCTAAATCTGTTAAATGATATTTGGGAACTATAGATTGGAGTAACTCATACCATTTTTATCGATGCATCTGTTAGATTGATGAATTTGGGCAGAACCTCCCCTTCTTGGCCAGCTACATCTAACTCGGAGGCATCCCACAAAGAAAGAACCGTGCCAACCAGCTGGGCAAAACATTCTGTCCAGGTGCGATCGGCATTGGGTCTCCCCTCTATTCGGCATTAGAACGGACCAAACGGGGATAATAGGAACACCTACGTGTGTTTTGGTCATCCAACTTTAGGAAGTACCCCTCCTGATAAAGCTTATTGGCATGGCTATTCAAAAATGTAAAGATGGGTTGTAGCTCAGGAGGAGTGTCTTGTGATACGTCCATCAAAGGGGGCTGATATGTCTGGACCATGGACATAGGTCTCGAGGTTGGGCGCTCTCGCTGGGTTCTCGGCTGAGGGGAATTCCCGTCGGTATTGTGAGGGTGTGTGCCCGGGCCGGCTGGCGATGATGCTATATCCATTTGGCGATCCTGTCTTACCTGGCTATTTTTGAAAGTCTCATGCCTAGGCGGTGCCGGTGCAGATGGACTGCTGTGTGAGTCTCGATTTGATAAATTGTTCATGAACGAGAGGACTGAGGTCGGTCGTGGTAAGCATAGGTACTCCATATTTCATTCTCCAATCTGTCCTTGCTCGACTGCACTCACCTCGATTGCGGGTCCCCATCTTGGGCGATTTTTGGGATTTCTATTCTAATAGCAAGCGGTATGATCTATTGGGAGGCTGGAACGAAACGTCCGCGGCGGTCCGGAATGGAACTGAGACTGAGTCGAGGAATGGGGGAACCGGCGACGGGGACGGCGAGACAATTGGGACGCTATGATATCGACGAACGCATCCGAAGCTGTCAGGAATCGCCGACCGGAGAAAGACAAGCGGGTTATATAAACGACGAAGGTTTATCGGGAGCACGAGACAGCAAGACGGTGCTGGATAGCAGCAGGACGATGGGTTCTTTAGTGTTGTCGAGGGCGTGGAATAGCCCATAAATTAAAACCTTGAGGGATCTCACCCCACACGTCACTGGCACGGCGACTTCGTACTTCAGCAGTGCTACAGGGTCGGGAAACCTGGTGCGCGCGCGTAATCGGCCGCAGCCACTGCCGGTCAGGTCTTGTCGTGTCTTTGAGTCTGCACGCTAGGCTGGGTTGCTGGAGCTGGGCTGGGCTGGGCTACGCTGGGCGGGCAGCGAAAGGAGCAATGATTTGAGTTGTGTTTAGCTGTGTCTCTGGCTGGAATTTGGGAGATCTGGAAGATGGGAGAAGCCAGGAAGACAGAAAAAGAGAACAGACGAGCGAGCTGTGGTTTTGGTTTCTGCTTCTCCAGGGTCCTGCGACCAGCAACCGGGAGCGTCGGTCTGTGACTTCAGAATCTTTAGGTACCAAGCTTATTCAGACACACTGGCACTGGCAGTGGCACCCTCGCACCCTTTACCAGACCTTGCACACCTCCGTGCTACAGTATCTACAAGCACCAGAAGAGAGACAAGCCAAACACCCAGGCGCATACTCCATACTGTATTGGTACACATTCTCCGTTCTCCGAGACTTCTCCATCCCAAGACCCCAAGACTCCAAGACCGGCCAGGTCAGGACGACCAGGGCCACGCGAGCATCAACCGTGCATCCAGGGCCATTCAATTGTCGTATTCCAAGAAGCCCGGATTATTCACGCTTGCTCACCGGCTCCCCGCTGCTTGGCTGACCGTGGCTCATGAGCTGTTACGCGTCACAAGTCTCTGATTGAGAATTCGCAGAGGTCGTTGTGAAACGTGCTGGCTAGCTATGGCGATGGATGTGGGTGTGGGTATGGGTATAGATGCTGGACTACTGTGCTCTGTATGGTCATGATTAGAGCATCAGCATCGCCGTAGAGAGCAACGCCGCTTACTACAGCTCCGTATACTAGCCCATAGCGAGGATGGGCATAGGAGGGACACTCCATAACTGGATATTAGTGCCTCGTATCGGTTTATTACGGACTATTAAAGTTCTTACTAGCTGCGTTTGCTGCAACGTGCTCCAATTCCGACAGCGACAAGAAAGCAAAGCCACTGTACACTCTCCAAGCTGGGAATAATAACCGTGTCCTTATGGTTAAATCAGCCGTACGAAGTAGCTGTTACATTATTGACCTACCTACTTACTAGCACATCCTCCGTACTTCGTACCTAGGGGATAATAATCCTTCTCGTGTGTCGTCCGTACTCGGTACACCGTGGAGTTCATCACCATCTGCCATCTGCAACGGGTGCTATTCTTGGGAACGCTGGCCCAGTGGCGGCCCAGCCAGCAAGCCAGCCAGCCTAACGAGCCGCCTCTTTCAATTTCTCACATTCGATAATAATGCCGCCTTATCCTCGTCCTCCTTAGATTCCATATTCATATTCATCATAATGCAATCAGAGTGCCCAGTGCAGCCGTTCTACTAGGGTGGTTGGAGTCGCCCAGGCTCGATAATAAAGTTGAAAAGGATAGGTACGGCGAGAGTGTGGACGCCGCTGGTAGAAGCGTCACCGGCTCACAGGGACGACCATCCATACTGTGCTCCAGTTGTTTCGGAGCCCCGTTGGAACTTGCGACTCGGGCGTACTCGTACTGTACCAACAATGATATTCCCCGTGATGCCATGCCATGTGGTGCTTGCTGGGCAATGCAGTGTGATTCGGGCCCCGAGATCGCTACAATAATCACGTCAAAATCATGGACATGGACATCAACAAGGCATCGTTCCTTTCGGTCCCGGATCTATCCTAGCGACTTGACAAAGCCTTATCGCAACACAACGGACCTTTGCGAATCTCCCAACTTGCTCTTCTTCTTCCACGTGGGTCCTTTGTCACTCGCGCAATCACGTGTGATCGACAATCCACAGGCATCTTTAACCTTATCTCCAAGGTTGTTCCCGTTGCGATCGTGGCGACTTCTAGGGAGACACAAACAAACCCCAGCGTGACAGAAATCGGAAAAGGTCCTCCTGGATACCAAGACCGGTTCACGACGCTGGGATGAGCAGATTGCTCCTTCAAACCCAAGCTGTGCGAGCCATTACACCTCAAGCCCGCCGTTATCTTGCTACCCGTACGCCAGAATGCCGACCTAACTTGGGGCCAGCCTCGGCAGCAACAGAGGCTGAATCAGAAACGCCTGTTCGACAACGAGAGCCTCTACCTTTTCGATTTGAGACGGGCCTCTCCTTATATGCGAAGAGGGCACCGAGACCTTTCCCTCCGCCATTTCTATCCCCGCCGTCAGGCTCGTTTTCAGACCCCCTCAGCACGCATCACCGAAGCCGAGACAGACGCGCCTTCGTCAACGGGGAGCTGATTCGAGGGTACACAAATGGAGACGACGCGGTATATTTCAGCGACGATTTTATCGGGGCGACTGATGGCGTTGGCGCGTGGTCGACGAGACCGGGAGGACATGCTGGGTTCGCCTAGTCGAGCATACTTATTAGAGTTCTGCTAAGATTGCATAGGCTTTGGTCTAGGTTAATACTACATTTCTGGGCTCTCGAAACAGAGCTGGACGCAGCCCGACCTCGCCCTCCTGGACAAAAATACCAGCCGACCCCTATCGAATATCTACAGAAGGCCTACGAACAGACAATAGAAGCTACTTCGAAGCCAAACCAATGGCAAGGGACGACCACCGCGGCAGGGGCACAGTTGCATTTCCAAAAGTCGAGTGAAGACCCAAATTCCCCCGCTTCCCCTCTATTATATGTCACGAATCTCGGCGACTCCCAGGTTCTCGTCCTCAGACCTCGAGATTCCGAGCTCGTATACAAAACTACCGAACAATGGCATTGGTTCGATTGTCCCTGGCAACTGGGCACGAATAGTCCGGATACTCCCGCCGGAAACGCTGTTATGGACGAAGTTGCGATTCAAGAGAATGATGTGGTACTAGCTATGTCAGATGGTGTTATAGATAACCTGTGGGAGCATGAAATTATCACCAATGTTGTCAACAGTATACGCAAGTGGGAACAGGGTGAGGGTGGAAAGAGCACCGGAGACCGAAGTGGTGGTGCTAGCGGTGGCATGCAGTTTGTTGCTGAAGAGCTGATGAAGGCTGCAAAGGTCATTGCTACGGATCCATTTGCGGAGAGCCCGTTTATGGAGCGTGCTGTGGAAGAAGGTCTAGCCATGGAAGGAGGTACGGCATCCTCATTGAAGTACATATAACCCCAGCTAATAATTTTAGGCAAGCTTGACGACATTAGCGTGGTAGCTGCTATCTGCCTTCGCAATGGGGGATGAAATAGCATGAACGACGACGACGTTAGATTCGAAGACTCAATATCTCTGGACGGGTCCCTCTGAACGCTCCCGATACCCTATTCCTGCTTAGGCCCGCTCGCACCAGCAATAATAAAGGCAATCTAGATGGAGTGGCCCTTAATGAAATGCCCAATCAAACATAGAAGCTCAAGCGCTTGATGCAATATCGCCGACGAACCCCACGCCACCTCCTAGCCACAAGGTCGAAATTTCGACCACCCTATGCACGCCGCTTGGAATAGTAGACGGCTGGGATGATTTGGGAGAATTAATAACTAATAGAGGCTTGCTGGTATGAGCAGACGATAATCACACACCATTATGAGCACTTGGCTTATTAATATGTATGATACGGGAAGGGTTGAACTCGGTACTTATTGGTGGTAGGCAAACGATAGGTAGCCTTAGAATAATCCTAATAGTTGCTGCGGCATATGCTGTGCTTTTATTCGTTATTCTTCCAAACATCCCCATCGAGATTGTTTTCCAACTTCTAAGATCAAAATCCTCAAGGGTTCCCTAGGATATGTACCTATTCCTATTCCTATCCTCACTTGTAGGATTCACCTTAAGTCCGAAAGCCCAACTTTCTCGGATCCCTGTAGGCTGATAAGCTCGATAAGGAAGCTTGGATTTTAAGCGCAAAATAAAAGTTTCATCCGAGCAACACGAATAAACAGCGATCATTTCACAACCGCCTCGGATACGTTAGCTACCAGCACACACATACTGCGTGGTTAAGAGGTTAAGTCAAGATGAGGGGGAAACGGTCAAAGCAGTATCGCAAGCTCATGGAGCAATATGGGATGAGCTTCGGGTTCCGCGAGCCATATCAAGTCCTAGGTGCACCCCTCCTCGCGATAGCATTTTTCAAGTCAATTGCTAACAGTTTGATGCGATAGTCGATTCGGAGATTATCAAAGATGCAGATAAGTTTAAAATGGACCTCGTTGGGGGGTTGGAGCGGACGCTTCATGGTCAAGTCAAACCAAGTATGTATATAGCAGAGATCTCTATCTACAATTTTGTCTGACTAGCGATAGTGATAACACAATGCTCCATGCGCCACCTCTATGCCGCGGCCTCTGAGCCAGGCGTTTCCTATCTCATCGACAAAGCCAAAACTTACGAGCGTCGTCGCTGCGATCATCGTCCGGAGGACTTCCCGGAACCGCTCAGCAACAAGGAGTGTCTCGCCTCAGTGGTAGATCCCAAGGGCAACAAGACAAATAAACATTGCTACGTAATCGCAAGTCAGGATCTGGAACTCCGGAAACATATGCGGGGAGTGATGGGTGTGCCGTTGGTCTATATCAATAGAAGCGTGATGATAATGGAGCCGATGGCGAGCGCGACGGCCCAGAATAGGGCGAGGGAGGAACGCGGCAAGTTCAGGGCTGGCTTGAAGAGGGGGAGTGGGAGTTTGAAGCGGAAGAGGGATGATGAGGAAGGGGAGAAGGATGGGGAGGAGGCGGGAGACGACGATGCTGCGCCTAAGAAAAAGTGGAAGGCCAAAGGACCTAAACAACCTAATCCGTTGGCCGTGAAGAAGGCGAAGAAGAAGCCAGAAGATGGGACATCTGCTGCTGCTGCTGGGAAGGAGAGTAAGAAAGGCCCAGCGACTGAAGGGTCCGGTCTGGATGCTTCGGAACCGGGCACGAAGCGGAAACGAAGACGGAAACATAGTAAGCCGGTTGGGGAAACTGAAAGTGTGGCAGCAGTGCCAGTGGCAGTGGCAGTCGACGATGAATGATTTATTACATTGGCCGGCGTTTTGAGGAGTTTCCTACATTTTGAGTTTCTCTTATTCACTCTTCTTGGAAGGGAAATAAAATACCCGATTCAAAAAGTTATGAGATGCTTGGCTGCGTGATATTTAATATTCTGGTACCTATAGCCGTTGGATACAGTAAGCTTGGGGTCTACTTCGTATAGCACAGTTGTCTTTGCAAAATTAGATACAGGTGAGCATCACGTGCTAAACCAGTTATCTGCTTCACCTATTCTTTACAATCGTAGGTCAATGTAATGTTGTTGTTAAACAAAGCATCTACAGAGCATGTACTCATGTACTTTAGCATTTGGCGTCCCAGACCCACGCCACACGCCGTTTCGAATTCCCCACAAAAACGTCTAGTTGCATCATCCCTGTTCGTCACGCAAGTGTGCGCAGCACCAGCACAATCTTAAGATCGTAAGCTCCAAATAATACCGCCTACGACAGGATGCTTGCAGCCTTGAACGAGCAAAACTCCACGTCTTGTTCCAAGGAGCCTGATGAGCACCTGTCCTTGAAGGCATTCTTTTCTATTTCCCGTGGAAATCACTAAGTACAAAGGAGGTTTGGGCGGCGCACGCCGGATCGCAGGTGGACGATCAACATGCCGGCGAGCGACGACACGACGACTACCAGCACGGAAAAGCCTGCCGAAGCTAGGAAGAATATTGATGATGGGGCAGGTGATTCCACCAAGGGCGTTGAAACGGCAGAGGTAGATGATTTCGGATTGCCTCTTAAAAAGCGGAATGTGCCCGAACAGGTAAAGCAAGATGTGGAGGCTACCAGCGCAAATAAGGAGGCAACCAAACTGGAGGGAGCAGAGACCAATGGGTATAATGGGGGTACGAGCTCTGAATCTTTAGGAAGTTCTTCTCGAGGTTCAGGGTCAAAATCAGAGGCAACACCAGCAGACGATGAGAGCGAAGACGACGACTTCAAAGATGCCCCTTCAACACCAAACCACGAACCACAAACTCCTCCAGAGCCTGCATCACAACCCACGACTAATCCCGACAAGCCTGCGGAAACCCCCCAACCAGTCGAATCTGTTCCGGCTGCACCTCAATTAGCCATAAAAGAACCCGAACCCGCCAACGATAAAAATACCAAGGAGCCAACGGCGGCCACAACTGCAGAACCGAAAGATGCACGTCTACAGAAGCTAGGGGCCAAGGAAGATACTGATGGAAGGAAACGCTCATCGTCACAAACTCAAAGCGGGCATACTCGACAAGCAAGCTCGGTGGGACAAGGAGTGTCAGAATGGTCACATCAGCAACTAGCTCCAAGGGAAGAGAAAGTCCCGGAGCCCGAAGAAGACGAATGGCAGACTATGCCCGCATTCGCGCCCTACGATATATACGATGATGATAACAAGCTTATTGCGCGGGAGGCACATGAGTCTGATGACGAAAAGGATGTCTACGCAGGCCTTGGAGGTGCTGGAAGGGGGTATACTAGGGTCCAACTGGACGAGGATGCACAATCCGCTACAAGTCTAGATGAAAACACCCAATATCTGTTCAAGGACATTAATGGGGGCACTGGTGCTGGGGAAATGGAGGACGACGAGCAACGAGATGCTGTTTCGCAAATGCAGGCCACGAAAGACCTGTTAACAGAGGGCCAAAGGATTGCCTATGTTGGCATGACTCGATTGATTCTATCGAAAATGGTCAGTGACGTAGAGGCTCTGGTCGTCAAGGGGGTTAAGAAGGAGATTCCGATGTCTGTTGAAGCCATCCGGATGTGGAGTCAGAAGATGATGGTCCGGCTATACGCCCACATGGATATCAGCGCGGCGGAGCAGATAATGATTGAACAACTCTCTGATCATGGGGTTGTGCCGTCGGATCTCACTCCTACGCTGATGCAAAATGCCCGAGTTAAGAACCCTATGGCCGACAAAGACTCACCTACAGCAAGTCTTTCTTCTCCGCGACCTGATTCAACAGCGTCGTTGGACACAAGCCCTAGGCCTTCAATTTCATCCAAACCATTTACGTCTTCCCCAGATCTACGGCAGACATCTTCATTCCCAGACGAAGAAGAATGCGCCTCGGCACCACCTCCCTATCAAGAGCACGAGGGCGATGATCTTCCCGAAGTCCGGACGCCTTCACAACTCCCGAATACTACAAATATTGACATTGATCTCCGGTGGACGGTCCTCTGCGATTTATTCCTCACGCTTATTGCCGATTCCATCTATGATGCTCGATCTAGAGTTCTGCTTGAGAAGGTAGGAGAGAACATGGATGTCTCTTGGCTCGAAATATGCCGATTTGAGAAGCGAGTAACCGATGCACTAGAGATGCAACAAGCAGCAGAAAAGGAAAACTGGAACGAAGACGAACATAAGGAGAACCGGCGGAAACTGGCGCTGAAGAAACGTTACATGATGATGGGTCTTGCTACTGTTGGTGGCAGTCTTGTCATTGGACTCTCAGCTGGTTTGCTTGCCCCCGTCATTGGCGCTGGACTCGCTGCAGGCTTTACCACGATCGGCGTGGCAGGTACCAGTGGGTTCCTTGCCGGTGCTGGAGGTGCTGCAATTATTACTTCGAGTGCTGCTGCTTCAGGTGGAATCATTGCTGTCAAGGCTGCGAACCGAAGGACCGGTGCTGTCAAAACATTTGAGTACAGGCCACTACATAATAATAAACGAGTCAACCTAATCGTCACGGTATCGGGGTGGATGGCGGGAAAAGTCGACGATGTCCGTTTACCGTATAGCACGATTGATCCGATTATGGGTGATATCTACTCCGTGCTTTGGGAACCTGAGATGCTCACGAGTATGGGAGACACTATTAATATTTTAGCTACGGAGGTAAATAAGTTCTGTTTATAATGTATGGCTCTTGTGCTAATATTGTCCAGGCTTTGACACAAGGTCTTCAACAAATCCTCGGCAGTACGATTCTAATTAGTTTAATGGCCGCTATGCAACTGCCTATTGTTTTGACGAAGCTCGCATACCTCATCGATAACCCCTGGACGGTGTCTCTCGATCGAGCCAATGCCGCAGGATTAATTCTGGCAGATTCCCTCATTGATCGTAACCTGGGCACGCGCCCCATTACGTTCGTGGGATATTCTCTTGGATCAAGAGTTATCTTCTCCTGCTTAAAGGAGCTTTCTAAGAGAGGGGCTTATGGGCTTGTGCAGAATGTTTTTCTGTTCGGCTCGCCGATTGTGGCCAAGAAAGATGAATATTTGAAGGCTAGGTCTGTCGTTGCTGGTCGGTTTGTCAACGGATTTGCAAAGAACGACTGGATTCTGGGGTACTTGTTCCGCTTGACAAGTGGCGGCGTTAGTCGCGTTGCGGGGCTTGCACCCGTAGAGGGTATTCCAGGGCTGGAAAACCTCGATGTTACGGAACTTGTACCAGGACACATGTCGTATCGAACAGCAATGCCAAAACTTCTCCGACAAGTAGGTTGGCAGGTGGAAAGTGACGAGTTCACAGAGATCGAGGATCCCGATCCGGAAAATCATTCGCAGCGTCAGCGAGAGTTGATTAATGAGATCGAAGAGGCGCGGAAGGAGTTCGATAAGAAGGAAAAGGAATCAAAGGGAAAATTTGCGTTCTTTACCCGCAAGAAGAAAAATGTCGTTGAGAGGAAAGAGTGGGAAACCTACGATGACTTTAAAAATAATCCGGAGCACCAGTCGAACACTGAAGATTCGCTTGGCAACAACCACGGCGTTCTCTTCGACATTGATGCTATCCGCGCCGAGCTGGCAAGTGAGCAGATGGAGGTGAAAGAGCTAAAGTCGACTCTACCTCCGATGAAACTTGATCTCGCCTCTCCCACGTTGACGAATCCTCGAGACTCGTTACGGGAAACGAAGAGCGCCGATGCATCAACGATGCTTCGAACAAGCGATTTCAAGTCGTCGCCATCTCCGTCGCCGCGAATGTCGAGTAGCAATGATCTGCCTATTAGGAATCTCGACCTAGATCCACCTCGTCCCGCCGCTCGTCATGGCTTCGGAGACGACGAAATCCAGATGACGTTCGACGAGCCCGCCTACCATCCTCGCACGCCACTCTCTGCTACGCCTTCTTTTAATACCCTTCATTCCCACCCAACGCCGCTCTCCGCTACGCCTTCTTTCAACAACCTTCATTCCCATCCATCTCCTAGTATAGCAAAGGGAACCATAGCGGCAGAGCGACCGGAGTTGAAGACCAGTAGTACAATGCCGGCAACACTCCCGTCGTTACCCGTGGATCACAATGCGTGGGCGGACGACGATGATGAATTTGGAGCAGAGAAAGAAATCCAGATGACTTTCGCATAGACAGAATGCAAGGGAATAAGACCACGGATATAATTAATACCATACACATGTTATCATTGCCCGGGAATGGGCCCCTTTCGGGTAGTGGGAAGCGGCGTTCAAAGCGAGGCGAATAATGGGGGGTTTGGATGCATTGGTGGAATACCACAGAAGAACTGGGGGTGTTGACATAGGAAGGAGACATGAGGCACATCGTCTTTATAAGAAACAATTCGTGTAATTATAATAAGTCGCGTGTTTATTAACATCCCTAGTATTATTGCATCGTACCGATTTTCCCCAGACCCACCGTGCCTAAATGTGAGAGTTTATACGTTGGTTCTATATACAAGACTTATATATCGTCTTTGATGTTACCTCAGGGCCAACGAAGACTCTGACCCACTAACCGGTATCGCCTCCCTCATTCTCACCTCACTCCACCTCTTTTCAGACCTAACTTCTAGGGCTAGTCGTTACACCCTCAATTAATGACACAGCAAGCCCTTGAGCAATCAAACCTTCGCTGCTGTTTTTTTACAAGCTGCGTATTCTGCCTCTTCTAACCTCGGTGTTTACGTGTGCTCTACCACTTCTTCCTCTCTTGGTCGTTCGAGCCTAAACTTGCTTGTGCTCAGTCCTACCGCCGTCATGTCGCTCAGTTCCAGCACGATGTTGCGCCTTTCTGATACTTTTGTTATTAGCTGTGGTACAATCACTCTGGATCCTGTTGAAGCAAAGATGCTTCTTATTCGCTGGAAGAAAAATGGAGAGGTTTTCCTACCCAAAGGACGCAAGAACATTGGCGAGACCTTAGAGAATGCCGCAATACGAGAGACCTACGAAGAAACAGGTTTCCGAGTAACTCTCCTCCCGTTGCGGATTCCCACACTCGCAACTCCAGTGGCGGCTGCTAACCTGGACGGTGAGCTAACCACGGAGCCTGTTGCTGTTAGCCAGCGTCTCACGGACGACGAGACACTCAAGCTCATTTTTTTGGTTTTCCGCGAAGGGAGACTCTACCGCTACGCCTGATGCAGGAACACAGGAGGAGGGGGAGGACTTTGACCCAGTCTGGGCAGATCTCGAAAATGCAGTTCAGACTCTGACTTTCGACGATGACAAGCAGATTGCACAAACAGTCGTTAAGCTGTATGTCCTCCTCTACTACTATAAAACTTATTTTGTCCTTTGTTCATACTGACTTAAAACATATAGATTCCGAGCCAGCTCTATAGTCGAGAGTCAGGACAGTTGACCACGCCAATAACACCTTGATCTGAGGGTATCTTATGAACTGGCCCTTGTTACCCGAAATATTGCCCTTAGTAGCATCAGTAAAACTTGGGAATATCGAGACCTGAGCACGTGCTTCTATATGTGCTAGCTCAGCCCTCAGGCACTGTAACCGCCAATAAATTACTGGTACAAATTGAAGCAACCGTTAGCAAAAGAGGGAACCTAAGAGTGGGTTGAAATCGCATTGCAAAGTTGCAAAATAATTCCGTGCAGCCGACTCCCGCACTCGGGAGGGATCTCGCGTCGCACTCGCCGAGATCGTGCGACGCCAGAAGCACTATCCGCACTGCTTGAAAGATTGAATCAACCTCCTTCTTCCTTATGTCACAACTTCTATACGTATCATTGAAATAGCAGCATATGAGATAATATGACTAGCATGCTAGGCAGTGAAATGTACAGTCCAAGTCCATCTCGTAGACCGAGCTGGGATGAAACGGATGTTTTGCGGTTCTTAAACGCCCTCGAAACACCTGAAAAAGTGATCAATTGGATACCACAAGCGGGTACTTCGTTCGAAGCACTCAGTAAAGTAAGTTCCCCTATATATAGATTATGCTAGGCTAATGCATCAAATCAGCCACCATTTTACCTCAGCAAACACGCAGCCTTGCGACCACTTCCCTCGTTACAATCGCCAGATTCATCACGGTAAATCTCCCGTTCCACCGTAGCTTTCGCACTATCTTACTTGCCTACGTCCATATGAATCATGCCCCGTGATTTTCGCAAATTTTTTGGGAGAAGACCCGACAAAAATGTCGCCAAGGCTGAAGCAACAGCAGCCAATTCCACCACAGATGCTCTCCCTGATGACAAGGCTTTTGGTTTGACAACCTTTGTCGAGGGCGTGAACCCGGTAGTTGAGTAAGTACTCTCAGCAGTCCTTACCTTCACAAGTCTTCCCTATTATTGTGGACTATAGCAAATCGTAGTGTCATGGTTCTAGTATCATTGCCATCCATGGTCTCAATGGCCACCGAGAGAAGGCCTGGACAGCGAAGAACAATGTCAACTGGCTACGTGATCCAAACATGCTGCCGGCCGCAATCCCAAATGCGAGGATAATGAGCTGGGGCTACGATGCCAACACACATAGTACGAATAAATTATCAGCGATGTACCTCTACGATCATGCGAACGATCTGGTTTCTGATCTCAGCCGCCATAGGCGCCTCGACAAAGTAGGCTAATATGTTCTCGATTCCTTAATTTCTCTTTAAGGGTCATCTAAACATTTTGCAGACAGATAATCGGCCGATCATTTTCATTGCTCACAGCCTCGGAGGAATTGTCCTGAAAAGTGTACAGTCGTCCCTCCTAAACCCGACTTATAAGTTATGGTCTAACAAGAGGGCTAGGCACTTATTCATTCCGACTCGGCACGATCCGGCCATCTTCATCATCACAGGTCGATAAAAACCTCTACATACGGCATCATGTTTATGGGAACTCCTCATCAAGGTGAAAGCGTGGCGTTGGGCAAAATACTGGTTGGGATTGCGTCGATATTTGTCAACACGAATGATCGCCTTTTGAATACCCTCGCGAAAGATTCGGAAGCTCTCCAGCAGCAGTTGGGTCAATACACCCCGATAAATGGTGACTTTGAGACCAAGTTCGCCTTCGAGACTAAAGCCACGCCCCTGTTCCTTGGGAGCTCGACCATTGTCGTTCCAAAGGCCTGTGCTGTTGTCCCAGGTCAGGTTAATGCTGAAGCAATTGCTATTATGGGTAACCACATTGACATGGTCAAGTTCTCCTCGAAGAACGAGGAATTTGAGACAGTTGCTGGCCATCTCAAGCTTATGGCTGAGGAAGCCCCGGCAAAGATACAAGCAAATTGGTTAACTGAGAGCGACGTGGCAGCTGGTAGGTCAAACTTCAGGCGGTCGCATATCATGACTATTTGCCAGTTTCAAAGCGAAACCACTCCGTATCGTGCAGCTTTCTGTAGCTTGAAATATAATCGAAAATTATTGGGCGACATGCATTGGCTAATACTTTGTGCTCTAGCCCGCGATAAGAAGCAGAAGTCAAATTTCGACGTTGCTTTTGACTTGACAAAGATTCCGAAAACAAGCGCTTTCATTGGACGCAAATCAGACCTAAACCTGATAAAAAAGCACTTGATGCCAGGTGAAACATCAGACCGCCGAAATATCTGCGTCCTCCATGGCTTAGGCGGTATAGGCAAAACGCAGCTGGCTATCGAATACGCGAGATTGCAGAAGGCTCTATACACCTCCTTCTTCTGGCTCGATGGGAATACGGAGGACTCTTTAATTCAGAGCCTTTTGATAATAATGCGACGCCTTCCGAAGGGCCAGATACGGGACGTTAAGATTGAAGATATTAAAGGATCGGATGAATCGAAAATGATAGCACAGGAGGTGCTGGAGTGGTTTGCTCTTGATGGAAATAACGGATGGCTTCTAATTTTTGATAATATCGATAAAACGTCTTACGAAGAAGAATCTTCTAGCCACGATTCCAACTCTTCATCCTACGACATCACGCAGTATTTCCCACCCGGCGACACTGGTTCCATCATCGTCACTACACGCCTTCAACGACTTGCATCCCTTGGAGAAAGTATCCATTTATGTAAGCTTAATACTTTGGATAGTCTTTTCATCCTTGAGAAGAATGCAAGGCGGGCTTTGAAGCGGTCCCCGTCAGCAGACGGATCCGAAATTGGCCACTGGGATCCAGGTCAGTCAAGTCAGCATGTACCAAGGCGGCCAACACGTCTTTTACATTAGTACCTCTACTTCCCAAGGCTAATATCATATTAGATGCAGTCTCACTCGTCGAACGTCTTGGATACCTTCCTCTCGCATTAGTATTTGCAGGCTCCTACATCTCCAAAGTGGATATTCCCAAGTATGTTAAATTATACGACAAGTCATGGGCACAGCTCCACAGTAAGATGATCCGTAGTGATTATCCGGAACGAACTATCATCACAACTTGGCAGATATCGTTCGACGAGATACAAGTCAGGAATAAAGAGGCTGCAAAACTGCTCCAACTCTGGGGTTACCTCGACCGTCAAGAACTTTGGTTCGAACTCGTACAGTGGCGAGATTTTGAGAGTGGAGCGCCTGACTGGCTTCAAAAGATTACGGTTAGCGAGGTCAGCTTTTTCGCAATGATCGATGCGCTTTTGGATTACTCGCTTATTGAGCGTAATGATAATTGCAATACCTTTTCAGTACATGCGGTAGTCCACGATTGGATCCAAGCATCAGTCAACCGAAAGGCAGATAAAGAGCTATTGCACACAGCAGTAACCACGATTGGACTAGCAGCTCGAGTTGTGAACATGAGAGATTCTGCAGCTCTCCAACGACGGATATTTCAACATGCCGTACACTGTTCACAGTACTGGGGTGCAGTCGACTTCGAACAATCTGTAGATACAATGTATCTATGGAGTCTTAATAGCATAGGCAACCTCTACCTAGAGCAGGGCAGGCTTGCTGAGGCGGAGCATATATACAAGTGGGCGCTAGAGGGCAGGGACGTGGCTCTTGGGCCAGAGCACCCGTCGACACTTGAGGTAGTTAATAACCTAGGTATCATCTACTCGCAGCAAGGCAGGCTCGACGATGCAGAGCAGATGTGTAAGCGGGCACTGATGGGTACGGAGGCGGCTCTTGGGCCAGACGACCTAGCGACGCTTAATGTAGTTAATAACCTAGGAAACATCTACTCGAAGCAGAGCAAGCTCGCCGAGGCGGAGCATATGTATAAGCGGGCGCTAGAGGGCAGGGACGTGGCTCTTGGGCCAGAGCACCCGTCGACGCTTGAGGTAGTTAATAACCTGGGTGCTGTCTACTCGCAGCAAGGGAGGTTCGCCGAAGCAGAGCAGATGTATAAGCGGGCGCTAGGGAGTAACTCAAAGGAGACGGCTCTTAGGCCAGAGCACCTGTCGACGCTTGAGGTAGTTAATAACCTAGGCAACCTCTACTTGGAGCAGGGCAGGCTTGCAGAGGCAGAGCATTTGTTTCAGCTGTCGCTAGAGGGCATAGAGGCAGCTCTTGGGCCAAAGCACCCGTCGACACTTCAAACGGTTAATAACCTAGGCATCCTCTACCAGAAGCAGAGTAGGTTCGCGGAGGCGGAGCCTATGTATAAACGAGCGTTAGAGGGTAGGCAAGCGGCTCTTAGGCCAGGGCACCCGTCGACGATTAACACAGCTCATAACCTAAGCATCCTCTACTTGCAGCAGGGCAGGCTTGCGGAGGCGGGGCAGATGTACAATCAGGCAGGCCCGGGAAGTATAACATAGAATAGTTTATTAAACAATTATATCAGCTGCCTGCATCTGTATAGGTATAAGGGTATAGCCGGTACTTATTTATTTGGCGCTAGTAAAGGGCAATTCTTTTTTTCAAGTTTTAATTATATAAGAACCGATGATTAAACCACTTAATTGGGTTAATAAAAACACTTTAACCGACTCTTTATTAGCGCTATCAAATACTCACTTGTCATACCTCCGTACTCGTACATACCCCAAGCACGGAACCTGAGAATTAATCATCAAAGTAGTCATTACGAGTAAGCTGTGATTCTCGCCTAGACCGAAATTGTCCGTAAGCTATGTGGCTTGGTCACCAGTTACTCCAAATCCCAAGTTTTCATCGCCTGCGGTAAATTCCCGGTGCTGAATTTCTCGATCGTGGTGCAGTGGCCGCTGAGTGTCGGCAGGAGTCGCGCCGGGTCTGTCCGGGATTAGGACGAGGCTGAAATGGAGGCTGAGTCTGAGCAGTACCTCCGTATTTCCGGTTGATATTAGTGTTGTATTTTACTGCTTGGACGCCTCCGTACGTCATATCATCAGCACCCCATCATGTTTACCAAGAGTGCAAGATGCATCGTACGAGGGACGTTGGTAGCTCAAGCACTAATGCATATCGATAGGTAAGCACTTCACGCTTCCTACCGAAGAGCATCCGTATCGATACCGATCATGCCACCCCAGATTATTTTCCTAATTTTTCTACGCTATTGCTTTTGTACCGCCGCAGCCTCGTGTCGAAATATTCTGCTTTCGGGGTGTGGCGCGAGTGCTGGAATACCATTGGGCTAGACAGGGAGATTTCTCTGGCGGTCTATTTTCGAGACGTTGGCGTGTTTCCGTCCCTTACCTAATGCCTAGGAGATATTGGCCTACGCCGCTGCCCAGCCGTCTCACTCCCTATGATATAAAAGTCATTGTTCAGCCTCGAAGGAAATTTCTCTTTTGCCTTTGGAATCCAAAATAATTTAGTACCAATACAAATACAAACCATATTGTACTTGCTTCGGCTTACCTATTTTCTGGTCCACACTCAACTTGCACTCGCAATACACAACACATACACATACCCTTCAACCCCGACCAACATTCCAATCTACCATCCTGTACAAGTGAGGCCAAAGCTATCACTTGTCTTAGCAGTCAAGATCTCCGATGGACATCTCGAAGTTATCGACGGCATTACCACTCAGCCGACCGCAACTTTCAAAAGCGGTTGCCGCCAGCATGTTGCGCTCGTGTAGTGCACACGGTGTGGCGGGATGCAGGCCGGTGCTGGGCAGTTACAGCCTGCATCTGCAACAAACACAATCGTCAATTCAGAGCCAGAATCGGCGCCAATTTTCATCAACGGCGAAATTTCCCCTCCAAGCTCGGAGACAATTTTCGAGCACGGCAAGGACGAGTTTGAAGGCTTATTTCCCCGAACCGGAGACCGAGAAGATTAGAACATCTCCGCCGGCATGGCCTCATCCCGGGTATGTGTCATATATGTTATCCTTCTAGATTTTTGCATATCGACTCGAATCAATGCTGACATCGTCTATAGATTTACAGTGGAGCAGATGAGAGACAATGTCGCCTATGCGCACCGCCAACCCAGAGACTTCTCAGACCGTGTAGCGCTGACAATGGTCCGCCTACTTCGCTTTTGTATGGACACCGCCACAGGATATAAGCACAACGTGGAGCAGCCCAAGAAACCTGGCGATGCGAATGCCGTCGCGGAGACGAAGCCTTACGGCATGGACGAGCGGAAGTGGTTGATCCGTATGGTCTTCTTGGAGTCTGTTGCAGGTGTGCCGGGCATGGTGGCTGGTATGCTGCGACATTTGCATTCCTTGAGACGGATGAAGCGGGATAATGGATGGATCGAGACGCTGTTGGAAGTAAGTCCTAGCCGCTGCGTTATTAACGTTTCCAGACAAGTAAAACTAACTTGGTTGTACTTTAGGAATCCCAAAATGAACGAATGCACCTCCTCACATTCCTCAAAATGGCCGAACCAGGCTGGTTCATGCGCGTCATGATCCTCGGCGCCCAAGGCGTCTTCTTCAACTCCATGTTCCTCTCCTACCTCGTCTCCCCACGCACCTGCCACCGCTTCGTCGGCTACCTCGAAGAAGAAGCCGTCCTCACATACACCTTGGCCATCGAAGACGTCGAAGCCGGTAGACTCCCGAAATGGACAGACCCGTCATTCGTTGTCCCGGACCTCGCAGTCAATTATTGGAAGATGCCCGAGTCGAACAGGACGATGAGGGATCTGCTACTCTATATCAGGGCCGATGAGGCAAAGCATCGGGAGGTTAATCATACGCTGGGAAATTTGAACCAGAAGGAGGATCCGAATCCGTTCGTATCTTCCTACAAGGACCCGAATACGCCGCATCCGAGCAAGGGATTGGAGCACGTCCGGCCTACGGGCTGGGAGCGAAAGGAGGTTATCTGAATGTCTTTTAACTCCTTCATCACTATACTTCCTTGCTGGGAATTTCTCTGCTATGAGCTCCGATGCCCGTTTGCGATTTCTTTCGCCACATATGAAATTTGCGTGTCTCTCTTTTCTTGACGAATTGCACAAATGCGTAGTCATTGGGGCGGTGTTCAGACATGAAGAATTCTTTGGAATATCGGCGTTCTGGGTTACCTTAGGGACATGGCCAGGTCTCCTACTTTCCTTACTTCTTTTCTCCACTCAATTCCTCTTTATCAAGAGCGGAAAACTTACACGATACCACATTTCCATACTGTACATAGAAGTCCAAAGACGGAACACGCATCTGGGTCGGCGTTACTCTGCTTTAATAGACAATTAATCGTTCAGATAAGTTGATTATCTGAGGCTTCCTACAATTTGTGGCCATGATTTCGTTCGAATGTGGAAAATTATCCTTGGTTCCTAGAGTGCCTATGTAAAGGGGGTAGCCAGAAAAGGGTTAAGGGTGCCGTGAACCACTTTTTTTGAGAGCGTGTCACATAACGGAACAAGTGATGGACGCTGCCCCATTGCGAGGTTACAGCTTGCGCGAACGCGGTTGATGCGACGTGATGTAAGTGCTGTCGGCCTCTAACAGCACCACAATATACCACCTAGGTAATTTCCCTTTGGCCTCACCAGTCATGAAAAGGGTTCCAGTAACGCAGACCAGTGGATCGGGTCCCGTCGTGCTCCTCGGTTACGGGCTAATTGTCCCTTGTACGCACCACTACCCGGAGGTGAACCTAAGCCCTACGATTCTAATTGAACAAAGGGCTGGGGGACTGATGACTAATTCGAGTAGGTATACATTTATTGGTGCAGTCGTACAACCTTAAAATAATCTCCAGATGCACCGCGAGCAACGCCTCATTTCCTGTCCTAATCCGAGTGTAAGGAATGCGTCTGAGTAAGAAACACGTGGACTGGCCTCTTGAACAGTGGCCTCGGCACATTGTTCTTCTGGTATCTGTACGGACAGTACCACTCATGAGCTCTTTCTTTCTCGTGGGTAAAATTAAAGGTATTTACTTTGCCAGATCAGCCACGATGTATTTTTATCTTTCAGCTGTGCAGGAGGCCATAAGCTATATGCCGTACGATGGAAGGCAGGAAAAAGTATAAGAGTTGCACAGTTTCCGCAGACAGAAATGGAAAAGACATCAACATCTCTGAACAACAATCATCTCATCTTATCTCATCTCATCTCAACTCAACTTTTTTTACCTTCGGATTTCTAGCTCAGTTTCAACGAGACTCATTGTTGCATCTAACTTCATCATGCATTTCCTAAAGACTATTTCAATTCTCGCCGCTGGCCTAGTAGCAGTCGCCACTGCCTCTCCGCTCGCTCAGAGGGACAACCCCAACGACGGTAGCTACTGCGAGAGCTTTAGTGTGGGGAGAGGCACTAATGCATTCCATCGACTGAACGGATTCTTTGGGGCGTTATGCAGCGGGCCTGGAAGGGAGCGTCACCCGACGGATGTCAAACTTGACCAATTTATCACTCTTGGCAGTGATTCCAAGATGTATTGGAAATACTTGTAAGTCAAATATCTCATTTGCCTAGATTTGTACGAATGCAAGATAGAACATACCGGCTAACCAAATGGCCAAACAGGCCACAAGGCACTACATTTACGGGGTATTGTTCCGATTGTAGTATCGGGGGCGACTGGAATCTTAAGTGTAGATGCTCCACTAGTGGCTGGATGGCTGCTAATCAAGTCGAGAGTACGATCAATATCTGTAAGTGCAACTAATAACCGAACATAAAAGCAAAGTGTTTCAAAAAAAACTTGACTCATTTATTCATAGATCGGAAATCGTGGGATGGCCCAGGAGTTTGGTATAACAAGGATCAGGGGGAACTTAATGTCGCAGCACCCTAATATCTATATGATTCTGTAGGACGACAGCGTCAAAAGTCGAGACGGTTTCGAAGCCAGAATATGGCAAAGCGTACATGGGGATCTGATATAGAAGAAGCTGTACTTTAGGTTCTGCATCGATTTGCATTTGATCTCTTTCTGCTATTATTGTGTTTTTGAAGCTGGGAGATGAGGAAGCGGGTAGGTATTACGAGACAGAAGAAGCTATTATTACTTTCTAGAGTTCCCTACTCTATAGAGTTTTATATATAGGCATGCATTTAACAAAAGTACCTCATACGTATACTGGTAATGTCGTACACCAAATATTTGAAGTTCATATGGAAGACCAACTTAAATGAATTACTATAAACAACGGCAAATCCTTATACGCACATATGTCGCATTCCAGGTCATTACTCGTCTCATCCGCCGTGAGAACAATATCGATCTACATAAACTTCCCGTTTAGCTCAACAAGCATTGGACGAAATATCCCCCCTTTTTTACCCGAAGGTCACGTGGGAACCGACGACCGCCTCATGTCACGGGCCGCGGAGTAAAATTGTAGGACCGCTGAGCTCAAGTGTACTCGTATGGTCAGCCAACCTGTATACTCCTCGCTCTTCGCCAACGGCTACACAGCTGTCACAACCACTCCGTTCCTTACGACGGATTTGCGAACTAGGACATGGGGGTGCTCAAGTCACACTAGAAGCTAGAGGGCTCATGCGCGCCCCCAAAGAGAACAGGAAATAGTATGACAACCTTTGGAAGCAACTCCTGAGGCATTTGGATAAGGCTGCTACCAGAGAGGATGCAGGGGCTGTGATTGAACATAGGCTCGAAGAACGGACACGACTATAGCTGATTTGCAATCTGTCTATGGGCCTCATCTCGCAAGCCATCATCGACCTGAAGGTCTTTGCTATTAATCTTATGGACGCGCTCGCCTCTCCACAGGAGCTCAAACCCACAAGCCGCGGTCGACTCGAGCCCCCAAGGATCTCGTCAGAGAGGAACCTCAACACTCCAGATCCCATCCCACCTCCTAATGCCGTCCTTGTAAAAGGAATTCTGTGTGGCTGTCCTCCTATGAGGCGTCATCTCAATATTGGATCGTTGCTCTCAAAAGTTATCTTAGTCAATGTAGCTTTCTCCCCTTCCAACTTGTTCTGTTGCGTCCGGTACAGTTCGGGGTTCTCTTGGAGGATATTCTTGTACAGTACATGCTTTTGAGGTTAGTAATCTCGTTTCTGAGATTGCCTAATTCGATGTCTCTCGATTCAATTAGTCCTTCCAACCTAGGGAATTCATCAAACACACCCGCAAAATACTATAGGGCTGCCATCTATTACGTGGCCTGGTAGAGGGCCAGAGTATACGGTCCAAAGTATCCCTAAACATCAGCTTGCCTGTCTTTCCGGGTCCTGTAATCTCGCCAGTTCTAACAGCAAACGGTAAGTATAGATGCTCAGATCGATATCCCGAAACGCCCTAGAAAACCAGTCCCGACCCTGCTCCGCGATCTCTTTGGCCCTTTGTTGTCCAGCTTCAGTTGAAGTGAGGTAAAAAACCAACTCGGGAACTTCTTCCATCCCTTGGCTGACTCGAACGTAATGAACCCATGGTACGAGACGCTCGTCATGCCATTCTTGGAAGAGCGTCTGCTTTAGCGGAACTGGTTTTGAAGCTAATAGCTTGTAGTAGCGGCCGCTAATACCATTTCCATCAGTATCGTACACGAGTCGTGATCGAAGTGCTCGGTCCTTGTCTGCCCAAGACTTGACGTTGAAGTAAGCACTTTGGTCTCTGCAATATTTTCTCTCACAATGGAGGATTCTGGTGAAGGCAGCGTCGAATAATCTGCTGTTCAGAAATGAAGATTTCACGCGGTGGACTACGCCCCCTCGTTCTCGTAGATAATAATGTTGCTGTCGTTCCAAATTTTGTGCCAACTTAACAGATCTCTGTCGCTGATAGTGCCGCCACTGATCGTCTATAGCAAATCCACCAGTGCTGGAGCCGGCCCAGTAAATATTGTTTTGCTTTCTATCCCATTCAACGTCATGTGCCTCATCGTATTGAAACTCGGACTGCATGTAAGCTAGGCTTGGAAACAATAAATCACCCATTGTTGAAGGCGAACCTGTTGATAGCATCGGTACTAAGCTTTCAATCAGGTAAAAGGACGTAGGGCCCATGACGAGGGCGTGCATGCCGCTGTACTTGGGATGTCGACACAGGTCCAAAGCCAAGAACGGATCTGTGACGAAAGGAAGACCAAAGGTTTCCGCTTCATGTTTAGGCCGGGCACTTCTATCCCTTTGCTGAGATGTACAGAATTTCGTAATTGCATCCCAACTAGGTCTCCTTGATATGTCCGTGACTTTGAACTGCCCTTTGCCATAGGAGTCTCCTCCTTTAAATGATTGTGGTGCGGCCAGGACCCTTGGTTCATCGAGGTGATTCACAAGGAAGTGAGGTCGGGAAGGATTCCGCCCAAACCTCCTAGCAGCTTGTCGATTAGGAGTTCGACATGTCTGTCAAAAGTGCGATAAGGATGAGTACAGTGAGTTTTCGCCTGGTTACCAGAGAAAGCACAATGCCACAGGTCGCTATTCGGCGCATTTTACGCCTCGCTTATTACCGTAATGACCCCTTTACCACTGAATCTCCAGAATGGTGAGATTGAATCAAAAATAGTGTCAAAGTCATCAATGATGCGTGACTGATGTGCTGCGGCAAACTCATACCAGGCCTCGAAGCCTGGTGGGGGCTCGGCGTTGTATCGACGTCGATATTCTTCATAAGCAGCTGTGTAGTTTTTGGATTGCCTTTTCAATAGGCTCTCTAAGTCGACTTTAGTGCTATGGATTTAAGTTTCAATAGGATGTTTCTGAGAGTGATAAAAACTCGCTGCTGAGGATTGTGCGTTTCTGATAGCAAAGTCGTTTGACAGGTATGGGATGAGAGAGACAAGAGTCAAAACCCATAGGGCAGATCTAGCTTTCGCTTGTCATGGAATCATGTGGATAATCTGGCTAAGGGCAAGGAACGAAGCTATGACGTGAGATAAAGCTTGAAGTTCTAAAGATTGCATGAACGGGTCGCGGGTGGACATGATGCTAAATGTTACAATCGCAGTGGCAATTAACCAAGAAGTGGATCGGGTCTGAAAAATATGTAAGTATCCTTAAAGTTCCTTGGTATAAGTAAAGAGCTACAAACTATTTGAGCCAAAAAGTACCAAGGCGAAGCTTTGGCTAAGCCCAATGACAACGTGGATATAACTATATTGCTAGGTAAGCCGAATGCGACTGTTTCCATGCTTAGTACAACGACTAAGATGAACACAATCCGCAATGAAAGGGGAATAATCACTTCTTCGACATATATGGGCGGAAGAAAGGGAGTATCCTCAACGCCCCTAGGTATGAGAGCTACATAGGCGACCAGCAAAGCAGCAACCGGAGTAATCGATAAGAGAAGTCCTTGGAGACTACAATCCGACAGTATGAGAGCTGCAAATGTTGCAGCCAGGGTTGTGCCCCAGATTGTGTTAACCAGAGGGGAGAAGAACAACGGATTAGGCACTCTTGAAGGTTGCAACTCGGACCGGAGATGCTTCTCAGCTATCAGAAGAAGTGGAGTTAATGCCGGCCACAAGGCTCTGGTTAGTTTAGAGTGCACTTTTCTTCAATTAACTTGAGTTACTTACAAAAGGCTCTATCATGCCGATCTCTGCCCTATAACAACAGGCGGTAGCAACGCCTGTAGCAACTATCCATAATGATCTTGAAGAGCGAGATTGGGGTTTGGGCTTTGTGGAAAGAGTGGCTCTCGTGATTGTGCTAATATCTGATCGTTTTGCAATAGTGAACAAACTCGGGAGCATCAGCCAGCAGAGCGTCTCGGACCAGAGCTCGATTTGTCTGGAGGAGAGGTGCTGCGCCAACACTGTACATAGCACAACTGCCGCGGCTGATCCCACTATTGGGCCGATTTCTTTGAACGGTGGCTTCCGCATCGCGGGACGCTAGATATAATAGGCCTGGCAAATGAAACAAAGAATGTGCCAAAGGCTCTGTTCGTGAACGAACGCGTAGACCATTTTTGCCCTCCATTATGCTGATTTTACATACTCTATGAGTAAGCCAGCAGGATCCACGCATTTTCTTACCTGTAGGGGACAGCATTACTACGATCTTACTTCGAGCGTACGTACTTCGTACTACGTCGATATTTAACTAAATGCTTCAAGTCAAGGGGCTCCTAGTATGCAATGATCGGCATGAGGCCCGGAGGTACCACTTGGTACTTCTACTAGAAGTTCCACCCCCTATAACCACCCTCGCTAAGGGGCATTTCGCGGGCCTTTCGCCAAATTTATAGGGCTCTTTAGGGGGCCAGAACCCGAAGATGTAAATTTCAAAAAATTGCAAGCCGCTACAATTATACGAATATTCAACATTGAAATTTGAGGGCGACTTAATGCATTTTAAAACTTATCTTGAGTTTGAAGTGCATTGGTTGTTTGTCCGTGTTCATATTTAACAGTGGGTCGCTGGGTTAGCAGGCCCCTATTTCCACCGGTGAATTACAACAATCATAAAGGAATGGAGGGCGGGATACTGCGTTCCAGTACTTCGTACCACCAGGAGCATATATTCGCTACGCCTTAGAACACACTGACCAGATCTTCCAAGTTCCATCCTTCCCCTCCACGCAATCTAGAAGTTTATGCTTGCCAATAACCCGTCGGAGATATCGTCCACACACGTTTCAGCACGGGCCCCCTCCTCCCTCCCCACCGCATACAGAAACATTTCGATGCACCAACTCCGCATGAACGTGTATCACGACCCTCCACGGCAACGGATCGCCAGTATTTGCCAGTGCCTCTCACCATATCAACAACAAACTGCGGGCTCGAGCAGAACAGAGCGAGGCCCCTCCATACGCGTGCGAGACGACGAGCAAAAGCCACTCTAGTATCAGGAATGACACGGAACGCAACTTTAAAACGATATACTACGTACAACGCATTCCTAAGCACCTAACCCGCAACCATGGCAACGGCAGAAGAACACCCCGGACAACCTTCATTCCGACGAGAATCCCCATCGCCGTCAGCATCGCCAACACCAGCTATCGGAGCATGTCCAGAGCTTGAGCTTTCTCGATCCGTATCCACAGCTTCCACAGGATCCCTCTTCTCAGGGGGCTTCAGCACAATGGGACGAGAATCAATGGCCAGTTCAGTTGGCAGCTCGGTCTCACGATCATCCTCTGCAAGTTACAGCACAAGGCAATCTATGGGTGGTTTGGAGAAACCAAGGAGAAGAGGTTATGTACGTCCTCAGGGCACCAATTTCGCTGCGTCGGCACAATCTAGAGAAAGCGTTCTCAGTTTAGGCAGCATAGCACATCTTCAATATTACTTCGCGCGAACGGGGCTTCTGGATGGGAAGGGAGGTCGACTCACAAAGAAGAAGGACAAGGATAATAATCGAGGGACGTTGGACTTGTCAGCTCTGGACACGTCGTTTCTGTCAGCGAATGTAATAGGGTCAGATGCCGATTCCTCATATGCGTCTATGGGTAGCAGCCCAGAACTTATCGCTCAGGGACTAGGTGGCATGCTGGTGGAAAGTCCAACACAAGAAGAAGGCGATGATTACTTCAGCGGAGAAGAAGAAGAGCATCCACATATGCTGCCTCCGACAGTCAGCACCTACAACCACCGCGAGAAACATATCCCTCGTCCGCCTACCCTTGAAGAACTGAAAGATGATTTACAAAAGGCGCTTTTCGATGCGAGGAAGGTTCTTGAAGATGCGAAGACAGATCAAACATCCCCTCCAGTGTCACCGGCGCCGTCTAATGATCCATCAAAATCTACCTTGCCAGATACCCCCAACGGGTGGTTTGAAGTCCAAGGGATGCATATCCTCGATATAATGACGCTTGCTATTCGCGCCGCAAAGATGTACTACACCGCCCACGACCAACCAGCTCGCCTATCAGCCATCAAATCTGAGAGACGGATACGGGCTGAGCTACTTTCAGTTATGGACGTGCTTAAGCGGATGGCCACCAGGAATTTCGCCTCAGGCATGCGGACCGAAGAGCGAGAGACGATGGAGGTTTGGGTTGAAGGTGTATACGACATGCTGAAGCAAGAAGAGGAGATGGAGGCAGTAGAGAGGAAAAAGAGACGCAGCTGGATTTGGCTCGACGAGTCCTGGGATGCTAGGGATGTGGAGAGGGAACTCGCCTTCATGAAATCTATGGATCCGGACCCCCATTCAATGCCTGCATTCACGTCGGTAGATGATGTGCAGAATGACGAGGATCTACCTACAGAGTTCTTGAAGGAGATGAGGACGGGGTTGCGGTTAGTGAAACTGCATAATGCGGTATTAAAGAAGAGCAAGAGGCCATTTGGCGCCATCGATAAGTGGCACACCGAATTCGGGAAACCGTATCGCTCTGCGGAGAACCTACGGTATTGGGTCAAAGCAGCAGAGCTGAGATGGGAAGCCGTGCTTAAAGTGGATGTCATGGGTGTGGTTAACGGAACGGATAGAGCGGCCTGGAAAGGCTTTGAGGACGCCATTTTGAAGTGGTGTAAGGTTGTGAGGGAAGAGATTTCGTCCGAGTTCAAGGATTGAGATGTGTGAGAGTTATTATGTGGACATGACGGTTTATGATGTTAATGCGAAAGAATTGCGAGATTAGCGGTTGGTGGAGGGAGGTGGGGCCAATTCAAAGAACCCCCCATTCCCTTGGTTAAGGTCCTGTACATATGTAGCTGGGAGGGATGTGTTGGCTGGTGAGATGTAACGGGGTATTTTCTTTTCTTCTACCTCAACCGTATTATACCCAATCTTAGTTCTTATTTTTTGTAAATCTATTTTGTTGCAACCCCTTTCAACGATCTCTAGTGATTGTACTTTTGATTGATTTAGGTTGCCATTTTCCTGCTTACCGCGCTCTAAATTAGTCCATCGATTTCAAAACTCGGGACCTAGTGGACCTGTGAGGATTAGTGCTCTTCCCATCGCAATTAAACTACAAGCCAGCTTCTTCCGTTCTAGCAACCCCGGCAAACTCTTTGCATGTATTCCAAGGCCATGGTCTGATTTCCTCTCATTAGCCTTGGGGGATGCTCGCGCAGCACTACCCGCACGAGATCTCTGCACATTACACTGAAGTTAAACACAACCACCATCTCTATTTCATAGCTGGCTTGGCTTAGCATCTACCTACCCTAGCATTGCTCTATAAATCAAGTAGAGCGAAGAGACTTTCACTCACGCTTCATTTATTCATCCGCTCCCATCAGGCATACCAATACCTTTATAGAGTCCCTCACATCCACTTCAATACCACATCACGCAATCCAAACCCAATGCCTGGCCTCGTGCCACTGTTCTACAAAGTCCTGACTGGCGCGAAGCAAGCACAGACGCCCTCGTCTTCGACGTCCACCCCGCGCCCTGCACCAGCACACATGAATCGGCCTCCACGCCATGCATCTCGAACAAACTCTCCTCTCCTTCGGGCCAGCACTGCAGCGTACCGCCCATGCTATCGGTATCCCCACTGCCACTGCCACTGCGGCAGCGGCACCGCCCGGTGATAAATGCGAATCTTCAATCGCCATTTATCACGCTCGGTGGGGATGGTAAGCTTTGGTGCAGCACATCATACAGCACACCCCCTGATCCTCTCCATGGTTTTCTGTAGTTAGATCTTATGAGAGTCGTGCTTTATGCATTTGTCAACTACATGCTGGGAGTCGGAAGGGGCAGGTTAGAGATATTAAGGAAGGCGAGCCGAAAAGGCGTAGGGTTTTAAGATGACGGGATGGGGAGTCTAGGGCTATAACACTACAAGCCGAAGGAAGAGGTGCTAGAGCAGAGGGAGGCCTGGCTATAGAGATCGGAATGCGGCGAATGGAAGTTCCAGATATACGGGCTATAGAAATGGGAAAAAAGGGGATAATCCAAGTGTTTTTCCTGTGATTATAATGAAATTGTAGTTCCAAGTCCTTATCTACCAGTCCTTCTTAAGTTCATATACCAATGCCCCTTAAACATTACAAGCCTACCACCTAATTTTCTTAGCATATTTTATAACGATGTTTAGGGCCGGTGAAACACCGTTTCTTGAAACCTCCTGTCCCAGAATGTATACAAGTTCTTATACTAAGAGCTGGAACGTTAGGCGGTCGCCCGCTTTTAATTGGGCTATCCGTAAAGTTCTACGTAATCTGATACTAGGCCTTAACCTCTCTGAAACTTGCATCTCACAACCCTCTCTATAAATTCCTCCATTGTGCCATTACCCTTGATATTAGTTGTGTTGCATGTATGGATCTTGCTTATCTACAAGGAGTAGCTTTTGGGGGTTGGTTTTGTTTTAGAGGTTCTTTGGATAGGGGTGTTTAAATGCAGGATTTAGAGGGGGTAAAACTCAGAAGCCTCAATGAGATTTGCTTAAACATACATACGCAGATCTTCTTCTAAGTGAGGTAAGCGTCTCTTCATAACGAGCAGAACAATTCATACTTTGGTTCTTGACCATTATCCAAAAATGTTCACTACCGAGTGATGAAGTTAGTAAGTAGTGTCATTATATCCTATCAAAACACTCCATATATACATAGGTATAGACATAATTTCAGAATTACTCCATGCCGCTAAATCAACTCAAAACAAACAGCATATTCCCTTCTAACTCCACGTCCTATAACCTGCCATGTTGGCCGGAGGCTTTCACGCGATCCGCTTCCGCGATCGCAGCGTCTATTTTTCTCTCTTCCTCCTCCTCTCTTAACCTCGCCGCCTCATCCGCACTTAGAGTACTATAATTTGAATGGTCGCCACTCTCGCTTAGATGCTGTGCTTGTTGCGATCCACTTGCCCCGGCATGTACTTGTGGTGAATGTCGCGCATCTCCGTATACTGGTACATCGTGGTATTCCTCAAAATGGGGGTTCCCGGTAGGACTTGCTGCTGTTGACCGGGGACTTATTATTGCGGAAGAGGCATTGCTAACTTCCCGTGAGACGGTGGTTGTTGGTGCTGCTGCCACCCCGACTGCGGCTGCGGAAGCGCCTGTTACAGCATCTGAAAACACGTTGGTGGTTGGCGATCGTCGAGGTATAGCTGCTGCTGACCCAGAGTATGGTCGGGATGGGGCCGTTTCGTAGGGGGAAAGTGACGGATGTCGGACGTGGGAAGTGGGAGATGAATTGCTAAAGGCGGCAACAGGAGCATCGAATGACCCGGCTGATATCTCTTTCTCGGTGATAAGATCTCGTGAGTCCGTATTCAAGCTCTGGTTAAGCATCACCTGCTCTGGGGCGCCTCGTTGACGGTGCTTGCGGCGGAGGAAGAGCAGGGCCAAAATGAGGAGGATAAGAACGACAGCGACAGCACCAACGGCAATTCCGACTTTGGCACCGACACTGAGGCCACCCTTATTATTAGAGGATCCATCCGAGCTCTGGCCTCCTGTGGCTACCCCTCCGGTTGCTGCTGGAGAGTTTGGGGCGGCCGTAACAGTAGCACCAATCGTAGTTCCAATAATATGGGATGAAAAAGCCTGTGTTGTGGTCGGCGGGAACGACATCGTCGTTGTCGTTGGAAGCGTGAAAGGCAGTGGTTTATCGTAACTAGGAGTTATGGGTAACTCAGGAAAGACTCCTCGCAATTGTGGTAACGGAAAGGAGGATAGCTGGTTGATATTAAACGGCTGACTGAAAGAGCCACAAGCACCCCCTACGGGGGCTAAGCAAAAGAAGTAGTAGACGGAGTCGGAAGGGGCGACAAGCATTGATCGGTTGGTGATGGTAAACTCCACGGTCGTGAAAGCGTTCGCCAGGACAGAGGCTCCAGGACATGCTGTGCCTGGGCCTTTCCCTCCCCGATCATCGGTACTGACGCAGATATCTGTTCATCAACCTCTTAGATTGAAATACTCTTGAGGCGCATTCACAACCATAACTTACCATTGGTGTTCAGGGCTCTTATGTCTCGTCTGCTCTTATCCTGAATGTCATCGGACGATTGACATAGCAACATAGAAAGCATTTGTATACTTGAACTTCTTATTGTAAACCTAACTGACGACATCAATCCCAACGTTATATCACTCGGCGGGTCAATCGTTGCATCGATGTTGGCATCCGGCGGCTGGGAGAGGTCTGTAGATGTGGTGCCATCGTTCCGTTTCTGGCCATGGACAAAGCCTGCCAGCCCGAGGGCGGCAAGGCTGAGGATCTTGATGCGCATCTCACTGAAGGCCTTCCATACATCAACAACAAAATATAAAGCGACGACAATCCAAACACAATAGGGATCTGATTTCGAAGACCCTCATCCAGATGGCGCACACTCGCGAAAAGCCAGGAAGGGATCAAGAGAGGAAAGCCTTCAGCTGGCGGCGTGTGGGGGAATCGCAGCATTAAGAAAGACAACAGGGCAGGATTCCCACGACAGAGGGAGCAGGGCGTTCAGTGGAAGTCTCAGTCTCACCTGCAGCTGCATGCATGGGACCGGAGGCACCCAAGTCGCCCAAACACAGCGACGTTCAGTTCAGGGTTCACGGCTGGGGGACTTCAGGGCTGTACACAGTGTACACAGAAGCTCAAGAACGGTAACAGTACCGTCGGTCCAGTACTCGGTGGACTGCGCCCCTTCTCATCTCCGTGTCTCATTGGGTTGCAACAGCGGGATGTTCAGTGTGCCCACCGCACTACTACTGCCGATCAACGCAACTCGGTGCAGTTTGGCAGTTCGAGGAGCGCATCCTTCCAAACGGGCAGCTAGTAATGCGAGCCGGAAAGCTGCTCAGGAGGCGGAACAAACATTTTGATGCTGGTAACGGCCGGTGTGTTTGTGTTGGAGCTTACTCTGTATGTTGGTGTTTGACCGCTGCTCTCGCATGTATTATTGTAGCTGGTCTCTGAGACGCTGCGGCACATACTTCGTACTCGAGCGCCCGTTGGTACTCGAGTAGGGACTTCGTGCTCGTACTGCTGTGTGAGCAATGGGCTACTTTATTGTCAGCTCGGGCGGAAGCTGGACGCTATCGATTGTAGATTAGCCACAAACCACGATGTTGGCAACCGTCAACTCTTGTCATTGGGCGCCTCACAGAGGGAGAATGTTCAGCTGGAACTCCGTCTTGGCCCTACGAATAATGCGATTATTGTACGGCGTATAGACAACTACTACGACGGATGGGCGTAGTATAATTTGATTATTTCTGTATATGTTCCATTCGAGGCATTCTTTCGCACTGATTTGATGTCAAGGTCCCTAGCTTATTATCTGGGGAATCGTGATGCACTAAAGACGCGAAGGATCGCACTTTCGTAGGTTAGCAGGTAGGTTGGCACCGTAAGCAAAGGTGATCATAGCCACAATAGGGAACGCGACCTTCTCTCGCCCAGTGGCCTGAACGTTAGGTTCGTTTCGCCGCACAATAATTAGGTTGAACAGTTCTCGCAGACAAATTACTCCGAACGTACGTATAATTCGTGCTTCATAATATGATTCCATAGTATTGAGCGACTGATAACTCCTACGGTCGTAGCTCCAGCTGTCGACCACTAATAGTTTGCCTCCTCGCGAAAACCGGGCTAATTTTAGGACGAATCTATTCCGTACCTTAAGGAGTAAGAAAAGGAGGCTGATTATCCTGGTCGATGGTCGTTCGTCTGGTCATCCTTGGGTATATATGTCCGTGTATGTATGGCCGTACCCCCACTGCGACTCTGCGTGGCTCGTCGCAACACATGATTGAAGATCACTGAAGAATCGAGGAAAGGAGCCGCGAGATGGGCAACCACAATGGCAGCTCATCAGTTGAGAAATATGAGCACTTACTGGCAAATGGCAAAAGAGCAGGCGCAGAATGGCGTGGATTCGGTGGAATATGGGAAGATGCATGGAAGGATGGATGGTGGGTGGCTGAGGACGAGGAAGCCCACCTGGGTTAAGCTCGTACAGTCCCAACCTGTAGCAAATAATAAACCTGGGACCTTGGCTCGCTTGCTTCCGTGGAGGATCGTCAGAACAAAGTGGTTACCTGTCAGGTTGCCTGTTGTCTGCGGTCCCGCATGCTCTGTGTACGAAGTATGGAATAATAATAGCTGATTAACTTGTCGCATGGATCCCGACTTCCGAGAATGTTTCATGTCACGTGGCGACAACCACTGCTCTACCCCCAAATCCTCCCGATCGGTTTGTTTCACCCTACGGCCAGTACCCAAGCCAAGAATACGATATGTGATCGTCACTGTTTGAGTGTCTATGTTCAATTCATCGCGTTTTTGTGGGGGTTCTGAGCCCTCGAGCCTCACTATTTGAACTTGAGATGCTAGGACATAGCAATCCGTTTCCTTCAACCCTATCCTTACTTACCTCATGTACCGTTACCAAACTCCGTCATTCAATTCATCTTACAACCTGCCCATCATGCGGCGCAGCCATTAACCGCCCACAGTGATCTCCGCCGTGGGATCTTTCCTGATACTCAACTCCGTCAAACCTTCTTGTTTCTCGATCACGAGCCCTTTCTCGTTTGCCAAGTGTAGCAGGCAAATGAAACAATAGCTTGTCGAGATGTCATCCATTGCTTGCTTTGGATATACACTCCGCAAGTTCTGCATGACCGTGGTAAATTTAAGAGTGCTATCTGGGTCCTTATTTGCTTCGATAGGCGGCTGGTCCTATGTAGTATTAGCGCGGCATTTCTAGAAAGAAGAGGCTCGACTTACAGCTGTATCGATTCCCATGCCCTTCCATAGCTCTTCCTTCAGCCTTCTAACATCCACCTTCTTCGCCACTCGTGCATATTGCACGTATTCTGGCCTCAACCTCCGGCTTTGAGTAACGAGTTGCATTCCAAAGGCACCTTCGCCCTCAGCAGCCTGAGTTATTCCGCCATTTAGCATATTGTTGATACCACCTATACCACCTTGCCCACCTTCGATGCCGGGAGAGAAGTGTTCTCGAGCGTCAGCAAACTCCATGTCGTCATCGTCGTCAATTCCTCCTGGCATAGGCAAACCATCGTCGAAGAAATTCGCGTCGTAATCGCCCTGAAGTGCTGCCACATCATCAGGATCGGTAGGCCCTTCTTTACGCGCCCAGAATCCTTCATCCATCTCGCCCTCAGGAGCCTCTTCTTCCTTAAGTTGTCCGAACATACCGGCCTTTGCTCCAAATCCAGATCTGCGACTGCGCATTCGGGCTTTTGGCTTCAGGAAAAGCCGTAAAAGCTGCTTCGAATTAAAATGCTTGTCGTCGGGTAGAAGATTCTTTGTCTTCGATTTCCAATCCTTTTTGGGCAACGAGATTACCGTATTGGAGGATGCTTGGGTATAGATCGTCTCAGCCAAGTTGGCACTCAGGGGTAACAGGAAGTCTATCTCAAATGGCTCCTTATCCTTCCTCGCCTTTGCAGTGGTTGCAGGCTTGTTGATGTCCTTGATCTTTCGAATCCGCCAGTGCTCGGGACCAGCCCAATTTTTCTGCAGCGCTTCATCGAAATAGCTCAGGATATCCTCATGTCCAGGCTGAATCTTTGCTCCATGGTCCAATGATACCGCATAATTGTTAGTCTCGGAATCCAAGTTTCCCATCCCCTCACCATCTTCACCGTCCCCACCTCCCATCCCATCATTATCCAATCCAGCATCGTGGACACGCATTCGAGTCTCTATTGCAGCGTCGCGTGCCCAGGCTTCACCGCCCTCGCCGAAGCCAGCATCCGCTGGAATATCAAAATTACCTAGCAAGCCGTCGTCATCATCTTCGAATCCAATCGGGTTGTCATCATCGAGAAAGATGCCTGATTTATCGCCGACAGCAGACATATCTGAAGGTTTGTCCTTCTCCTGTCGCCAATCCTCGGGGGCTTTCAAAAAAGGAACATCCATTGAGCCAGACGGATCTCCTAGATCAAAGTTCTTTAAAGACGGACAAATCTCTTGTCCTTCCAACTGATCAAGGTTCAGAAAAAATTTAGCCCCAAGCGCTTCGATATTAATTTCGACATCTTCGTCGTCGTTATCTACCTCCTCGGTTACTACGCTAAGCATAGAGTCTGGTTCGGCTTCGTCCTCATCTTGAAGGGCATCGTCTTTGCGTCTAGTAGCTTGCCCTTCGGCTGATGCATCACCAGCATCATCACTGCTATCGAAAACAATTCTCCCCTGAGAGTCGATCGTAAGATGGTTTAGCAATAAGCCTTTAGCTCCCCCTTCATCAAAGTCCGCTGAAGCCTTTTTAAATAAAGGATCGACCGAGAATTCGAGCTCGAACTTCTTTAATTGAATCGCTGAAAACGAGCTAGCCAGGGTTGCTTCTGACGAACGTTGGGCCTAGATAATAGTTAATTGTAGTTCTTGCGCTGGTATACTGAATACAAGAAGGGAAATGTTATGGAAACACCAAAACCCCCTGTGAATCAGTAGACACGCGATAGAAACAGCTTGTAACCATCGCTATAGGTGTCAAGAATGCTATGGGGGCTCGAATATGACATCCTGCGTAAACTAAGACACCACTGGGCAATCAAAGTGGCACGAAACGACTACGGAGTATAGATGTAGATTTTTGCTTGGCTCAGATTCCCAGTAAGACTCGTCCAGATTGATAAGCATGCGCATGTAACCACAAAGAAAAAGCCAATCTCATGCTGGTAACGACGCCCTTAGAAAAAGTAGGTTTTGGTATATCACGGGACGGACGTTTTCTTGGTGTAACTCAAATCCGAAGTTTGCAGATTAACACTAAAACGAGAACAGTGCACAAAAAACTAATTTCATGACAGGGAGTAAAACTGTCCGAAACCAAGACTAATCTGTGAAATTTACATGAGATATAGCTAGCATCGAAATACTGCTAAATCACGTTACTGGAAATGGTGGGGAACGCAGGGTAATTTAGGTTCAAATCAAAACCACAACGACCTGACTTCCAGATACAGTGACTTTCCATCAACATCAACGCTGGAGAAAAACTGACAGATGAAGCAACCACCGCGCGATACGTTCCAAATGTCAAAAATCAAAAACCAAAAAAAAACATACAACAGCAGGTATTCGCTGGTGGTCACCCACCCAACTACTAATCTGCCGATCTGAGGCTTGTGTATGGCAGAGCGGACGGGATGCCCATTTCTCCTCAGTCTATGGTCGTATGTGACAGATATTTACTTAAATGAATACTTGTTCTGTTGTGCGCTGTCGTTCCATTCACAAAACCACGCGCACTTGCGCCGACCAATGCAACCATGTGCCTTGCACATAGCAAATAACGGTGTGCCGGTGTGTAATCATCGCAGGTAAGCAGTATAAACACAGTCGCCAAGCATTCGGACAGTAAATGGATCCATGGACTCACCCTTTTCTTGGGCTTCTTCCTGACGACTCCATCCTCATCTTCAACCTCTTCCTCACTCTCTTCGCCTTCCTCATTCTCGCCTTGTTTCTTTTTACTGTTGCCGCTGTCCGCAAGCCCACTCAGTAACTTTCCAGTTTCGGTAGCCACGCTGTCAACACGGCTGGTGTAAATCTTGACGCAGCCATCCAACGTACAGCTGGCCTTCTGGAAATTGACTCCATCTCCTTCCTTCAATAGTGACATATCATGGAAATAGTCGATGAGCGCAAAGTTCCACGAATTGGCTGCATTGATCTTGTTGTCCGTTGCCATCTTCATCCATTCTTCGAAATTGGCCAGGATAGGGACGCGTTTCATAGGCGTCACTGCCTTCCCCCCGACCGTGAGCCCATCAAGATCATTTTCCCTCCCACCTGAGTGTCGCGGTGTTTTGGGATTCGAGGACGGCGACGAGCTGCCTGCTCGTTCGAGATTCGAAAGTCTCTGCATTGGTGATGCTGCCGCCTTGATCTGGTTCATTTGGATATCATGGAGCGCATGTCGTGATTGCATCCTTTTGGCTTTTTCTTGCGCATCATCGTTGAGTGGAATTCTACATTGTTGTTAGTATGATGAAGGGCGCACCTTCTCCAGGTCCTTACTTAACGCCCGACTTAAAGGGGGAAGCCGCAATGGATCCAGATGCAGCTCTGCTGTTATTGGGACGCGGAGCTTGGGCGACTCGAGGCATTATGAACTGTGACGTGCTGAGTGCATTATGTTGGGAAGGCAGAGTCTTGACATCTTGAATCAATAAAGGCGACGCGATTTGTTTACGGCGCAACGACCACCAACATTCCTGCCTCAGGCACAAGGCACTTCGCTTCTCCAGCTTCCAAGGTTCGATCTATCCCGCAATTCCTTATCGCAAAGTACCTGGGTACAGTACAGTACATAGGAGGCGTCTTGGAAGCTTCGTCACCAAAGCTCGATTGTTTGCGCAACGTTCACCGGCACCTCACTTCGACCGCGAGTATACCATGCATGAACAATGCAGCCCGCTCCGCCAAATGCGGTTTCGACCCGCTACCGAAGACAGAAATTCAGCTTTCGTGCATTCTACATTACGGTCGTTCTAATATCTGGCTTTGCAGTCTGCAGCATTATCGCCGCTCAAACCACGAGATATATTAGAGGGCCTGGATATGAAGCTATATACCGGCGAACGTTGGAGGGAAATGATGTCGGGCCACTTCTCGAGCGTGGTAAAGAAGTATGCTAGAACAAGGCTTCTCATGAGGAATAAATACTAACACTACGCTTTACAGTGTCGATACGTTCACGATGCCAACGACCAATGTGCCTTCATCAAAGCCAATTGCCCGGACGAGGAGGCTGGGCTTTTCTCCTACCTCTCCTTATACTACTGCAACCTTAGTACCGCTAAACCTCTCGCGTTCATGATTTTGGCTCTATGGCTGGCACTTCTTTTTACCATGATTGGAATCGCAGCGTCGGACTTTTTCTGTATCAATCTTTCCACGATCGCCAATATTCTCGGAATGAGCGAAAGCATGGCGGGAGTTACATTCTTAGCTTTTGGCAACGGCAGTCCAGATGTTTTTTCAACGTTCGCAGCCATGAACTCGAATAGTGGAAGTCTAGCAGTTGGGGAATTGATTGGGGCGGCTGGGTTCATAACTGCTGTTGTTGCTGGATCAATGGCACTAGTACGAGAATTCAAAGTTGGTAAGAAAACCTTTGTCAGGGATGTCGGGTTCTTCATTGTAGCCGCGAGTTTCAGTATGATATTCCTCGCAGATGGTGCTCTACATCTCTGGGAATGCTGTGTCATGATTGGATTCTACATCTTTTACGTGGCAATAGTCGTGATATGGCATTGGTATCTAAATCGCCAGCGCCTGCGTCGCGAGAGAGAGGCAGCCTCTCGTGGCCACTACCTTGCTATGATGAATGATGAGCTTGAAGCAGAACAGGATAATTTCTATGATGAGGATGCCCCGGCAGGACAAAGACGCTACAGAGATTCGGAAGATTTTGGTGCACTAGAACGTGGATCAAGTCCCGCGCAAGCGTCCGAACTAAGTGCGGACAGTGATGAAGATACAGACGCAGGATTACATTTAGCGGCGGAAATGGCGAGCAGTATGCGTGTCACACGACCCAGAGGCGTCCGAAGAAATACCATTACCCCTATTCGACCTAGTTTGGTTGGTGCTTTAGAATTCCGGTCTGTCCTTTCTTCGCTCCAAAAGTCGCGAGGCTCGCACGCTCTACCAAACATTCGTCGATATTCGGACGATCCAATAACGGCGAATACTGGACAACAATATGGCCTATCTGAATCTGAGACAGTGCCATATTCGGATAGTGTATCTAGTCATTTTGTATCGCCGACGGAAGACCCAAACGACTCGTACCTAGCCGCCCCGGTTTCACGGGCTCGATCAGTATCTTTGAATGATGCTGGAGGTGCAATAACCAAGGGCCATGCAGTCCTTGCTGCTACTAATATTCCAAACATCGGAATTGTTGCCGCGACACCCACCCGAGTTCAACAGCTGGACCCCCCAGCACCTGGAGGGGTGGCAACTTCGACCAATATGTCCATACCACCTTCGCCGACCATCTCCCTCACCCCTCCGGCTTCCGTGAGTGGCTCTAGGGATATCAGTCCAGTTCGTTCCACTGAAAGGCGAAAGCATGATAGCCTAGCACCGCCAGGGGAAGGGTTCCCAGGGGCACGGCATCTTCATGTAGATTTTGGCAAGAAAAGGCAATCCAGTCCCGACTCCAACCAATACTCACCAAGGGACAAGTCGAGAGGATCTCAGCTACCCCGACTATCTATCCCCGGGCCACTTTCAACAGACAGCTCTGGCTTACATGCCCCGTCTCCAAGCATTCAATTTCCTGAATACACAGACTCGCCGCTGCCCTTGACAAGTCAAAGCTCCCGACCCCCCAGTATTATATTACCTGAAGCGGAGTATGCTCCTGAATCAGTATACACAGATCAGGAACTTGAATCAGGGGCTAGGCCGATAAAGTGGTGGCCCTATCGCTTCCTGCCGAGTCCTTATGTCCTCCGGTCTACACTTTTCCCTACTCTCTGCACATGGCAGGACAAGTCAATATGGGACAAATTCATCAGCATAGTATCAGCGCCAAGCATATTTCTTTTAGCGATTACATTGCCGGTCGTTGAGTCGGAACCTCAACAAGAAGATATAGACGAACCTGTATTGGGCGAACAAGAGCCCCTTTCAAGGAAAAACAGAAACATGACGCCGTTACTAATACCGGACAGCCCATCATCAGAAGCAGAGCCTGAGTGGCTACAATATCGACGGGCGACGGAAAGTCACGTACATCCTCCTCACCCACGACACGACCCCAGTCATCCTGGCCATGGTGCCGCCGAGGTAGCCGTCTCTACTGAAGATATGCATCGTCATTCCCACTTAACTCCCACCTCTCCCAGGCAGAGGTCAATGCCACCATCTCCCAGGCGTCTTGACGAAGCACCGCCCTATTTGCCACCTAATGACTGGAATCGTTGGTTAATCGCTGTCCAAATATTCACTGCGCCCCTGTTTACCGTCCTCATCGTATGGGCCAACACCGACGATTCGGATTTAGGGCATCTCGTCCGCCTAGTTCTCTACTCCCTCCTCGTCTCACTCATTGCATTCGCTATCCTCATCCTCACCACGACACCATATAACCCCCCTAAATACCGATTCCTCCTCTGCTTCCTCGGCTTCGTCGTCTCCATCGCCTGGATCTCTACCATCGCCAATGAAGTTGTCGGTGTCCTCAAAGCCTTCGGCGTCATCTTTGGCATCTCAGACGCCATTCTCGGCCTCACCATCTTCGCCGTTGGAAACTCCCTTGGCGACCTCGTAGCTGACATCACAGTCGCCCGTCTGGGCTACCCTGTCATGGCGCTCTCAGCCTGTTTCGGAGGGCCGATGCTCAATATCTTACTTGGCATCGGCGTTAGTGGCTTGTATATAACTATCAGGGAAGCGAATCATAAACATACGAAGCATCCCGGGAAGGAGATCAAGTATAAGCCATATCATATCGAAGTTAGTAGGACGCTAATGGTCTCTGGGTTCATATTACTTGTTACGCTCGTGGGACTTCTTATTGCTGTCCCGGTTAATAACTGGGTTATGAGTCGTAGGATCGGATGGGGGCTGATTGCGCTTTGGATTGTCGGTACGGTGCTGAATCTAGGGATTGAGATTAGTGGGGTGGGTAGTACGTCTTAGACCTTTGAATATTTACATGGGGATACGGCGTTTTTGGATGGCGTGGGCTCAACCTGGGATTGGATACCAGGATAGCAACAATGCGAGCTATAAATGTGTACATTTTTTTTATGTGGTTGTACGTCAAATACCGAGCTACTCCAAACTCGTTGCTAACTTAAATTTAACTTACAGTCTCTGGATAATCACGCTTGCTAATAGTCAGTAACTGTCTGTTGCCCTTCTGTTTTGCCTCGGACCGACTAATACAGTACTGGACGAGAAAGACGCGTTAGGTCAGTACAACTATCGCAATCCTACTATTTGGCCGCCCAATAGCTTCTCGAGTTTCGGCATTTCGTCACTCGCATCTTTGGTGATGTCCTTCTTTCTATAGAACTAATACTTCGAAATCAATGAGTTTCCACGAATAATACCTAGACTATGCAGTTGCTTGATAGCAAATTGGCAGATCCTCAAGTCTTCGGTGTTCGGTGTCGTTTATTCGAGTTTCAATCGAAAATTCATACCCTGTGAGTTCGGGAACAAGAATAAATTTGTGGTTCATCAAAACACTATAAGCTCGAATCTCCTTCTCGAGAATCCCAGCCTGCTTTGTACTAGCCAGCGGGAAGAGGGCTTTTAATCAGCTTTACCAGCTAAGGCCACCCCCTGTAGAGCCTGTGCCTATAACTCCCTGTCTACTCCGCAATGTACGCATAAACTCGTACGCTCTACTATCAAGACATGTCGCCGCTTTTGCAAAACCCCAATCTGTTTGTAAACAATATAACTTCATGGCTTAAGAATCAACCTAGCTAGCTAATTATAATCACATCAAAATCCCTCAATTGATCTATGGAAAGAATAATTCCACCAGTCATAATAACCCCCACTCTTGGCCTCAGGCCGTTATGGTACTCCTACCGACCTGGGCCGGTGTTTGACGGGATCCTGGGCTCTGGAGCCGTTCCGGTTTATTAAATGCCGAGACAACAACTTCATATTGTCCATCCATTCCTTAATTAAAATTAAACAATTGCTGGTGGTTTGTCGAATTTCGTGCTCTATAGAATCATGGCGAAAATATTTGATGCTGCCGAACGTACGTCGAGCTCTACGACACCTTGAATAGACCCAGCTAATCATTTATTAGTGGCGAAACACAACAAACCAGATGACTGCTGGGTATGTCTCTACGGCGATGTCTGGGACGTGACGGAATTCCTGCCCAGCCATCCCGGAGGTTCTTCAATCATATTAAAACTGGCCGGCCGTGACGCAACAGAAGAATACGATCCTATCCATCCTCAAGGGACATTAGAATCGAATCTGAAGCCGGAAGCCAAGCTGGGGAAGATTGATCCGGACACACTACCGAAGCCCGAAGCAGACAATGCCCAGAAGGATCAAGACGAGGAGGGCCCGCCGGAGATGCGGAGTCTATTGAATCTGGATGAGATTGAGGAGGTTGCCACAAAGCAGATCTCGAAGAAGTGCTGGGCATACTATTATTCAGCGGGCGATGATCTCATCTCGAAGAGGCTCAACAATGAGGTTTATAAACAGATTCTATTGCGGCCACGCGTGTTTGTCGATTGTACGAAGTGCGATCTGACCACGAGTTTAGTGGGACACAATGTTGGGATGCCATTATTTGTAGCCCCTGCTGCAATGGCGAGGCTGGCACATCCTGATGGAGAACTTGGAATCGCGCAGGGCATCAGCCAATTCGGAGCCATGCAAATTATCTCTAATAACGCATCTATGACCCCGGAGCAAATAGTGGAGGGATCCTTGCCCGGTCAGATATTTGGATGGCAGTTATATGTGCAGAACGAGAGAAAGAAGAGTGAAGATATGCTGGTCCGAATCAACAACATGCCTGATAAATACAAGTTTATTTGCTTAACTCTAGACGCACCGGTCCCTGGGAAGAGAGAGCATGATGAGAAATCTCAAGATTTAGGTGCTAAACTACCTGTCACGTCAGCGGTGAAGAGTGGCGAGTCTCGACCGGGCGGCGGTGGAGTTGGCCAGCAATTGTTCTGGGGGACAGCTGCTGATTTGACGTGGAAGAACACGCTCCCTTGGCTAGCCAAACACACTTCGTTACCCATCGTCTTGAAGGGTATTCAGACGCATGAGGATGCCTATTTGGCCGCGCAGTATGCTCCCCAAGTCAAGGCGATCATCTTATCAAACCATGGAGGTCGCGCTCTTGATACTGCCCCGCCTGCTATTCATACCTTGCTAGAGATCAGGAAATATTGCCCCGAGGTTCTCAGCCTAGTTGAGGTCTGGGTTGATGGTGGCATTAAAAGAGGCACTGATGTCGTCAAGGCATTATGCTTAGGTGCTAAGGCTGTAGGTGTCGGGCGTGCTGCATTGTTCGGGCTAGGAGCTGGCGGTACAGAGGGCGTCAACAGGACCTTTGAAAGTAAGTGGCCCCTTTTGGTATCTGTTACAAGATGATGCTGACTATCGTAAAAGTTCTGGAAGCAGAAATGAAGACTTGCATGAGACTTCTCGGTGTGGAGAAAGTCAGCGACCTACGCCCGAAACATGTAAGTTGTTCGCTTCTGAGAGATTATCTCCTGATAACGCTGACCGATAACCAGATTAATTCTCGTGCTGTGGAGCGTGATATTTATGATGGCGAAGCCGGGCTAGAGAAGCTCGGTCTCTGGGTGAAGGCCCGCTTATAAAGAACATCTTGAATAGTTTATATTTGGACTTTTATTGTAGATCACATCTTACCTTGCTTTCCTCCTCTTTTGCTCTTCTGCTCTACTACCACTCCTTCTTGTTGCATCTGAATTATGTTCCAACATTCCCCAAGCACCTTGTTTCAATCGGATTTGGAACGTGTAAAACAACAAGCGAGGCAACGGGGCCCTTGTCTCTCGAGTCACTCATACATCCAGTTTCAGTTTCACTAGCGGTTGTTTGGGGAGCGAGGATAGAGGCGTTAAATTATGTCTAGACTTTCAGAATATTTCACCAAAATATCCCGAGGCTTCCAAATTAGCAAGATATTACGCGTAGCTAAATCGGAGAAGGAAATAACTCCCGAAATGGGTAACAATCTGTTACCCACCCCTTTGCTTCATAGATCGATACGTACCATTTAGCAATTTGCCACATTGTTGTCACCTTCTAGGCGGTGACTGCCAACCGATCTGCCCATCTTCGCCAAACCAACCCCACAACCAAAAAAGGAAGCTATCCCAAAATAAATTCAACTTAATCCTATATTAGGTATTTTCTTTTTCTAAATAATACTAAAATGATTTAAAATGGCAAAAGAGTTCGGCCCGGTGTCGAATTGCCTACATCTCTTGTCGACTTTTGTTGTGGTCGCATTTTTGTTGTTGTTTCCCCTTTTTTTTGCCCTGTCGTCCCTGGCGATAACGAAGTACAATTTGACCAGAACACACTTGACCAAGTGCCACGCCCTTGTACTCGTTAAAGGATAATTTGCTTATTTGGCCATATATATATCAGGGACGTATAATCGCCCTAAAAAAAAATTGACATGACACACCGCTAGTAGATGATGCTGTCCATTGCTAGGGATATATGCTTGCCTTTGAAAATGAATTGACCTAGAGTAAGATCCATTCATGTTTATCTCCCGTTTGTAGTCGCATACTCGAATTGTTTACCTACGTATGTACTGGTGTATTTCAACCCACCAACTACAAAGTATTAAGAATATATGCGGCGAATCCTCAACAGGCTGTATCAGCGCCACTCATGGCTGCTTGTGCTACTGAACGTTGAGCTCTCTCCTAAGCGCCCAGCAGGTCTCCCAGCAGGACCGCGATGCGGCCATATTCCTTCTGCTCAGGGAGACAACAGCGAAGAAGCACCAAGTTGTCTGGCGATGTACAAATTACGGTAGGTGAGTTTATCGCCCTCCGGGCAACACCTATTCGACTTCGCATCTGCACAAATTACAAGTGAAACTCCTTATGGAACGATATGTGAATGATATAGGTAGATAGTTAGGCAAGTATGCATAAATGTGCGATGTAATATCAATACTTACCCTAATAAAGGAGTAAGGGTCAAATTCTGAAGCGCTCCCCTGTCAACGGATCTTTTAGGAATGTCGTAAATATAGGGTTTCGTCCTCCACGCCTCGTTTCCACGATCCTCGAATGCCAAATATCCTTTGCGGCCCTCATCAGCTGCAGCTCGAAATTGGGGAAAAGCCTCATCTGCAGATCAAACTGAAATAGATCCCCGTGGAAAGCGATACGGCGAGCATCGTTGCTGTAATATGCATCATCGTCCCCGTAAGCCATACTTTTGTCTTTCCCAATTTCAACATCGCGAAATTCCAAGAAAGGACGTACTGCTGCCTTGACGAAGACGGCTTGAATAGGGTGGGACGGCTCGAACGTGTATGCTTTGCGAATATGGTGGCCTCTAAGGGCCGTCCGATCCTTGGCTAATATGGTTGTGAGGTCGATAGACATGCCATGCCCAAAGCCGGGCAAACCCAGTTTGTCAGCAAGCTCGACCATATCTAGAATGCCTGTAATTCTGTTTGACGGCATGGTGTACTTTTCTGGATCGAGTTGGATGTGTTTGCAGACCGCCCATTGAACTATTGGATCAAAGATTTCCTTCTTGACGCCTCGCATACTGACCTTCTGCGTTTCGGTATTAGGTACACTAAAGTGATCCCTGAAGAAACCGAATGTCTTCATCAGAAACTTCTTTGGGAATTTGCATGGGTGCTTTACGGACTCCAAAGTGATAGTTACTCCCTGGCCGTCGGAGAAAAACTCTCTACTGTGGGTTTAGCAATCTATCTTATCAGGTATCTAGAGATCAGACTTACTCGACCCACATCTCCGCTGGGTCAAGGCTCATAGCGCCCTTCTCTTCAGCGATACGAGGTCTTTTCGGGGATGAGTCCTCCGCGGGGTGCTATAAATTAGTCAGTATTTGCAGCACATTTTCCCAAGTAAGGTAGGAATAACCTACAGCACTGTCGCATTTTCTCTTGTGACGGGGACCAGTGGATGCCTCATCACCTGGTTTTGCGAGATAAATATCGTCTTCCCCTTCCACTTTCACTCCATTATGTGTCTTGAAGGGATCGATATTGCCGTCGTGATTATTTTCAATGGGATCCTCCTCCAAATCATTACCTCTTTCCTTCTCCATAAGTGAAAATGCAACTTCCAAATTACCATGAGCTTCCTTAACGATAGATTTGCAACTTTCCATACTATATTTTGGAAAAATGTTCAGAAGCTCGACAGCTTTCAAGTCAAACTCTTCCTCAACCTTCACTGTGATCTCCTCCATTTGCACACCACTACTCTCGGTCGTGGTTGATTCATCGTCGTCATCGGACCAGCTTTCTAAGTAAGAGTAGTAGGTCTCGAACTCTTTCTTTGGTTTGAATCCGATGTGTCTTCCTGATTGGCTCCCGGATATTTCTCCTTCTGGCCTTGTTATTGCTAGTTGTTCCATAGCATCAGTACCGAGACCACGGCTGATTTCATGGCTATTTTCTGGCTCAACTTTGATATTTGATGCTGGTTCGGGTGGGCTTTCTGATGTACCGTTGCCTTGCCTTGCGAGACGGTCTTGAAACAGCCCAGAATATGTACCATGAGCAATAACCGTACCACCTAGTTCATGTCTAGATCTTGGAGGAGCTAATAGCACAGGAGCTTCCTTGGTGATATTGTCTTCAGCTGTAGTCGAAGCCTTTTTCGCAACTGGATTGCTCGAGCCTGGAGAGGTTCCAATTGCGCAAGCGACCGTTGGGTGTTCTCCAGTTTTGCTTTGGGTCTTATACAAATATCTTAAACTGGATTTAACAGCAGAGCATGGCGTGCCTGTCCCGGTGGGAGAGGATAAATTCATGGCCTTCCGGGGCGCGGCCTGCTTGTTCGAGTCCATTTGATAAGCCTTTGCCATGGGGACGACGGTTGGTGAAGATCTTAAAGGGCGGTGGTGTTAGCGCATGTTATTTGACGGCTTGAAGGTTGAAAGCAAAGGGCGAATTGGGCTGGAGGAATATTCCCAGAACCAAGTTCGAATAGTGAGTCTCAGACGACGGATCTTTGAAAGGTGGGAGGGGAAGAAGTGAAATGCGAGGTCAAAAGGAGGTCTTGGGAACAGACCTGCAACTACGTAGCAGACCTTTACCGAAGGTGGGAAGGTGCAGCCTTAAATCCCATAGAAATATCACACTGTATGATGTGGCCGGTGAAGTAAAGATGGTAGGTTGACAGTAGCCCCCCCCCTCCGGCGAATTATAATGGTGAGAACTAGACTGTTAAGTTTAGATGTTGAGGATGTGAACACGGAGATGGCGAGAAAAATCCTAGACTCTAAACCTGAGGGAGTGCAAAATCAAGAAGTCGAGAAGTCAAGATGATCAAAGATACAGTGAAATGGTGAACATAACAGCATCTGAGGTGATAATAAGAACAGGAAAACCAAAACTGACCTTAGAATAATAAATCAATTTTCATAAATATATTATTTATGCGAGCTTGTGACGTTGTAGTAGGGCAGCAGAAGGCAACCTTGGCTTTGTATTTACCGCAAACTTCCAACGGCCTCGAGTCAAAGTGGAAAGAAAGGGTTGCCAGGTAATGAATCCGGAAACTATGACATGCCTCCTTCTAATGGTAAGGTATGCGTTGTTGAAGTGATATGATTCGTTGATTTGCAGCCCAGTGCTTTGCGAAATGTAAGCTCCGAAAGGAAGTAAAGCGTCGAGATATTAATAAATGAAGCTTAGTCTCTCGATATGTCTTAGCATCTTTGGGTTACTAAAATAGGTAAAGTAGGGCCCGAGGATTGTACCAATCCAATATGGCCAGAGTAGGAATTGGAATAGTGTGCATTTCAAAGTAAATGATAAGCCTCGCGCAAACGAAATTCATCAAGCACAAAGATTTCTACATCGGCGCAGCCAGGCGTAAAGCATTTTCTCATGAATATTTCTAGGGTATTTACACATAATCCTCGACTCATACAGCTCTGTCATAAACTATTATGGCGTCCCCGCTGCTCCAGGCTCTGGTTCGAGCGTTCTCATAAACAATCATCAAAACCATCAACGCCACCAATTTCCTTACATATCCATTGCTATGGTTAATCCATAGGTATATCACCGCGTATCATCTCCATCGTCATCGGCAGGCTCAACTCTAACTAGAATCTCCTCCAATAACCCCTCCAGGAACACGTCGACACCGTTAGCCATTCCTACCGGCTCTTGTTTGTCCCAATGATCGATCTCCTTGCAGACATGTGCTAATTTGTAAACTAATTTCCGTAGCTTTTCGTGGGCGGCTTGTGCTCGTTGTTGTTTCGGCGTGGCACCTGTGCCTCTAAAGGCCTGTTGAAGTCGGACCTGCCTGCGCTTTAAAGCTTCTTCAAGAGCCGGGAATATCACATCGTTGAGAGCGTCGAGTTCGCCAGTCGGACTTGCAGGTGCGGGGGAAGGCATAGCAACAGGTGCTCGTGATGCTTCTGAGGAGAGGTTTTCTCGCGAAGGGTTGCTGTCTCGAAGTTTAGAAGGAAGTGCCGGAAGTGGCTGTTGCCCAAGTTGGCGGGGGTTAACGTTTTGCGATATCATGGCTGGGCCTGGGTTTGGGACTGGTTGCTTAGGTGTGGCAGTATTGGACTGATTAGTGACTTGTTGGAGAGGTTGGGGGCTCCCTCGGAAGGGCGGAATTTCAGGTAATTTTAGAGGCCCAAGTTTTGGTAAAGGTTGTTGTGCTGGTGGGCGTGGAGGTGCCGCAAGTGGCTGAGAGGCTCTGTTAATCACCGAATTTTCCGGCTGAGGAGAAGGGGTTGCTCCAATATTCAGAAAGCCCATATCTCTTTGCAGCTGCTCTTGCAGTGAACGATCGTAATCAGGAGAATCATTCCATTGTTGGGATTGGAAATGTTGTGGAGTTTTCGGAGCGTCCGGTGCTGCCACACGTAGCTTTTCCGGAGAAGGTGGTAAAGGAACTTTTGAAGGCGACTGAGGTTGTAGGCTTGGAACTGGCCGTCTCTGTGGGGATGTTTGGCGTGGGTACTCGGTGATAGGAGAGTTCATCGCTTTAACTGTATCTGCCGTAGACATGTATCCTGAATCCTTCATCTTACTTGGCGATGAACTTCTTGGTCGCTCGGCATAATCATCCTCGCTCTCTGAAGACCGAGATGATCTGGCATTCGTTGCAGAATCTCCCATGGTGTTGAGACCTCCTCTGCCAGCGCCTCTGCCCCCAACGGGGCGCACAGTACCGAAATCCCACAAATCATCGTTTACAGGGACTGTGCGTGGAAGGTCCTCTCGACCATCATCCGAATCATCATCCTCGCCTCTATGATGTACAGCCCACCGTTCATGTCTTTCAATCAATTCAGTGAGGTATGAGGTCTTTTTTGCCCTCCGTACAAACGGGTGTTTTAGTAGTTCCCGCGCCGACGGCCGCTTTCTCGGGTCTTTCTGGAGGCATAACTCAACAAACTCTTTGAAAGCTTTGGAGAAGTTACCCTCGAGTTCTGGTGGAGGATTCTTGGGTATCAGAAACAAGACCTTCATGGGATGAATGTCAGAGTAAGGTGGCTCTCCATTGGCGAGCTCGAGCGCCGTAATTCCCAATGACCAGATATCCGCCTTATGGTCGTAACCAGACTGCTTGATGACTTCTGGAGCCATCCAGAATGGAGTGCCCACAAAAGTATTCTTCTTCGTCATAGTTGCGGAAAGCTGCCCCGAAACCCCAAAATCTGCTAACTTGACCTGTCCGTTAGAGCCCAGTAAAACATTGGCCGCTGTGATATAGGTCAGTCATAAAATATTCTAACAGCTTGGGGGAGTCATCCTACCCTTGACATCTCTATGTAGCTTCTTATCGCCATGAAGGTAGTCCAGGCCAAGCAGCAACTCCCGTATAATAATCGAAATATAATCCTCCCCAATCGCTCCTGGCTTCATCAAGTCCCCACAGCTTCCACCAGAGCAGAATTCCATGACGATCCATAGGTCAGAGCCCTTCAAGTATGATCCATGGTATTGGGTAACATATGGGGAGTGGAGTTCGGACAAGATCGATATCTCCTGTATGATATCTTCGACCTCGTCGTCGGCATTTTCAACATCGATTACTTTGATTGCAACAGCTTGCCCGTTCCGCTTGTCAACCCTGGTGCCTTATTAGCTGCATGTCGGTGAGAGACGGTAATAAACCAAAAGAAACACGTACCCCTTGTATACCTTGCCAAAGCTACCGCCGCCTGTAACGAGTCAGAATCAGTTTACCAGGACTGGCAGATCTTGATTGCATACCTATGCAGCTTTGCTTGGTATAAAGAGTCTCCGGATCTACCACGACACCCATCGTGCCACCTCCACTTGCCATATTGCTCGGTTGGGTTATACCAATTGGGCCTTAACAAGGAAAGGTGAAAAGAATGTGAGATCGGCGCTCGGTGGCCTGGCGAAGGAAGGGCCTTCGATGTCCTGAGGATGCGTGGGAGGGTTGGCGGCCGCGGACGCGGTAGGCCACTACGCAAGAATTTCGCCGGAGGCAGAATTGATAAGAGGCGGCCCGCGGGGTGAGATTGCTATTAGGCCGGGTTTGAAGGAGTTGGGATCGAGAAACGCGGTCGAGGACAGTTCGTCAGCGTGGTGATTGGCGGGGTTGAGCGTTGAGGGGAGGGAGGCTGTGGAATATCCAGCAAGGCCAGGTTCTACAGCAAAATATCGAGAATGTGAAGCTGGCGCAAAGCTAGAGGATTCCTGTTCTTGTTGTTTCTTAAAGACCGCGGCTAAAGTAACGCTGACCTGGCGGAAGCATCTGCCAGCACAAGCAAAACGGTTGCTGAGCAGCGCGGGACAGACAGAGGGATGCAGGAACCAGCCGCCGGAATGCTTGTTTCATCAATATCCGGGGAAGGCTCGCACGACTGGTTTAGGGCTGCCAGGAACGAGACTGATCTGATATCAAGGGGATGTTACATTATTGTACGAACAGATGAGAGCCATTTAATCGTGGCGATGTCTACAGCCTCGGGGTTGCTTTTTTAATATTACGGAGAATTATAGGTTGTTTGCTGGCTGTTTGTTGTTGTCAATCGGGAGGTCGCGCGAGGGCCAATTAATGCATCTTCAGGCTCGCGTGGCGGCGACTTGGCTGCGGTTGCTCCAGGGGTCAGCAGTAGTAATAATAATAATAATAAGCAGCAAATAATAATAATAAACAGTTGGCCCGCGATTACAGCCTGTGGGAGCCTACTCTGTATTACGTGTAAAATTTAGTTCTGGGACATCTGCTGTGAATCACGACTAACCTGTTAGATCCTTTCTTGTTGCATCACAGACGTATTTTAAACAGCATTCTTCAGAATGTCTCGTTCATTCATTCATTCTATGTCCTAGCGTAATTGAAAACCGCGACTTCTAGATGCAGGGAAAGGGAAGGGCATGCCCACGCCATTAAAAGGCGATATTGTAAACGCCAGTAGCGAAGACCTCCAGACCCCGAGATAGCACAATTCCTTTAAACATTTGAAAATGCCAACCAATTCTAGGGGCCTGGTGAAAACATGAACGCCTAGTATGATGTAATGAGTCAATCCTCCGTGGGTGCCCTGTCTAATCCTCGAGATATTCTACCATGACGGTCCCGTTCTTAAGCCCCGCTTGTTCAATGGTGTCCTCCATATGCTCGCTCAAGTCCTTACCCATGCCTTTCAGATCGAATGGAATGCCGGCTTTTCCGTCCAAAGGATCCGCCTTGAGCCATTCATAGATGCGTAGAACTAGATCATCAGCTTGGAATCTCCGTACAACTCGTCCATTAGAATGTCTGAATTGAATTCGAGTGACGGTTGGACCTAGATCCGGCTCCGTATGTGGGTTATTGGCTGATACTTGAGAGTATGCCGTAGCTGCTATATCCTCGGGTTCAGTGGCGTGTCCATTTGTGGGCTCCATATCTGTATCCGCAGTTCCGCGGTCAACCTCTTTTCCTTTGCCCTTGCCCACATCTCCAAAGCTTTTGGTGAGATCATCTGGATCGTGTTCCTTGGGGCCGCTAGTAGTACCATTTGCGAGACTGTTCTGCAGCGCTAGATCAAGCATCTCCTCTTCAGTCAGTCGATCAACGTCAACGGACTTTGCTTTCTCGGGCTTTCGTCTCGCTACAGGGTTCTTCTTTGTAAGATCGAGACTGTAACGGTCCAGGAATTCAACAAGCTGCATAAGGAACTCTCCAGGAATAGGAACTGGTGGTCCCGACCATACTTTGACCTGTTCACCAGTCCTGGGATCAACGATGGCGATGTGTGGGTAGGCAGCCTGGCTATCTTTCAAAGGGAAGTAGTAGTTGATGTATTGGTTTCCTCTGGGGTCATCCTTAGAGTACTGCATAAAAATGAAGTTCTCCTTGACGACTTCCTTGATACCCTCGTGCTTCCAGATATCGCGATTGAGTTGTTGGCAGTCGAAGATAGACGGATCTTGGACGTTGACTAATATCCATTTCAAATCTTCCTTGCCTTTGTCACGAGCATCGTCCCAGGGTATTTGATTCATGATTTCGAATGGCGGGCGAAATAATTCGGCGAGACGAGCGGCTTTCGATGATGCTTCAGATGCTCCACCAGTAGCTTCAGCTAACCCGCGACGGCGAGCTCCGGCATCAGAGGATTCATCCCAGATCGACTGAACTGGTCGTTGATTAAACACACCGGGCGCCACTATTAAACCGTCAGTATTTTAAATCCGACTTCAGAGTGCGGATGAGCGGCATACCTCCAGGCGGTTGTCGTCGAAACCTCAACTGCTGCTGGACTGCGTCCATCATATTATCCCGGCCCCAATCCTCTTCCGGACCTCCGACGAGTGTCTCTGTCCTACGCTCAATCGGGGCCCGCACACCATCGGCATCAAACCCTCCAGAAGCATCGCCACCAGCATATAATTCTTCTTGCATTCTCCGAGCCATAGCCTCATCATCTTCGTAGTCTGCAGCTCGGCCTATCGCCGTAGCAGAGGCCGCTTGTCGATCTTCATTGCCGCCTTCATCTTGCATAGGTATATCTTCGTCATCGTCATCTAAATGGACAACACCAGCAGCGTCCTCGCGCCCGATCGTCGCCGCTCGCGGCTGAGGCCGTGTAGATGTCGGTATTGGCGGCGTGGACGCTTGAGCGCCTTGAACTTGATCTAAACCACTTGCCAGATCTGGAGAGTCGAAGTAGAGCTGTATTGCCTGCTGGCTATCGTTCTCCGTCATCTGCAAGTACCTCCTTGCCACATCAGCGGTCGCCCCCGTAAACGCCATGAAGGTATCCACAGCATCATCCATGGTGGGCAGATGGTTCGTATGTCGAAGGCTTATATGGTGTTATTTCGAGCTGAGGGAGTGGCAGGTTTGGTAGTATTGCCGGAAGAGTTGTGGCAGAATTTGGGGGTTGTAGGTAATTGTAGCTGTGGGGTGAAGACGGCGGGGCGACGGAATCTGTGCAGGAGAAAGGTGGGATCCAAGCACGTCTTGATCTAAGTGAAGTGAATGCAAACGAGAGATCAGAAGTAGCAGTAAGCGCCTTCTGCTGATTTGGTAGACATCGCGTATAAGATATGTATCGTGTGACGGGAGGGTATAAGAATTAGGGATGGGGGATATAGGTAATGGATGGTGCAGGTGGATGCGTGACGTTTGCCGCCTCTAGTTGTCGGCAACATGCACAAGTGCCAGGGCAAGGCCACGCTGGAGTGCGTGCTCACCGCACGAGGCTGACAGCTCGGCGGGATGCAGCGTTGCAGCCTTGGAGCCTGAGAGCCGGTTGCCACTTCAACAGCCCGATCCAACTTGGACAAGGCAAATACAACGCGCAACACGACAACGCTATTCGTAATACACTGCCTGCTGTGAATAGTCGCCTCTTCCACCATTCCGGCTTCTTATAAAAATGTGTTTTGATCCCCGGGAGTGATTTGACTGTAATGCTAGGACCCAAAACCATCACGTCTGCATACAATAAGCAGAAAGATGGCTTCGTCCACAGAGGCCAGAGAGCTGGAGCTCGTTGGCAAAGTGGAGATGCGTATAGCTCTTGCAAAGGATGATAAATTGGAGTCGATGCTGAAGATATATCTCTCACCGCTGCTCCTGAAATTAGCTAGTGACTATGCTGCTGTCCGGAACAAGGTATGTCTGAGTTGAAAGTCCAACGCTGACCCCCACGTGATGTACCACGAATGCTAACTCCTTCTAGGTGATATCCACGTGCCAACATATCAAGATTCGTCTCGCTGGAAATCCGTTTGTGCAGAAATCCCAATAAATTCTGTTCCGTCCTGACCATATTCGCAGGGAGATTGTTTTGCCGGTAGCGGCGCTCTTGAAGCAGTACAAGGAAAACCCGGAGTCATCCATGATCCGCCACTTCGACCTCATGTTCATACAGCAGAGTGTTGGCAAACTATCGTCTACAGTAACGTAGTTCTCCCCGAATAGAGGGGGTAGATACTAACAAGAACTAGGAGCAAATGAACTTGCTGCCCACGATATTACACGGACTAGCCAAAGACTCAGGAAAGCCAACTTGTGCCACCCTATTTAATCTATTTCTACGCTTATTACCACGCCTTAAACTACCTCTGCGTGGAAGCAAGGAAGACAGCGAGCTGAGAAAGCAGCTTGGACTTGATGAGCATGTGGAAGACGCGAGATTCGTTGCCACTTGGTTCGGCAAACTTATGCTCCTCACAGTGGTTCGCTCTACGGCGTCTGGTGTTACCTGCCCTGGACTTACAGTCCCAGAGTACGAGTTCCTGACGTTAAACGGAAAGCAAGAGACTTGGGATCCTACCTCTGATGAAGGTCTCAATTTGGCACAATCAAAAATTGGAGTTCTGGGATTTCTGGCGAGTGGCGCTTTCACTGATGACGAGCGGTTCTTGCCGGCTTTGTTTGCATCTGGGGATACCAATTCTCGGATTTCCGGCGCAGGGGATGACATATTAAAGCGGTCAGCCATCTCACTTGAAGATTCTGAGAAGATTCGTAATCTACTGCAAATCTATTTTACTCTCAAGCCGGCTCTTCAGACACGATTACTCGTCTTGCTGAGTAAATCCGCAATTTCAACAACATTTCCGCAGCAAATTGTCAAACTTGTGCAACAGGCAATTCAACCAGACGACAACACAAATCTCCCAGCCAAAGGCCTTGAGACCGTGAAATTCCGAAATGCATTATTTAACTATATGAATTGGGTATCGCGCGTAGGTTCAGCTAAGGATCTTGAGCAGGTCGCTCCTCCATTGGTTGACTTATTGCGGAGCTATATTGAAGACCAAGGTTGGCCTGTCCCTCATGACAGATCATCGGACGCCGCTTCTTTACGAGCTCTGGCTTATGAGACACTGGGATCTCTAGCCAAGACCACTCCGTCCATTGCTCTCAAGCAAGACTTGTCACTCGTCCGATGGCTTTTCCGGTCGTTGACAGAAGAAGGGTCTTCAGAGACCATATTCGTCAGCATTGAAGGCGCTCTTTCGAGCCTATTAAATATATTCGCCCCCCCACTAGACTCCGAATTGAAGCGCGAGTTACGCTTGCTGCTCCTGAAGTACATGACGTTAGTGGAAGGCGACGGTGTTGTGCGGAGCGCTCGGTTCTCCACTGTACGTTGGGCGAATCGATGCCTTGATTATAGCGATATCGTTGGACGATGGATCGATATACTAGCCCTAGGTGGTCGTACAGACGAACGCAGTGATGTGATAGAAGAGGGCAAAAAGGGCCTGGTAAGTCTTATCCTCCTATTATTATCTATAGGCAAATCTAACTGTTGCCATCACAGGATCCTTATTGGTACCGACTCTTGAACTTATCAGTTACTTCTGACTGTCCCCTCCCTGATTGGAGCGAGATGGTCAAGGTATTTTTCACTGGCCAAAGCATCCTCGAAAGTTCGACAGTTGCCAATAGCATGAAGAGCGGCATGGAAATTGATGGGGTATCTGTCTTTGGAAATTTCTCCGGAACAAAGATCAACGCTTTCTCGTCCGCCGTTGGTTACTGTCGTCAAATGCTCCTGATGGCTGCCTTGGAAGTATCTGAAATTTCATTTGATGTCGATGCGGATTGGGAGCGCCAACTGGATGTTCTCTTTCGCTCTGACAAGCAGGCCCGAAAGCTCACCAAGGCCTACATTAAGACTATTGACCGGGATGCGTTACACATATATCTCACTGCGGCTCTGGAAGGCATGTTGCGGAAAGATGGAAATGGCCTCGAGGGCTGTGGCAAATGCTTCGTCGAAATAGCTTCAATAGCGCCCAGTGAGACCATTGGTCGCCTTGCTGGAAGGGCTATTGAGCTCCTGTCTTCTATCAAGTCGAATAACATAGCAACACGCGAGATTGCTTCGCGGGCGTTTGGGATTCTTGCTTCGCATCCAGAGACTACTACCGACTCGATCCATAAACTGGTCGAATCACTTTCGGCCGATATAAAGCCTTGGGCGACTGCTGTGGGCGCGGAATCAAACAAGGTCCATGGCTCAATTCTTGCAATTGGCTATCTACTCAGCCGGGCTTCATACTATGGCCGACTCAATACCATAAGCGATGATACTGTTCAAGAAGTTATCAATTTGCTATTTGAGATTCTGGCTGGCGCAAAAGATACCACTACGAAAGAGGCCGTGCTAAATGCAATTGGGCAGCTAAGTGCTTCTAGCGTCATAACGGTTGCACGCATCGAAAGCTCCCCCTCAGAGCCTACCACTATCATTGATTTGTTGGCTGCTGAAGCAAAAAAGGGCAACGAGAAGGCAATCTCTACCCTCGGTCGCCTATCTCTTGTATTCGACGAGGATCCGGAATCTGGGCCCCTTTCTTCAATCCTCTCAACCCTGTACGGACTCTACGAATTAAAACAGGCCGAAATCCACTTCTCTATCGGAGAAGCCCTCAGCTGTGCGGGTGCGTGCTGGGACTCCGACGTTCTCCTCCTCAGTCTAGATGTAGATGCCAGTTATGAAGGACGAAAGAAGCGACCAAGCACGGCCGAATCCCTCCTCGCCAAGTTATTACAGGACTGCAAGACGACCAAACCGTCATTGAAAAAGGCGTCTGGTATTTGGCTTTTCTGCCTGATTCAGTACAGTGGCCATTTAGATGAAGTTCAATCGCGTTTACGAGAATGTCAGGCTGCCTTCATGGGTCTACTTTCCGCTCGTGATGAGCTTGTTCAAGAAACTGCTTCGCGTGGTCTCAGTCTTGTTTATGAGCAGGGAGATGCGACGCTGCGGGAGAAGCTTGTAAATGACTTGGTTTCGTCGTTCACCGGCAGTAGTACGCAACTCAAAGTCGACGAGGAGACTGAGCTCTTCGAGCCTGGTGCACTGCCCACGGGCGAAGGAAAATCGGTCACATCGTATAAAGACATCATATCGTTAGCGAATGAGGTTGGTGACCAAAGTTTGGTGTACAAATTCATGTCCCTTGCGGCGAACGCTGCCACCTGGTCGACTCGAGCAGCGTTCGGGAGATTCGGGCTGAGCAATATACTCTCCGAGTCTGAGATCGATCCAAAGCTCTACCCGAAACTATATCGGTATCGGTTCGACCCCAATCCTAACGTACAACGCTCAATGAACGGTATCTGGAGCGCCCTTGTCAAAGATTCGAGTGCAACAATCGACCTCTACTTTGATGACATCTTGGCAGACCTCTTGACTAGCATCCTAGGCAAAGAGTGGCGAACAAGACAAGCAAGTTGTGCAGCCATTGCAGACCTTGTTCAAGGCAGGGAGTTTGACAAGTATGAGAAGCACCTTCACAACATCTGGCAGGTTGCATTCAAGGTACTTGATGATATCAAATTATCTGTTCGTGAGGCTGCTCTCTCTCTTAGCATGGCCTTGACGGGAATTATTGTTCGGCAACTTGAGGCCGGGACTTCCTCTAAGAGTGCTCAAGCCATGCTCAAGGAAGTTATGCCATTCCTTCTCTCGGAACAGGGTATGCAGAGTTCTGCAAAAGAAGTCAGAGTATTTGCAACATTGACGGTTTTGAAGCTTGTCAAAAGTGGCGGAAAAGCTCTAACGGCTTTCGTACCTAATCTAGTTGAGGAGTTGATCGGCCTCCTAAGCACATTAGAAGGCGAAGGGGTCGACTACATCTACCTACGAGCAGCCCACTACAATCTTACAGAGGAGAAGATTGATAATGCTAGGTCAACAGCAGTATCGCATTCGCCTATCATGGAAGCTATTGAGCGCTGTCTCGACATCCTAGATGAACCAACCATGAAGGAAGTCGTTCCCCGCCTTGAAAATGCTATCAAAACTAGCATTGGTATGCCATCGAAGATTGGCTGCAGTGGCATTCTCGTCAGTCTTGCCACACGACACACTTTTGTCTTCCGCAGTCATGCCGATACCTTCTTGAAATTGATAGAGAAGGCTGTTCTGGATCGCAACAATGCAGTTAGTGCTGGCTATGCTAGATCTGCTGGATATTTAGCCCGCCTTGCAAGCGACGACGCCCTATCACGTCTCGCAGACTATTCGAGGAAGTTGTACTTCGAAGGAGAAGATGAGACTCGCCGGCAAGTAGCGGCAGATATTATCTATGCCGTTTCAAAGTTTGCTACGGACCGGTTTAACGCCTGGGCATCATCGTTTTTGCCATTTGTGTTCTTCGCCAAGCATGACTTTGATGAGCACGTCAAGGAGCAGTTTGAAAAGACGTGGACCGAGAATGTGGGTGGCTCAAGGGCGGTGCTTCTCTATTCGAAAGAAATCAACGGTTTAGCTGTTGAGCGTCTCGAATCTCCGAGATGGACCATCAAGCACACCGCTGCCTTAACCATCGCGGATGTTGTTACATCATCTGGATCGGAGATCAGTAGTGTAAATGCTACCGGCATCTGGCCTGCTTTGGAGAAAGCCCTCGCCCTCAAGACCTTTGATGGCAAGGAAATTGTCCTCGAGGCCTTTGTGAAATTGACTAAGGCGGCGAAGCCCTTTTGGGAAAAGGATCCTAGCATCGCTGCCCAGATGAAAAAGATCGCCATCCGAGAAGCAAAACGAAATAATGAGACCTATCGACCTCACGCATTTAGTAGCTTGGGGGGGTATAGCGAACTACGTATAGACATCGACATGTTTGATGATATCTCGAACGTCGTCACACCAATACTTGAAGACGTCATTAGTGAAGATAAGATGGATACTTCGGATGACAACAAGCCCGGGAAAACGGAAGATATGTTGGTGACAAACGGCATCTCAGCTTTATTCCGCGGTGTTAACACAAAGCACCCTGATCATTCTCCGTTATCCCACCTACCAGATCTGTTAGAGATCTCTAAGAAGGTCTTTGCCTCTACCAAAGTCACAAATGCCACCAAGATGGCGCTCTATGAACGCGCCAAAGCCCTGTTCGAGGGTCTCCGCCAGCGAGAGCAAGTACAAAGTACCAGTAGCTATGACCTAGCCGTCGGGTTCTTCGCCTTGCTCGATGTACCTAGTGGATCTGGGAGCGAGAGCATGAGAATCAAGAGAGGCGAGGCTGCGGAGATGATTGTTCAAGCTCTTGATCGCGGCGTTTTTGGAACTGCTACGGAAGAGAGGGAGGCGTGCAAAGAGAAAATGAGGAAAATGGCCCAGGAAGGAAGGATATCTGAAAGGTCCCCTGGAGTCCAGGCTGTTCTTGATAGAGTTATTAAATGTCTTCGGTGAGTTATAGTTAGCGATAAAATAGACCGAGTGTTGAGTTGAATCTTATTCTATAGAACCCCTCGATGTGCAATGGATAATATACGGTTTGCATTTTCTTAAGCCTGGCATAAGCCCACTAATGGATCACTAAATTCGAATACGATATCTAACTAACTATATATACATAAACTATCTATGTCGAAGGATCATCTCATACCTAGTATATAATACAGTGGTTGCGGAACCCCTATTCACATCCAAATAGGGGCGGCCCGTTCCGAAATTATGCCATCCTCACGAGCCAGGCACCCGAACTTTTTTCTTTTGTGCTTCCACCTCAGCATCTTCCACATCTCAACCGGCCACTCACTCACAATGGCGTCTCCCCTCCCAAGGCTGTTCTCGCGGCGCTTCCTCTGCCAGCAATGGACGCCATTACAAAAGACCCGCAGCTCAATAATATGCCGCAACCTTCGAGCTCCCCGAGGGCGACGCAGCTACGCGACAGGCGAAAGCGGCCCCAATCCGCGTCCGGGCCAGAACCCGTTCAAGATATGGCCTTTTATCGCCATCACGCTCGCGGGAACAGGAGCGTATATATTGATGGTGAGGAGTCGGGTTGGTACTGGTAAGTGTTCAACCTTCCATACCCAACCACCATACATGTACATTGTACAACCCTCGCTCGAGCTCAGCAAAAATTCGAGAGCCGCTTTAAGGTCGACCTAGAACTCGTGCCTGTTGTCTCATCCAAAGTTTCCAAACCAAGCCCTCCTTCTCTTATCGTTGGATCTACGGAGACAGTTAGCTAACGAAGCCGGTGTCTCTTTCGAATAACTAGACATGACACCTCCAGCGAACTCCCAGATCGCCGCTCCTAAGAAAGACACTCCGACATTCTCCCCCTCCGACGTCACAGTGCTCTTCGTCCTCGGCGGTCCAGGTGCAGGGAAAGGCACACAGTGCGCGAATCTCGTCCGCGACTATCATTTCACGCATCTATCAGCGGGCGACCTGCTGCGCGCAGAGCAAAACCGCGAGGGCTCCGAGTTTGGCGATCTGATCAAGGAGTATATCCGCGATGGCAAGATCGTGCCCATGGAGGTGACGGTGCAGCTTCTGGAGAATGCCATGACGGAGGTGGTGCGCGCGGATAAGGAGGGCAAGGGGAAGTTCTTGGTCGATGGGTTCCCCAGACAGATGGATCAGGCGCTGAAGTTCGAGGAGTCGGTTGTTCCGGCGAGATACGTCTTGTTCTTCGATTGCCCCGAGAAGGTCATGGAGGCCAGGTTGTTGGAGAGGGGGAAGACTAGTGGAAGGGCGGATGATAATGCGGAGAGTATCAAGAAGAGGTTTAAGACGTTTGTGGACACCAGTATGCCGGTTGTGGATTACTTTGAGAAGCAGGGACGGTTGTTGAAGGTCTCGGCTTCGAATTCCCCAAAGGACGTGTATAAGGATACTGTAGGGAAGCTTGAGGGTGCTTTAGGCAAGAACTTTTAATCGACTTCAGGGCGTCGGCGAGATGGGAATAGACGGGGACGATGAGGGATATCAGGCATAGAGGATGGGCACTCATTTATAATGTTTCATTAACTGTTAGAACTACTGCATGTATTTTAGCCTACTGAATTTCTATGTAACTTAGGCGATGTAGAATACATCGTTTATGAACTTTGAAATTTGATTGAATTTTAAATCGAAGAATACAACGCTTATGATTGTAGTCTATCGCATCCGTTGTATCCCATCTGATTGGGAGAACATATCGCTCATGAACTTCATTTAAAGCATGAGAAATTCTCCCGCATCATGCCAGATGCTATGCAGCCAGATAATACACCCCAACGCCGGACGTGAATGGCCTCTGATATTTAATAGGCGGGACTGAAGAGAATGTTCAGGAGAACATATCACTTCTGTCCTCGGCCATTTAATCAGTACCCATTTCGACCATGTTGTCCTTGCCACCAACTGTGCCTGGCTTACGTCCCATACCCATACCGTTAACCTTCCGCTCAAGGTCGTGCATCTCACGCTCTTTCTGGGCCTCTGCCTGTTGTCGCTCCCTGCTGATGACCTCCTTGATATTTCTCAGGCTTGCGCGCCAGGTATCAAGTCTGGTAGCCACCTCGCGCCACTGCTTCTCGCCAAAGACGCGGTAGGTAGTCTTGTGGATCTTGAAGACTTGTTGCTGCTGCGACATTCTACCCTCGATCAACTCTGCCCGGATAACATCAATGATCCAGGTCTCGACATCTTCGATCGGGATTTGGAGTGCCTTGGCAATGCGCTTGTATTCGAGCTCCCGGGTGTTGGAGCTAGCCGCAACACTTGCCAATGTCAGGAGTCTCATCTTGCGATGGAGCACGCTGTTGTCCAGACCCTCCTTCTCAATCCAATCCTCATTCTCATCCCGGAAGTCATTATAATCCTCAAGTTCCTTTTCAGAGAAGATCTCGAGCAACTCGGAATATTCAGTGTGCGAGTCGCTAAGGGCTTGGATAGGGGCAAGAGAGGTAAGGTCGCTGAAGTCAAAGTGGGTGTTGGAAAGGAGAGCGGATTTCAGAGCGCGAAGCGAAAGGTCCTGGGCTTCCTTTGTTGAAACTTCGGAGGATTGGAAGGTGCGGAGAGATCTCAGAATAAATTGGTAGGCCTCTCTGCAAAACCCGAGAATTAGTAAATAAATTATATAGAGTCCCAAAATAAGGCATGACTTACTCTCTCTTATCAGCATCCTCGGCAGCGTCCGCCAACTGTCCGAATAATTTGCGCTGGTCCTCCTCGTCCAAATCCCACTCACCGATCCACTGATCCAATTTCGCCAGCTGCGGGCGCAGAGTCTCAAACAAGCCACAAGCCTTGATCTGGCGGATAATAGCCTGGAATATATTGAAGCGCACATCGTTGTCGGGCTGCATCAGGTTGAAGATGGTGGTGAGAACGTTGAGGGCAAGACCGGGACCGTTTTGAGGGGCAGAGGTAATCGGTTTTGTGAGGCTGTCGCACATGCGCGGTAGGAACATATTGACATTGGGAGACTGCATAACCAGGTAAACCAGGAGGTTGTAGGCGGCAGTAAACTCCTTCTCTGGGTAGGTATTGAGGGCCGCCGAAGCAGTCACCAATCTCTTGAGAACCTCATCTTTGCTATTTGCCTCGAGGAGGGGTTCGACCTCAGCGGTGACATGGAGATATTCGGCCAAATCGCGTGCCAGGTCAGCAAATGTGCCCTCAACAAAGCAGTACTGCATGATGGCGGACTGGGCGTGCAAGTGGTTTTTAAGGATTTCGGCCTCAAGAACAGCTGCTATCTCAGTTCTGTGGTGAACTTTATCGCGGTCAACGAGCGAGTTCATTTTTTGATGTGGGATGAAGCGACCTGGTGTGGATATAGTTACCGAGGGGGTGCGTTGTGATTAATCTCAGCACGTGACAACAAGTTGGATGTGTTGTGGCAGATGGAGGTTATAATCGCCTAGGGTTGATGTAGTGTTGAGGGGTTGTCGCCTGAGGCGGAAATAAATCACACCCAGTCCCACGATAAAGCACTCGGGAACAACGACCCTCCAGCAACCATGCTGACTTGCCAGCTCAACTCCGCTCTCCTTCTCCCATTCTCAAGGAACATACAATTCCCGGTCTCTACCCTATTAATCTTTTCGTCTTACCAGAGCTATTTGAGATGATTCCCAACTGTAACAAGTATAGTAAGTGCTTGTATAGTAATTCCACCAGGATAGATTCTCGTACTATTTTTCTATGATAGCAAAGATGATATTGCTTTCTTCCGAAACCGTAGACTACATCGTGGCTCCTTGGCCATTATTGCTACAATTTTTAATAAAATTTTTCCTATAATTAGGCTTTCTACATGTGAAGTTTACTGGTTTGACGATTGATTATTACTATGAATGTACCAAATCCAATGAGTAATTCGCACATTCCACCGCTATTGATTTCAGTCTTCAAGCTCCTTTATCTCGCCAAAAAATCAAATCACTAGTTCGGATTGAGACATTTAAGTTTTGTGATACTTTATAGAGTAGCAAATCCATAGCTAAAATTTGAAATATCAGGATATTATTTACTCACTCTCTTTATCCAAATACCACCCTCGCCCCTTAACCCTATGTATTCATATATATCACCCCCTATATGCAACTACCCACGCTGAGCGATTAAAGCATTTCCTTTGCCGCATAGAAAGCCAATTACAAACCGCTATCACAGCTACGAGGGTACTTCATACGGAACGGAAGAGCTCTTCGGGATACCCTAGGTAATAGAGCACGAGCTACTAAGGTCCCTTGGGATTCAATCAACTCCTTCGAATTTAACACCTCACTCGCAATATACGTAGACACCCAATCCCCAAAATTCAAAAAAGTATTGGTTTGTATTCGGCATTTGAAACCTCAAGGAAAAAACCTAACGACCGCCGCCTTACCTTCTCATTCTGAAGACTCCATCTATACTCCCATTTGTCATCGTGCTTTAAGAGCTAGAACCATCCATCTTTCCAAATTCTTCTACCTAAGAAAATAAGAACTTCACTTCCGCAGATTACATATATTCTTTCTACCAAGTGTGCAAAAATAGCTATAAAAGCTTTTATTTGCCGTCCGGCTTGACAATCTTACAGATGAGATCGGATCCGGCGACGGAGTCGCCTTCCTTGATTTGGATGTTTCCGACTTTTCCGGCGTGTGGGGCGGAGATCACCATTTCCTACGTGGATTAGTTAAATAGGCTTTACTTGCAGGTAGACAACAAGGGGGACTTACCATCTTCATGGCACTCAGCACAGCAATAGGATCGCCCTTCTTAACCTCGCCACCCTCGTGGACGCGGATCTCAACAACGACACCAGACATTGGTGCGCCGACTTGGCTTGAATCTCCGGGATCGGCCTTGGGTCTGCTGGTGTTCTCGACGGCAGCCAGGACGTCGTCGACGGTGACTTGGCGGACCTCACCTGGGAGGATATTAGCATAATCTATAAGTAAGAGAAGCACACAGAAATATATTACCATTCATCTCATAGAAGACTTCGCGTTGACCAGTGGTATCGGACAATGGACCAACAGCAAGCAACTTAAGGATGAGAACCTTGCCCTTCTCCAGCTCGACATGGAACTCTTCGCCGATCTCAGGTGCCGACAAGAAGTATCTTGTTGGGAGGACGCTGAGATCGCCGTACTTTTGGATGAATTTCTTGTAGTCCTCGAAGACCTTGGGGTACATTGCGTAACTGGCAACATCACACTCAGTAACATTGCCCCACTTGGCGTGGATCTCCTTCTTGATCTTTTGCAGATCAAGTGGCTCAAGGGTCAAACCAGGTCGCTTGTCAAGCTTGCGTCTGCCACGTAGAGCATTCGTCCGGAGGGGCTCGGGGAAACCACCATACGGTTGGCCCATAAGACCCTCGAAGAACTCGAGAACGGAGCCGGGGAAATCGAGCTCGCCAGCTCTTTTCTGGACATCGTCGAAGGTGAGTTTGTTGGAGACCATGAACTGAGCCAAGTCACCAACAACCTTAGACGTTGGTGTAACCTTAACGATATCACCAAGCAAGTCGTTAGCGTGCTCGTATGCCTTCTTAGTCTCGGCCCATTGGGCACCAAGACCAAGTTGTGAAGCCTGGAACATCATATTGGTCAATTGTCCACCTGGAATCTCGTGTTCATACACTTCAGGGTCAGGTCCATTCAAACCAGCTTCAAATGGCGAGTATAGAAGACGAAGCTGTGCCCAGTATGTGTCGATGGCTCGGACGTGGTGGATATTCAAACCTGGGTCCTGAATAGAGCCTTCCAGAGACGAAAGAATGGCACCAACACTTGGCTGAGATGTCATACCCGACAAGCTGTCAGTAGCTGCGTCAACAGCATCAGCGCCTGCGTTCGCGCAAGCAACCATGGATGCAACACCAGTACCAGCTGAGTCGTGAGTATGAACATGGATAGGAAGATCGGGATGTGCCTTGCGGATGGCCCCAATCAACAGTGTGGCGGCCTTTGGCTTGAGAACACCTGCCATATCCTTGATACCAAGAACATGGATCTTCAGCGCCACTAGCTTATCGACCAACTTCAAGTAATACTCCAAGTTGTACTTCTTCTTTGGGTTTAACATGTCGCCACTAAAACACACGGTTCCCTCAACAACACCTCCAGCCTTATGGACAGCATTGATACCAACTTCAAGCTGGTCAATGTCGTTCAGTGCATCGAATACTCGGAAGATATCGACACCATTCTTCTTTGCCTGCTCGCAGAAGTGGTAGATTGCGTTGTCTGGCAATGAAGAGTATGCAACACCGTTGGCACCTCTAAGCAGCATCTGGAATGGAATGTTAGGCACAAGCTTACGCATCTTCCGCAGTCTGTCCCAAGGATCCTCATAAAGGAAACGCATAGCCACATCAAATGTGGCTCCACCCCAACACTCAAGACTGTAAAGGTTGCTGTAAGCATGACTGGTCTCTTTAGCGATGTTACAGAGATCAACTGTTCGGACACGTGTAGCCAATAATGACTGATGGGCATCACGCCAGGTGGTGTCCATAAGCAGGCAGCCTTCGTTTGCACGGACGGCCTTAGCAAATGCTTCTGGGCCCTCCTCGAGAATGATATTTCTCCACCCCTTCTGACAAGGCTCAGAGGTATCGATCTTGTTTCCATCGTCATCAAAGAGTTCTGGCATGATGATTTCACCCTTAAATTTGGGCTCTCCGACCTGGCCCTTGATACTGCTGCCATTGACAGCAATGTCTCCCAAGTATGCAAGCAATTTTTGGGCACGGTTTTGGCTGCCCACGAGGTCAAAGAGCTCAGGCGTGTCATCAATGAATGTAGTCCAGCAGTTGCCGTCGATGAAAGTAGGATGTGTAAGCAATGAGGTTAGGAAAGGGATGTTGGTCTTGATTCCCCGAATTCGGAATTCAACCAAGGCTCGCAACATCTTGCGGCGCACAATCTCGTATGTAGAACCATGACAAGTGCATTTCACCAACATAGAATCGTAACTACTCGAGCAGTTAGTATAGATTTCTATGTCGAGCACTCTAGGGCATTCGGAAACTCACTGAGGGGTAATAATTGCGCCGGCAAATCCATTTCCACCATCCAATCGAACTCCGTTACCACCAGCAGACCGGTAGACCTCAATCTTTCCAGTATCCGGCTGGAAGCCCTTGGAAGGGTCTTCAGTTGTGATACGGCATTGGATTGCAAAGCCTCGGGTGGAAATGCGGTCCTGGGTGAGCCCTAGCTGGGCCAATGTTGCACCAGCAGCAATTTGAATTTGAGCAGCAATGAGATCAATGCCAGTAATCTCTTCGGTGATGGTATGCTCGACCTGGATACGAGGGTTGATCTCGATGAAGTAGTATCTGTTCTGTTGATCGACCAAGAACTCGGCAGTTCCAGCATTGCGGTAGTTGACTGAACGGGCTAGCTTGACAGCATCATTAAGAAGTGCATCTCTCACACTGGTTGGGAGATCCTTGGCTGGCGCCAATTCCACAACCTTTTGATGTCTTCGCTGAACGGAGCAGTCACGCTCGTACAAGTGGACGACATTTCCGTGGTTGTCTCCCAAGAGCTGGACCTCAATGTGCTTCGGCTTGTCGAGGAATCGTTCGACGAAAACGGTGCCATTTCCGAAAGCTGACTTCGCCTCCGAGGTTGCTCGGTTAAAGGAGTCTTCTAGAGTCCCTTGTTCCCGAACAACACGCATGCCGCGTCCACCGCCTCCGTAGGCCGCCTTGATGATGATGGGGAAGCCGTATTCATCCGTAAACTTCTTGACATCCTCGAATTTGTCCACGGCACCATCCGTCCCTGGCACAACGGGTACACCCGCTGCTATGGCGATGGTTCTAGCCGAAACCTTGTCGCCGAGGGCGTCGATAACTTCTGGAGAGGGGCCGACGAACTACAATGCATAGTTAGCCGGAGAAAATAGGGAAATAATCGGGTAGAATTAGACATACGATCAAGCCAGCTTTCTCCACATTCCGGGCGAATTCAGCGTTCTCGGAGAGGAAGCCATATCCTGCACGAATTAGGTCACCGTGTTGCTCAGAGGAGGGGTTTCCACCATACCAGGATGAATCATCTGAACCCCATGTTGGAGAGCAATCTTGATGATCTCGTCTCCGGCCAAATATGCTCCAACGGGTGTGTATTGACCGCGCTTTCCGATAACGTAGGCTTCATCGGCTTCTGCAGACAGAGTTTTGATCAGTAGATGCCAGTGGATGCTCTTATCGGGGACCACCTACTCTGCCTGTGCATGCTAAGTCGGTCCTCATAACTGCCCCGGCGTCAGTCTTGCACCTCTGTATTGTATAACCGGCTATAAAATTTACCTGAAAACCGCGACTGTCTGAAGCGACAGTTCATGGGCCTATGCAAAGTAAGCCGCTGCCAAAAACCATAGTGGGGGGATTGTAAGTCCAAGAAGAAAGACTCACCGTTCGGAAAATCTGCAGCGTCAGACGAAGGTCAGCAAGTCTTCATCACCCGCCTCGCCCAATCCATTGAGAACGTACACGGATCGCTATGGAAAAGTCAGCGCTCTGGCACAGCACGGAGAATGTTTTCTAGAGGGGTATAACTTACGAATTTCGCCTCGATTGGCCACTGTAACCACGCAAAACAGATAAACAATTAGCCCATATTTCTTCTCAAACCCAAGAGCAGCCTGTCCAATTGTCCCACGAAAAGCTGCGGCGGGCGGGCGGGTAGGCGGGACTTACCCAGAATCTTCTTCAACTTCATGATGCTCGAATTGGCGCGGATGCGCTGGATGGTCTGCTCCTGCTTGAGGTCCATGTCGCCCACGATCACGGTCTCGCTGGCGGCGCCATTGCTATCGCCCAGGTCTGCCATGCCGCTATGCGAAGTTTTGTTTGGTTTTGCGCCGTTGCGATTGGGATGGGCAATCGATCGCACTGGCTGGTGGCTTGAGTCAAGCTCTGGTTTCTTGTCTTTGCTAGCTAGACCCGCTTTAGTTCGAACGAAGGGCAGGCAAACTGGTGAGTCGGAACTCGACAAGCTGCAGCGAGGGCGAAGGGGCAGCGAGAAGGTATCAGCTCAGTCGTCGAGCAATCAATTGAATAGTTTCCAGAGTGAGGATGCTGGTGGTTTTATGACTCTTATGATATATGAAGGCGGTAAGAGGACGTGGAGGGGCAGAGCAGAACGGAGCAAAACAGATCAGCGTAGCGCAGGGCAGGGCACAGGGCACCACAGCAGCAGCAGCAGCAGCAGCAGCAGCAGTGAGAGCGGGGCGCGGGCGGAGGAATGGCGGACAGAGCACAAGAAGAAGAGAGCAAACAAAGATTGAGGGGAGATGGTGATGGAGATGGAGATGGCGATGGAGAGAGGAGATATAAACAGAAGGGATTGGGGAGGGCAGCAGAGCTTTGTCCAGCTGGTCTCGGGGTCTGATTTATTTTATTACGACATCGGGTATTTGGTGGTTGGCATGTAAGGTACAGTTACAGTTCCTCGTGCTCGTGCTCTATCATTCGAGCTCTTGTAATATAGAGTAGCTCCGGCGGGGTCGGACTATTTCCGTATATACTGCACGGCACTACGGAATATACTCTCACCACGAAACATCCCCTGTAGCAGAACTCGAGTTACTAGTTTTAATCAGTTCAACCCCCAACACTCTCCTTTCCTCTCCAAGCGGCGGAGTATTTACCATTGCCATTTGCTATTACCATTACCATTACCATTACCAGTAGTCACCGGCCAATCGATGCGAAGATGTCGCGTCCCGTCCGATCAAAGTCCGACCATTAGCAATTGGCAATAATTCCCCCTCGCGCCCTGGTGCACCGAGAGAAACTTTTTTCGTCCTTTTTCCCTTGCTTCCCCCCCATCTATCGTCCCCCTGCACGTCCACCCCGCCGACCTCGCAAGCCTCGGCTACTAGTTACCAGCACACTAGCAAGCAACAAATTTATTGACGAGGCTGATGCATTACGCAGTAGATCATGCGTCGAAAGAATGGCTATTTTTGCTTTTTTCCGACTATAATAATTATTGGCGAGTGATTCATATTACGGCTTGCGAAACCCCAAGACCGCCTTTAGCCGGATCAGAGTCAGAGCAGAGAGGAGAGGACTCGGAGAGTCAGAGGAGCGGGAGGAGCACGGGAGGGAAGGAGGGCGCTCTGTTAAAAGTCGGTCAGTGGTTTCATAAATAATCAAATTGCCATGTGTCAACTGCTGCTAAATCTTATTACTATCTATCTATCCCCAGTGACCAGTCATATCATAGCTAATGCACAATTATTAACTAAGGTACGTAGCTACCTAGGTAGCTATAGCAGCACATACGTACGTACAGTACATGCAGGCGGTCACTCAGCCATAAATGAACCGTAAAGACGAGAGGAGAGAGAGGTTGCAAAATGCTCTTGTCAATGTCAATTTCAATGATACATCCAGACCAGAAGGTCCGGAACAGTAAAGTAGGGCAAATCAGCAATATCAACCAAAGGCAAGAACGCTCCTATCAATTACAGAGTACAGATGCGCCCCAGCAAAGTGCGTGGCCCAAGGCGTGCAGCAGGCATACAACTACACTAGCATCTCGAATATGAACACAGGTCCCCCGACTTTTCTACGTACTCCGCCGCAGAAAGATCAGAACATGTGATGCTACCCAGATGTCCCCCCGTCATTAATACATTCCCAAGTTTGTCTCTACTTTCTCCCCTTTCAGTCTCAGAAGTTCGAATAGCCTGTTTGCTGCGGAGCGAAGCCGTTCGTCTGCGCGAAGGGAGCAGGCGAGGTACGGCCGCCGGGACCAGCCGTGATCATCAGCCGGTTGCCGCCGAGGATAGGTGTGCTGCTCTCATCCGTCTCCTGCGACTTCTCCCGCGACTTGCGCTCCTCGTTGTCCTTCTTCAACATCTCAATCGTCGAGCTCTGCTGCGCAAGGTAATTGATCATGAATGGCATCGTGTAGTCCGTAAGACCATGGCGCCATGAGATCTCCATGACAGTGGCCACTGGAATAAGATCGTAGCAAGCGTAGAGCATGCCAACATAGCATTCGCGGCTGCCGATATCAACAAACTAGAATAATGTTAGACAAATATAGTATGAACCCGAATAACGAAAACTTACGTATCTCAGTAGCTCGTCAACAACATCCGACTTTCCAGACATCGCGGCGGTCTCAATAGCATCCTTGAAGAGCTTGTCTTGCTTGGAAAGCGCAATAGACTTCTCCCATCGCTTGTTCTTGCGGTAGATGTTGGCCGCGATCTGGCGGAAGAAGACCAGATCGTGGTGCTCCAATCGCTGGGCAAGCTCGACGGGATCGTAGTTGTCATAGTTCTCGACCGAATCGCGCAGAGTCTTGTAGTCTTCCTCCTCGATCAGAAGATCGTTGATCGCACTGTTGACAGTCTTCTTGTTCTGCGATTGAACGTTGAGGAGGAAAGGCTTGATGAGAGGAATGTTGTCTGACTTTTCGAACATCTTGACAACACGGTTGACATCGATTCGGGGCGTCAAGGCTTGAAGGAGGTCGGTAAGGAGGGAGGGTTGCTGTTGGAGATAAAAGCTGAGTGCCCGGTAATAAATTTCCAGATTGGCAACCTTGACGACGATGTCCTTGAACGAGTGGTGCTCCCAAGCGTCGGCAGCTCGCTCCATCATGGCAAGGGCTGCATTGTCCCACTCATCATAATGGCAGTAAAGGAAGACAAGTTCTGGCCAGAGATGTGCCTCCTCGCAGGCCCGGATCATCTTTGGGATGTTGATACGGCCCCAGAAGAGCTTCAGGTGCTCCATCACGCGATCTGGATGATACCTCGACAGGGCAATGCCAAGTTCAGTGAACATGCCCATGTGAGCACGCTCAAGGCCAAGACCCTGCTCCAGGAGAGCGATGAGCTCGTCGAAATAACCATTTCGCTCATATTGCTTAACCAAACCTTGAAGCTCCTCAGCGTCAACGATCAAGTTCAAGCCGCAGATCTGCGCCAATCTGAACTCCTTCTTGTCCACACAAGCAGCATTAACCTGCTTCCAAACCTTGATGTTGTTCGCCTTTCGTGCACATTCAACAGCGGCTTGGTAATCTTCGAGGTGAACAAGGGTAGTTGCCAGCTTGGCCCAGTTCGAGATGCTGCTGTAGAAGATCTTCGCAGCTTGATGATATCCTTCAGCATAGGCCTTGTCACCGGACTCTTCGATGTCGGCAACATTGGTGCCTCGCAAGAAGTCCTCCAACTCACTCAGTTGGTCGGTTCGAGCAAAGGCAAAAGCTAAGGCAGTATCGATAGGAGGTTCTCGGAGAGTCTTTCTTGCCATACGAAGGAACTTGATGAGATCTTCGTCCTTGCCAGCGTGAGTGGCAATTTCGATGACTTCATTGTAGTTGCTGGGATCCTCAGCACGGATGTAAGAGGCGATAGAATCAGTGACACGAAGACCGTCTAGCTGAGCCTTGGCAACTCTGCTCCAAACCTCTGGGAGTTCGACACGTTCAGCATACTCCTGTGCACGATCGATGCTGACAACGTGCTCCACGAGAACATTGGCTGCATTCTTGTGGTCATTGATCTTCTTGTAAACCTCGAAAGCTTCCTCGAATAACCCGACCTCGATACAGATGTTGGCAATGTCAGGTGCATTGTAGGCGTCGAGTCTGTGGATATAATCCATGACACGGGCCTTGTCAGCCTTGGTCGCTGTGAGGATAAGAAGGTTCTGCAGGTTTTCATTGTCGCTGAACGGAGACGGCTCAAGAACGATCTTCTCCAGAAGCTCGATCAGCTCGCCGGGCAAGTCAGCCTGGAGGAAGGAGGCTACGGCAACAGAGACCTTGTCGGGTTCTGTGGACTCTGGGACGGCTGTCGAAATGACTTGGTCGACCACAGAGCGGCGGTGAATGTTGTTGTGGCTAAGCACAAATGACCACAACTCACGGTCAGCTCTCTCAAGGATATAGCGAGATTGCGCCTTGAACATGGAGTTCTCGTTCGTAATATTGACCAGCTCAAGATCATTCTGACCCTTGCGATATGCAATGTAGGCTTTGAAAAGTAAGTTAGTGAATGCTCTGTAATGATTTCAAAAGAAATCCAGTCCAAAAAGAAGATCCGGAGGAAGGTCTGATCAGTTGAGGAAAAAAAGGATTTTACTTACCAAGATTAGGATCACGCTTCTCACAGTACTTTCCGACAGTCAAAGGATCGTAGTTATCATTCTCCTTCAGGAACTTCTCTGGATTGTTGTTGCTGTCGATGTAGATCTTAGCCAGCGCATTGTAGACTGCTTGCTGCTGGTTGCCTGCTGCTAGAGTGGCTTCTAGGAATGGCAGGAGTAGCTTCAGGCGGTTTCGAGATTCCACCTCAGCCACGAGCTCATCGATCGGGATAGAAGCAGGATTGACAGTTTGGAGAAGATTCTTGATAATAGACTCATCGCAATCCACGTCAAGCAAGCCACCAACGACGGCGGGTGTCCGAGCTGGGTTGACACGCTGAACATAAACCTCAATTGACTTGAATTGCTGGTTCTGGTAAAGGTAAAGGACCAAGTCATGAATGAAATTGAATCGATCGCAAACAATGATCAGAGGCAATTGTTCGGTCAATTTAGCCTCCTTCAAGAAGTTTTTGACCTTCTCGGGATTAAAAAAGTCTAAAGATAGATGTTAGCAGGCAAGCCCAAGAAAGTCCAAGAAAGTCCAAGAAATGGGTCGTGTAAGTCGAGCTAGGAGCTCGACTCGATCGACTCGGCCGCGGCGGCCTTGTCGATGTGCTTCTTTGTCGCCTCGTGGATTACCAGCTTTGGCCGAGTGCTAAAGGTATGATCACAAATGGAGCAGTGATGTTTCCGTGAAGCAATGTTTTTTGAGGCCCATTTATCATATCCAGGGGCTTTGACAACTCTGATGACGCCAGCAGCATTGTTGATGTGCTTTTTGGTGGCTTTGTGCTTAACCAGCTCGTTTGAATAGGTAAAGGTACTTTGGCAGATATCGCAAAAGTACTTTTTAGTGTCCCTCGTATTGGTTACGTAGATCTGTTTTTGCTGAAGACGTCTGTGCTTCATTTCGACTTCCTTGGCTACGGTTTGCTCAGGAGTAAGAGCGTCGGTCTGGCCTGGAATGTATTCGGCTATGGAGGAGTGGGTGCAACAACCATCGTACTGCACGTCTTCGCGGGCCCAAGGACCAAGGGAGGGGATGCCACGGTGCCTTTGCTGATGTCTCATAGCACAGAGCACGATAGAGAAGACAGCTTCGACAGCGAGAAATATGGCGCGGACCACAAATCGGTTCGTGGCGGTTGGGATAGGGCACCAACAGAGAAGTCCTTTGTGCACTATCATGTACCCGTCGTCTAAAGCGTGCTGGATATATCGAGGCAGATGCGTCTTGTTGTCGTAGTGATAGAATCGAGTGACTACACCACGAAGCTCACCAGTACCTGAGCCGATGTAGATTTTAGGTCCACAGCCTGGTTTCTCGAGCACAAGAAGGTAGACAGCCCAATGCTTAGTGACATCTGTCGGTAGGCTCTTAAAGTAGGCCACAGAAGGTGGAGTAGGAGATCGGACAACGTCCAAAAGACCTGGAGCAAAGACGAGGAGCGAGTCTGCCAAGATCTGCTCCACCACATCTCGAGTAGAAAGGATCATATTGAAGATTGGGTTTTGCCGTCTGGCAGGCGTGAGGGTGAGAAGACTCCAGACTTGACCGACCACGTACTCGAGGATGTTGGATGCCTTGGAAGCCATCTTGCTTGGAGCAGTCCAAGAGAGCCCAAGGAACGAGGAGCGAGCTGAGAATGGACAGTGTCCTATTTATGGCCAGTTGCGTAAGGACAAGACGTGTTGAGACACCACTGTTGACATTAGTGCTTGCACCAGTGCATATCTATGGTTGACATACCTGATTTCTGATCACTTCTTCGGAGGCTTTCGGTGCGCAACTTGGAGGAGCTGTAGTGGTGTTGTGTTGATGCGACAGCATCGATGAGGAGAAGGGGTCCTTCATGTTGTTGACATGTCCAGGTATCCAGAGGAAGGTCCGGTCCAGCCAGTCCAGGTGGGAAGGGCAGAGTAAAGAAAGGGAAACGGAAGGTGCAACTTACTAGAATCGCGGCAAATCCTCTCCACTTCAGTGAACTGGCTCATCTTGGTAGCGGCTTCGATGTACTTGAAGTTCACATCAGGATCCTCGCTGAGGTTGACGATACTTCCAAGATAATAGAAGAGACCTTCGGCCGTCTTGTATTTCTCAAAGAGATCAATCAATCGTGTGGGGCCAAGGAGATCGGAGTATTTGGTTGCAATCTGGACAACAGCACCAAGATTTTGGCGGATATTTGACTTCAGCATGGCATCGAGACAGTCTAAGGACTGCTCGAGGGACAAGCGGCCGAAGAAAGTCGTCAACCAGTCCTGAGAAAAGTTGGGTGTCGCAACAATGTTAATCATTACCCGCTTGATAGCCTCAGGGTCATCGTAGTGTTCCAATGCTCGTTGAAACAAACCAGCTTGCTCACAGAGCTGTGCAATACGTGGTCTATCATAATGCGAGAACATATCATTACCAAGAATAGCATCGGCGACTTGAGGAGCATTGATCAAGTTCATCTCCAGGAGGCGAGTCTGCAAGTGTCCTTGCTCTGGTTTGTTATCCTTGAGAGCATCAAGCAGGAATGCCGTGGCTGGTTGAACCATGCCTTGAGCCTGGAAAACATCAACCACACGCTCGATGTCAACCAATGATCCGCCTTCATTGTTTGCCAGTTGGGTTGCAAACTCTGCTCCCTTCTCGGGGTTGATTCGCACAATGTTTTGAAGCAACTGTACATAGTCTGGCTGGTATCCGGCTTGTGTGGCGTAAGGCAGGATTTTCTCAAATTGGCCTGTTTCTGCCAATGCTGCAACAACCTTTGGAGAAACGTTTGCGCGGAGATATATGCTGAGAGCAAGGTTCAAATCGTGTGGCCGAACAACATCACCTAATTCCTCTGAACAATCCAGCTTATTCTCCTTCAACCATTTCTCAAGAAGATGCTTTCGTTGCTGGGCAAGAACTGGTCTCACCAGCTCGAGAGTCTCGTGTTTGTTGAGGGTTCCCTTATCAAGAAGCATACCGAAATACTGAAGGATGACTGACAGTTGGCCGGGGACAGCTGGCAGTGACTTGAATCGTTCGATAGTTTGAGCGGTTCGAAGGAAGCCACGGGGTGAATTAGCGGCAATCTTAGCAGCCTCGCCATAGTTACCAGAGGATAAGAGTTGATCGAATTGCTGTGCATAGAGGTTGTCCGCACCAGGAAGACCAGCTCTAGATGCGAGTTTGACTGCCAAGCTGGAGTTGGCAGGGTTTTGGAGGAGATAGGGGATGATGGTGGTTTCATCAACAGCAACAGACAGCACTTGTCCCTTGCGGTTGATGCCCACAATCCCGGAAGACTCGGAGTCGGAAGCAGTAATGAAGATGGTCTCGCTCGAGATGCGATTCATGAAAATGCAGGTTCCAGTCTCCAAGTCATAAAGGTGGATGAAACCATACTTAGTGACCAGATAGATGATGCTGTACTTTTGGGAAACCTGCATAGCAACTGGAAAGTCGTTTACAGCTTCTGCGGGGAAATAAACGTCTACAGCCTTTTTCGCAAAGACGGGGTTCGACGATTGGTGGTCGACTTCCACAATGTGCAGCTTTGCGCCAGTAGCGGTTCGGACAGCAAATGTGAAGAGCTTCGTGTCTGCAGGGGAAGCTTCCAGTCGCAGTGTGCCGAAAGCAGCAGCATGTCCCTCGATAGCTTGACTGATGCCACGGTCCCGCGAATAGAGCTGCATGGCGCCAACCACTCGTCCTTGTTGCTGTGTGATCCCAATTACAACCATCCATTTTCCATCGTCGCCGACACGGTAATTGATGATTTGGCAGCCCTATGTGGAAGTTAGAAAGCCTTTGGCCTGGTCGGGAAACGGTTACTTACAACCAGGTTCTGGTTTCTCTTAAACACTTCAACTGGAGCTGGCTGGTTTGGATCAAACACATCCCAGTGATAAACAGCAGTTTCTGTTACCAAGCCTAAGCTTGTTTCGCTGAACCACTTCCAGAACACAACATCCTCATTCATGGTTGTTGACTTCAGCTTGGCCTTGGCTCCTAGATCGAAGATCTGAAGTGTTCTCTGTTGTGCCTTCAACGCAATAACCTGTTTTGTCCAGTGCATAATAGCACTGTCTGCTTTGATCGGTCTGCGCATGACATTATTGTTGTTTTTGAGGTCGATAATTATGACTTCGGGTTGGGCAGCGTCATTCTTCTTTTCACGCACACAAATAAAGGAATCAGATTCGAGGGTCTAACTTTAATATCAGCTATAGTTCTACAGCAGTTTGCACAAGGGCATCAACACTTACACATGAGTTGAATCCAATTGATTGTTGCTAAAAATGATACAGGTCAGCCATCCACTCGTCACGACAGTAGCCTGGGTAGCTTGGAACAGATTGTGGTTGCGGAGCCCAGGGAACGCACATCAACGTTAACGGGAGCGCTGGTCAACTGAGAGTATCTGTTAGCTATCATCTCCCGCGCGTCCAGATGGGGTCAGGATGGCGACAAACCTGGAGGAGCTCCGTGAACTTGATGGGCAAAGCCGGCGCCATCTTGAATAGCTTGTTGCGCGAGGTGCGCCCGATCACCCAGAACCGTGCACAATGTCAGAAAAAAGCGTGAAAGAAGCAGAAGATGCAGGGGAAAGAGTGGAAATCCCAATAGCTCCCGGGAAAAGAGGGAATGCCGTGGGTATCGTAGAGATGAGGAGATGCGGATGTGATGATTGCGTTGTGGATGCCAGCTTTCGTAGAACAACATCTTAGAGACGGGAGGCCCAGGCGAGATTGCGCTAACCCATAAATGAAGACCTGTGGCCTCCTGAACACGTGACACGTCGCGTATAGGGGCCACGCGAGCCACGCGGCTTAGAATAGAACAAACGAAGTATTATCTCGGTGCCTACATGGTATGTAACTTACAAAGGGCGACATAGTAGAGTAAATCCAATAGGACAAACTCCAAATCCGGGTCAATATGGTGCGCCCATAAATGCTTAATGCCTGATCAACTGTATCCATCTGTTGCATCATTCACAAAAATTAAAGTTACATTGGGTCAATAAGCCCTAACTAAATTCTCACAGTTGATTTTGATGCTATAATGGGATTATTAAGAGTTCTCTATTACTCCTCTAAACTCTATTAAACAACTATTCTAAGTAGAACATTGTGGTCCTTTCCAATTCATATGGCATGTCATACACACCCTCAAAGGGGTCTTTTGATTGCTCGAGCACCATCTAATACCGGTTTGCTCTTTGGCCCAAAATTCTATCCACTTCTACAATCATGGCAATCAGGACCTTGTAATACTTTGCCACACCTCTTATGTGGATGATAATTTTAGACTCCGGCTATTCTAGAACTATAGGAACGCCAATCTAGAGTCTGCAAATGCTGGGTTTGGTCTTTAAGGACTCCCCTACATTAATAACCTCCAAGCACCAAGAATCAAGGCAGCGGTACCTATCGAGGACATTAGCATATACATGATATTGGAGGGGACACCCGAGCTTACCAGTGCAAACACCCATAAGCCATTGCAAAGTCTGGAACTTGACTGCTTCTAATTTCTCCCTTAGACTCGCAACTTCCTGTTCAATCTTGGTCTCTGTCTCCTTGATCTTCAACTCCTGCACATTGGCTTCTTCCCTAATCCTTCCCTTCTCGAGATTGAGATCTAATCTCACAGACGCCTGCGTCCTGCCAATCTCGTCCCGTAGTCTAGCGTTCAACTTCGCCAGATCATTCGTCAGACGTTCGTGTGAAGAGCGAGTGGTAGCTGACTCTGTAGAATCGGCAGATAGGAGCTCGGATCGAAGTTTGGCAAAGTCGACTTTCTGGGTGTATGTCGCCTTTGCTTGGTCTTCACGTAAGACCATTGTGCGGGTCAAATTTTGGATACTAGTGAGAATGTCAGTGATGTTCTTAGTACACAGAGACTGGAGGGGAGATAGACCTTTCTTCAATGACATCGCTGAGCACTTTCATCATCGCTACGGCTTGCGCCTCTGTAAAGCCATCTTCCTTCAGACGTTGCACGAATTTGAGGGTATCGAAGTGATGATCCCTCGCTCGACGGCTTGAGGCATGGAAAGCTTTATGGTGCGATGGGCCGGATAGTATGCTCGCCCTCGGCCGACAGGGCTCATTGATTCTTCGCTGGGCAATGGCCCTATTAGAGTAGTTGCCAAAAGATCTTGGAGGGGCATCATAGCTAGATGCGGTTGAATATAGCGCCCGAATTGTATGATTGGCACTGGAGGCCGGCTGCCAGCTTAATTTTGGAAGAAGGAATCGCGGAAGAGCTTGCGCAGAGTTCAGGCCCAAATGAGCCATGTTGAAAGAATTCCCACGGTTGTGGTGGGCTATTTAGAGTTGGATGCGATGTTTGATTTGGTTCCCACTCCGGGTCGGAAAGAGGCGACCGCACGCGACTTGAGTCACTGACGTCCAGCAGCTCGGTTGAGAGCCCACTTCACTTTTGAGCGTCTTTCTTTTACATTTGTCCAAATTTCAGCCAACATCCAAACGCTCCTGCGCGCGCATTCCTCGACGATATCCAGAGTCCTTGAAGACTATACTCTCGAATCTACCTAGCACAGAAATTCTGAGCTTAAGTAGTCCATCGCTAGCCAGGTCCCTGGATCTCCAGAAAACTTCGAAAACCTACCCCGCCACCAAAAGAAACCACCATCTCACGACCACCCAACATGGCGGCGAACGGTGACGGTGATAGATACGGGAATGACATAGACTCCGACTCCGACTCTGGTCCCGGCTCTCCAGGTCTCGATCCACAAAATGACGTTGACGATGTTGAGGAAATGGAGGAGAAGCCCGTTAAGTCGGCGCTGAAGAAGTCTGCACCAGAGGAGACTGTGCCAGCAATCATTCGACCGACTCTGCCGCCTCAAACAGAGCCCAAGGATCTGGATGTTAAGTCGTTGACGCCTCTGACGCCCGAGATTATCGCACGGCAAGCTACCATTAACATTGGGACTATTGGGCATGTCGCGCACGGAAAGTCGACAGTTGTGAAAGCGATATCAGGAGTACAGACAGTTCGGTTCAAGAATGAATTGGAGCGGAATATTACCATCAAATTGGGCTATGCCAACGCCAAGATTTACAAATGCGACAATGAAGAGTGTCCGAGACCGGGTTGCTTTAGAAGTTACAAGAGTGAGAAGGAGGTCGACCCTCCTTGTGAGCGGGAAGGATGCAGTGGCACATACCGATTGCTCAGACATGTTTCGTATGTATTTTGCTGGACACTGCTGAAATACAAAGGCTAATTTAAGCAGATTCGTCGATTGCCCTGGTCACGATATTCTCATGAGCACTATGTTGTCAGGTGCAGCGGTCATGGATGCCGCTCTCCTTCTCATTGCTGGCAACGAAATTTGCCCGCAGCCGCAAACCTCCGAGCATCTCGCAGCCATCGAAATCATGAAACTGAACAAGATTATCATTCTCCAGAATAAGGTCGATCTGATGAAGGAAGAGAGCGCCAACCAGCACTACCAGTCAATATTAAAATTCATCCGAGGAACTGTTGCTGGGGGAGCACCCATTATCCCAATCTCTGCCCAGCTGAAGTTCAACATCGATGCTATCAACGAAGCAATTGTCAACACCATTCCTGTTCCCCCCCGCGACTTCTCTATGGACCCCCAGATGATCGTCATTCGATCATTCGATGTCAACAAGCCGGGTGCCGAAATCGAAGAGCTCAAGGGAGGTGTTGCTGGTGGAAGTATCCTCCACGGTGTTTTGAAGCTTGGTGACGAGATTGAGATCCGACCCGGAATTGTCACTCGTGATGAAAAGGGAGCTATCCAGTGCACGCCAATTTTCAGCCGAATCGTTACTCTGAACTCGGAGAACAATGACCTCAAATATGCAGTTCCAGGCGGACTTATTGGTGTCGGAACACGCATCGACCCAACTCTTTGCCGTGCTGATCGTCTTGTTGGTTTCGTCCTTGGTCTCAAGGGCCGCCTGCCAGATATCTATACGGAGATTGAGGTCAACTACTTCCTTCTCCGAAGACTTTTGGGCGTCAAGACTGCGGATGGAAAGCAGGCGAAGGTCGCCAAGCTAGCTAAGAACGAAGTTTTGATGGTAAACATCGGTAAGTAGACAAAAGTTGCAATAGTGCCCAAGAACGAGGCTAATTCCGACCTAGGATCGACCGCAACGGGCGCCAAGGTTGTTGCCGTGAAGGCAGACGCTGCGAAGTTGGTTTTGACAAGTCCTGCTTGCACGAATATTGGCGAGAAGGTTGCATTGAGTCGTCGTATTGAGAAGCATTGGCGTCTGATGTAAGTTGCCTCCAGGGTTACTCCTATTCCCCTTTCTTGCATCTGCTCTACGACCACTTCCTTCCCAGCCAAAAACTAACGCGACATCTCTCTAGTGGTTGGGCCAATATCCTGTCTGGTGTTACCCTCGAGCCCACCAATGCTTAAAATGCGAATACTCCCAAGGGAAAGTCTGCAGCATTGGGTCATGTATTTCATGGTCCTCCGGTTCAGTGATCTTGGCTTATTGCATACTGTAGGAGTTTGATAGATTGGGCGAAAAAGTTAGCTCCTATAAAATGAAGAGCCCATAGCGCAGGATGATGATTCCTATCATAGCTTCTGAAACTAGTTAGGTATGTAGTTGAATCTGAGCACGTGTGATATGTTACTTTTCAGTGTGGGTAAAGTGTGAGATGTGTCGCAGCCTGGTTCGTCATAGTCATGCCCAGTACACTACTCGGCGGAATGGACCGCGTGCGCAGAGAGTAAGAAACAGATTGTTGCCTAGATACCTAAATCGTACCGGCTGACTACCAGCGGTGAGATCTCAATGTGACATATATTTATCTCCTTAATGCCAGAGAAATTCTGTGGCACCGTATAGCAGCTACGTCGTCTTTCCATCAGCAAATAGACTTTTTTTATGTCACCATCCATTGCAGAGTGCGGTGCTACAACACCAAGAACAAACTTCTTAGTACTACCCTACCCAACGGCTTCTCCGTGAAAATAGAGACATATTCTTAGCAAATCGTGTTACCTGGTTTCTTCCACACTAGCAGTCTCAGCAATTGACCACCCTGACGGCCGCGTGCGCATACTATTGCTCATACGTACAGTAAGTTCTTACCACATACCTACAGTATCTCAAAACGTGGAAGACAGTCGGCGTTCATCAGAGTCCGATCCCTGCAGGGCAAAAGTCCGTCATGAACACCGATTAATAGCGCCACTCGGATATAAGAAGAGGCTAACCCGAATAGCTAACCCATAAACGGGGAGTACTCGGATACAAGAAGAGGCTAACTCGAATAGTTAACCCATAAACGGGAAGTACTCAGATATAAGACGAGGCTACGAGTACTCGTAACTTGAAGAAAGAGAGTCGGGGCGGACTTGGTACGGAGTAAGCAAACCGAAATAGACCCTGTACGGAGGTACGAGTACGCAATACTGGCAATATACTAGCAATACAGCCTAGTGTAGCGAGTGAGTCAAAGTTCAAACGCAAAGCCCCCTTTACTTTACGAGTGCGTATACTGCAGCCTCAGGGAAGCCCATCCTAGTACGGAGGTAGTCGCCAACGGATAGTGCTTCGTACTTCCTGGTGGAATCCGTGCCACTGGAATTTGGGGCCCCAGAGCCTTCTCTCTCCTCCGCCGCGTTCGGACGAACAGCGTTAAACGCCCTCCTATGGTTCCTGTACGGTTCTACCACGCCTCTCCAGATCCAAGATTTGCCGTGGCTATTGGCTGCCCTTACGGAGACTTCTTGGTAGAAAACATCCTTTTGGGGGTTAAGCCGCTGGACGCCTTCAGCACCTTCGCCCGATATCCGCCGAGTAAAGGTTAAAGGCAGATAATTAAAGCGCCAACCATGGCGCAAAACGGGGGAAAGACTGCCCGGCGCAAGCCCAAATTCGCAAACGCGTACTGTACGAAGTAGTCATTGACCATCGTTTACTTCGTAATGACGAGATAACCCGGAGCTGGAATGTCCCTCGTGGAGCTGCCAGAAAAAACATACAAAGATCCGGCCTTTTCCCCAAGCTCCCTTTCAGCCCAAGGCATCTTCTCCATTGCTCGTTACGACCCGATCCACTTCCCCCTTATTATTCCTCGTCTTCTCCAGCGTCTAGCCCTAGGTTGATCGGAAATATAGTTCTACCTCCGTCGATAGATCCTTGTATATCCGGTGCTCCATTCTTGGCCTACCCCTGCTGCGGGCCGTCAGCAAATATAGGAGACAACAAATAAGAACAACTTGGGGCAAATAACAAGGGTAAATAAGGCTCCATCTAGCATCTGTTCGTCCCAAGCCTTCCCAACCTGCAAGCCAGGCCTTGTCGGTCTCATCGTCGCTGAGATAACTACCAGGTACACCTTGCGCTTTACCATAGCGCCGAACACCGAACCAAAACAAAAAAGGAAATAACTATTCATCCAGTACATAAGGGTCGAGAGCCGCCACTACTGATACACATTGTGATTATCTATCAGTCGTTTGTCCCTTCGAGAACTCCGTAGCCTGACACCCAACCATCCTCGTCCAAAGTTGCGAACCAGGTCAGATCGACAACAAGATACTCGGTTACAACAGGATATAATGGCCGTCGCCGACGAGAAGTCCGTAGGCAGCTCGACCCTCAAAAGCGGAACGCCCAGTATGGATGAGAAACATGCACACAGCGAGGGTGAACCCTCTGTCCACCAAGGCTCAACCGGCTCACCCGCACACTCTGTCCGGGATCTCAACAACGAACAGGCCCAGCCAGACCTGGAACAGGTCGCCTCGAGGAAATCTGGCAAAGAGCTACAGGCCGAGTTATCGAGAATCATGACCAGTGGTGAAGGCGTCGAATATCCCACTGGCATGAAGTTGGGCCTGATCTCCTTGGCTCTCTGTTTGTCCGTGTTTCTGAGTAAGCTTTTTTATTTATTTATCCCTACGTCTCCACCACGAATTGCACTAACAAGAGCTTGTATAGTGGCCCTGGACAACACTATCATCGCCACTGCTATCCCCAAGATCACGGATCAATTCCAGAGTCTGCCCGATGTAGGAGTAAGTTAAAACATTCATTAAGGCCATGAGGACTTGTTATATTCATGTCATCTGAGTTCTAACATTTATTTAGTGGTATGGCAGCGCATATCTTCTCACAACGGCATCCTTTCAGTTGCTTTTTGGAAAGTTCTACACCTACTTCTCGATTAAATGGGTTTACCTCATCGCCATTGGGATCTTCGAACTCGGTAGCTTGATCTGCGGAGTAGCACCCAACTCGACTGCTTTGATTCTTGGCCGTGCTGTGGCAGGTATTGGTTCCGCAGGCATCTTTTCTGGAGCTTTGATTATCGTGGCGTACTCGGTCCCTTTGGTTAAGCGGCCCATGTACACCGGATTCATTGGAGCAATGTATGGTATTGCGTCCGTTGCAGGCCCGCTCCTCGGCGGTGTCTTCACGGATAAAGCAACCTGGAGGGTATGTTGCGTCTTATGATCACACTGGTCCTTGGTCTTGGCTAATCATTATTAGTGGTGTTTCTTCATCAATCTTCCCATCGGAGCCATTACGGTCGTCGCCATCATGATCTTCTTCAAGAATCCTGAGCGGGCAGCCGTCGCAGATCTCGGATGGAAGGCCCGGGTCCAGGAGTTCGATCTTTACGGTACCCTCGCCTTCATCCCATCGATCGTGTGCCTCCTATTAGCACTCCAATGGGGCGGAACCAAGTATCCCTGGAAGGACGGGAAGATCATCGCCCTCTTTGTGATCTTTGCCGTTTTGGCTATCGCTTTCGTTTCCATTCAATTTTGGAAGCAAGATTCAGCAACTGTCCCTCCCAGGATCATGAAGAAGCGTTCCATGTGGGCCGCGGCCTGGTTTGCCTTTACTCTTGGATCCTGCTTCCTCTTGCTCGTATACTATCTTCCCATCTGGTTCCAAGCCGTGAAGGGAGCTAGTGCCGTGAAATCAGGCATTATGAACTTGCCCCTTATCTTGACGCTTGTCATTGTCAGTATTCTTAGTGGTGCCGGAGTCACTGTACTTGGATATTGTAAGTTTGGTATATTTATAATCTTGAACGGGGACTAATTTCCACTAGATGCTCCTTTGATGATCGCCTCTACCATTCTTGTATCAGTCGGTGTAGGATTGCTTTATACCTTGACCCCAGAATCTTCGCATTCATATTGGATTGGTATGTGCACACTTCAGACTATGCCCCTTTTGTCAGGAAACTAACGATATTATTTGCTAGGTTACCAAGCTATTACAGGTATCGGAATTGGAATGGGGATGCAACAGCCTCTCATTGCGGTCCAAACCGTGTTAGACATCTCCGAAGTGCCCATCGCTACCTCAGTGGTTCGTAAACCCCTCCCCATAACCAAAAACCCAAACCCTTTACCATAACTGCCCAAAATTATCTTCGACGTTCCTCAACTAACCAACCAACAGATCATCTTTGCCCAGACCTTAGGTGGAGCTTTATTCGTCTCTGCCGGCCAGAACGTCTTCACCAACAAACTTGCCGAAAACCTAGCCAAATACGCCCCTACACTCGACCCCAAAATCGTCCTCGTCACTGGCGCCACCTCGATCCAGAGTGCTATCGACAAGTCTTATCTCCCGGGCGTCACACTATCATACAACAATGCCCTCACACAAGCCTTCCTTGTCGCTACCGTCATGGCCTGTATGACCATCGTCGGCAGCGCAGCCATCGAGTGGAAGAGCGTCAAGGGGAAGAAGATCGAGATGGCGGCATAAATCCCCTCCATCGAGATGATTCTTTTGTACGTCTTATTTGGATCAGCGACTCATCAATGTTCGCATCGTTGTATTGCATAGCATTTGTATCCTCGCATATACCCCGGCGTTTTATTTCCGGTTTCTGCTTTTTGGGGACATCAAAAAGAAAACGGCACACACACACACAAACACAACCACCTTCTCTCAACTCTCGAATATTCCCTTTTAATCCTGTATACCTACGCGACTAGACTTTTTTTTCAAGAAGTCGACGAAACCGAAAATGAAACACATCTCACGCTTTTCTTTATAGTGTACCTAATTTCTCGCATGGGCTGGATATGCATGGTTGGTCTTTTTTTGGTAGAGAACTACTCCACTACACGGGGAAACATGAGGGATAATAGAATGGAGTGAATGGGAAATAAATAGAAGCAAAAAGTAATAACTTTAACTTGAATGTCCCTGGTGTGAAGGTGCTATTGCTTTGGTATTATCACTCCACAGTCCATACGCAGTGCCTTAATCACAGCGATGAGGAATACTCTCAGTGCTAGAGTTATGTAGTTTCAAAAGCCAAGTGGGAATAATCAATAATTGCTGAAGCCGGATGTTGTGGTAAAGGGACCGTCGATGAGTCGGTTAGAGGTGGAAGGCGGTTTATTGGACGGGCAGTTGTTTGTTTATAGAGTCAGGTAAGGACGCAGTCTTTTGGATCCCAATCAATTAACGGAACCAGGCGGGGATGGTGGCTTAGCTCCTTATATATTGGGCTCTCAGTTGTCATATCGCCAGAGGGTAATCGTTCCACAATCCCAGATACACCACTAGCAATAAAGTCCCCTTTTGAATCCCGTACACAATGTTCGACTTGGGAGGTATCCTCGCTAGTCGTGATGTCTATGTTCTGAGAAATACTTATAGACCACTTGATAACGTTTTGATGCTCACCTCTCTTATACCAGAGGGTGCTCGACCGCTTTCGATACCATCCTCTATCAAGATTTTCCCATCTCGATTACCAAATAGCCACAGTGATATGTTGGTTATACGGGCCAGTAGATTTGAATTCCACTGTAGCAACATTATCCTTGGCGACCAACTCGGGATATCCAACGGAAGCACATGATCGGGAGGAGGCAGGCGTAGACGCACAGTTCAGAAGGGGCTATCGCATATTATTGATACAAAAGATGGATTCTGTTATACTTCTTGGCCTGAAGAATTAAAATGAATGAAGAAGGTTCTGAGTAGGAAGTGAGGTGCCTCGCACTTATATCAACCCCTGGTTACAATATAGGTGGTACCTCTAAGCGCCGGCAAGAGCCGTTGGCGGGGCGGCAACCTTGCACTCCACGTTGCCACTGCAGTAGCGGAGAATGTTTAACTGCTCCTCAGAGTTTATAGATTTAAAAATATGTTGGATGAAGTTATTTCATACCACCGGTCCGCAACTATGTCTGGTGGGTGGGTTAATGGAGCTGGGGGCTGATTGAAAATTGGTTTTGTATATCTTGGGGAGTTCCTTGTCTTTATTTATAGATTATAAAACCATGTGCTCGTATGAGAAAGGTATTCTAGGAAATAAAAGATTTGGAAGAAAGAAGATAGTAGTAATTGGAAGAGTTAAGTTGGCGACTTTGGTAGAGATCAACGAAGCAGATCGTACGGGCCAACCTGAAATTTAAACTTCGAGCTCACCAACCTTACCCGGAACATACCTCTAAGTCGCGGCATTTTCAAGCTTCCCAAAACATGCTGCCGGATTCATGTATGACAACCTGATTCTTGTAGCCACCTTTCTATTAACTAATTAGTATGTCTACATCAATCATATCATCCTGTTCCGTCCCTTTCAATCATAGACTTCTTCTGGTTCGGTCCATCAACCATCATCAAGCCATTCCATCCTCATTACTTGAGATAAAATTGAAGCCGTCCATAAAAAAAACAAAAAACCAGCTTTAAAAGTAAGAAAGAATGGTATCATCGCTATATGAGAACGAGAAAGGACACCCCGCGCAATGCTACCAACCCCTTTCCAAGTAAAACAAATGAAAGCAATGTTGTTGAGCAACCAGGTATGGTCTTCTAGAATGCGTCTTCAAACGGGCAATCAATGCTATCATGTCCCTCCCTCTCACAGATTCCACACCATTTGTCCATATTCACAACCCCGCTTTCCTTGCCAGCAACAGGGCCGGACTCCATGGGATTCGGAATGATTCGGACGGGAGTTGCGTGCGAAGGACCATGTGATTTCTTTAATGGTGATAGTGGAGCGGGTTGGTATTCATCGGCTGGGGGGGGCTTCAGTGCTTCCTTGGCAATATCCTTGCCCGTTCGCTGGTGGGCAGCAGAAGCGTCTTGGGCGTGGTTACCGCTGCCATTTTGGCCGTTAGAGCTAAACATGTTTGTGCAGGTGAGGATATCGTGACCCGAGGTCTCACAGAGCTCACAGAAACTCTCATTAGTGGATGAGTATGCATCGCTTTCTGGCATAGTCTCCAGTGTATTGCCACGTCTGTGGCTTTCAGGGGACCGGGGTAACTCTCGCTCCCGCCAACTTCCAACCGTCCCCTTCGAGTCTCGAGCAGATGAGTGATCTTGGGTCACGGTTCCTGAACTTCCAATAGTCATAGCACTGGCGCGCTGAGTGGTTGCAGTGCTGGCGCTGCCTCTGCGAATTCGCTCAAGCTCACGCTCAAGCTCCTCTTCTCTATTATTCTTTGTTTCGACAACGACACGAAGGTCGTTGAGCTCTCGCTCAAGTTTCTCTCGAGCTAGCTTGTCGTCCATAGAGTCGACTCCATTGCTCCCCTTGCTACCCTGTCGAAGTCGAGTAAAGCTACCTTGGCGTTGAGTTGGTGTTTTCTGGAGGTCTGGATTCGAAGTCGTAGTATCTGGAACTGCATCCCTGCTCAAAGAGTGTATGATGGCTTTCAAGCCCCGAATTTCATCATCTCGCTGTTCCACTTCCTTTGACAGGGACCCGGATTCGCCGTTCACGACCCCCCCGTTCAATGCAGCAGCAGCCTTTTCACGCTCGCGACGTAACTCTGATCTCGTGCGCTCAACCTCGCCGCGTAAGAATTCCACTTCTCCTCTAGCTTCAGCCTCTCCTCGTCTTGCATCTTCCAGCCCTTCTTCTAATTCCTGAACCAGCTCTTCCAGTTGCTTGAGCTGCCGTGCAACACTATCCACATCCTCGCTACGTTCCTGTAATTCTCTCACTTCTTGTATCAAGTCCTCAACTCGCTTCTCATACACTCTCTCAGTCTCGGTGCTAGCCAACTCAAGGGTGTCAATAGTGCTCCTAAAATCAGCTCGATGGGCATCAAATTCTGCCGTCAGCATTGCAATCTTTTCGTTCTTTTCCCGCATCATCGCACGCAGCTGCCCAGCATCCTTATCCTCTAGACTGCCTCTATGATGTCTGCTAGGTAAATCTGCGGCTCCCATTAACGATTGCACTTCAGCCAGACTGTTTTCCATTTCTGCCAAGCTCGCTGCTTGCTCTTTTAGTTGTCTATCACGCTCTTCTAACTGTCCTCGTAACCGGTCGGCCTCATCATCGTTCATCCGGGACGCTGCTCGGGATGCCGCCCGCGACGCCGGCCGAATTTTTGCGTTGAATGAGGATACAGAGCCGATGCTTGCATTGGTGGCCGTACGTGCCACTCCAATAGGCGTCGTGTCATCGTCGCTATAATTTGACTTAACCTGTCCCAGGGCAGAAGTACTTCGAGGGCCCATGGTTGCGTGCATTCCCGTTCGGGGCGTATATCCTATTCTCTTGCTCGGATCACCAGAGTCTTTCGTCCCCCTCACGCTCTGCCCAAACTTTCCAGGAGCCGGGCTAGCATATCTTGCAGGTGCTTTTGCCGTTGGCGTCCCGATGGATGGTCTCCCGGCCCCAATCATTGGCCTCCGCAAAGGCGACTCGGGGCGGGGCAGAGATGGCCGTGACTTCTTAAACTGAGGACTTGGTGCTCTAGCGGGCCCAACTGACTGACTGAATTTTGGTAGTGAAGGAGTTGGCGGGGTATACGCATTCGATCCCTGGCCTGCTACCCTGAAACTGCCGCCAGCCGATGGAGTCGAAGGCGTGAGAGGGAAAGAGCCCTCCCCCGAGGACTGGGACTCACGCCTGGTAGCTCTATTTACCGGGAGAAAGATACCGGAACCAGGAATAGAGGTTGTAAAGTAAGATACGCTGTGTGACTTGTCAGCCTACATTCTCGTCTCCAGCCAGCGTAGACAATCGCCGTTTGTGTTTCTTACCCATCAACATCGCCATTATTCTTCCCGCGCGCTGCAAACTCCTCGCTCAGCTCGACGCCTGCAAACACGCCCTTTTTGCCTTGTACGCTGCCTATAAATCTGACCGACCCATACATGTTTCCAGGCACATCGACCGTGTCGTTCACCTCGAGGCTATTGTCATTGCCTTCGCCTCCACGCCACGGCGTCGGAGGGCCCATCGTGTTCGCCATGTGGGAGTTGGAATTCGAATTCTCATCCAGCACGGTGCTTAGAGGGTATGCTTTGCTAGCATCAGGGATGGCGGCGAGGGAGCCGGAGGTGAGGGTACTCAGGGACGACTTGCGCGGAAGCGCGTTTGTCTTGTGACCGTTGGCGGCGGATACTAGCAGCTGACCGGTGTAGGAGGCGCCAAGGTTAGGGCTCGAAGCGGTATTGATATTGAAGGCGTTAGTTATAGAAGGTCGTGGTCGGGCGAGGGTCCGTCTGGGTGTGAAGGTCGACATTGAGCTGTTTCGCCTTGCTCGGCCTGGTCGCGTTTATTATTATTTGCCTTCGGGCCCTCCCAGGTCTTAGCAGCTGGTCTAAGGAGCCCCAAGGTCGGTCAACCCCTGGCCTGGTCGCAAAGGGCAATCGACGGCGCCTTTTGACGAGAGCAATTTCGGTGCAATTGTGCAGAATACTGGGAAAGAGGATTCCTGCTATTGAAACTAATCGTAAATAAAGGAAGCACAAAGCGAGCGTGAGGCTTGGGGACGACGAAATCAACCGCCCTCCCACTGTGATCCCCCCTTGCATCCTCCTTGCGCTTCAAGGGACGAGCAATAGCAATGCTGGCCCAATCGGAGGAAACTGTCAGCCTCCCAGTGCGTTCACTGCGCTGGCAGGCATCTTTATTATTTTTCAATTGTTTGTTTGTTTGTTTGGTTCTGCATCTGTAATCTCTCATTCTCCACTCTACTGTCGATTGTTATACTATGTTTGGCTCTTGTCCAACTCTTCCATTGCTGATCCTCTGGCGTCGTCAGGGAGGAAGTGGCCCCTGGATTGTGTGGCCACCTGGCTCCATCCTGTCAGATGCAATCCCTGGGGCGCATTTACGTACTCTGTACTTCTGCCCATGTTAGACGCGTTCCAAGGTTTTCAGATTCAGAATAATCTTTGCCCTTCAGCGTCCTTGGGTCAATTGCATTTATTATCTAAGTCTGTTTGGAGAAACCGTCCGAATGTTTTGCCTAGCAACCAGCTCAAAACTGGAGAATCCCCTTCTGGTCAAGGTCGATCCTTGTGGCGGATGCACGGCTCCGCACCGACAACGTAACTTGCTTGGTGCTCCCGCACTTCTTCCAGCAAGAAAGTGGATCTGTGTATCTGGTCTGGTATTTGCAATAGATCTTGAACTAAATAATGGTTCTGTGCGGTAGGCCCATGTCATATATCGTCGTCGCGCGCCTGATTTCCTTCCCACAGAGGGCCTAGTAATAAACACCTTTGCTAGCTGTGGGAGACTACAATTTCAAATTTTATCTCTACAGCTATCTGCCTTTCAAGGAGTTGGGCTAAGTGGCCATATCAGAGAAGGCAAAATCTCATCTGAAAGCCCAAGTTAGTTATCGTTTTTCATGTAACGACCCGTGTTATATGGGGCAATCATCATCCACTATGGATGCCCTACATTGTGATAGGCATTTCTAATGATGGTGGACATGACATGATCCTCAACACCATCATTAAATCTTACCTTTAGTCGCCCCATTTCATCAGGCGGGTAGTCCTGTTCGAGCTCTTATCTATCGCTTCTCTTTAAACATAGTGGGATTGCAATACCAAGCTTTGAGTTGAAATGGTCGTCATATAGCTTGTATATCTAGTCTGCTCCCGGGGTAACATGGGACCAAGCCTAATAGAACGGGCGCTGTAGTTCAGAAAGGCTATAGGCCAACCGACTTAGGTTTGTTTTTGAAAAGGCTACGTTGTGGCAGGAACGTCTTTCTGACACCCTATGATGAGCTTCATGAGCTATATATCCAACTACTCTATTTTGCAATGGCTCTGCCAATGTCGTTTGTGCTCCTTCGCTGGGGCCGGCTTGCCAAAGACCTACCAGATTGCACTCCAATATCCGCCCTCGTATGCATCGTGCATGCATATGATGCCACACATATTTGTTTGCATGCATACAAGTTTGCTACAGCGCTCCGCTATACTTACTTAACTCCCCAAACCCCTCATCAATCTACTGCCTGACCAAAGCTGATGCCCTGGGCCTGTCAGACATCTTCAAATACTTTGACTTTGAACATTGAACGGTTGGGCTACTGATCTCATCTATCAATCTTTCAAATTACAACACTTTCGTCGCTCAATAAGCCGGATGTATTGCCGCCAAACCGCTCATCTGGTCTGCAAACATTCTTTTTAGAAGGTGTACCAGGAATAAAAACCACAATGTTCAGCTTTACATATTCTTGCCAGGCTTACGGGTGTCGCAAACCATTACGAAGTCAGAGAGAGATTCATACATACCCTAATATATATTGCGATGACTGTAAGTATAGATATCTCCCTTTGCCATTTCCTCGAGATTTGCGAGGGGGGGCCGAGAAGGTATTAATCCAAAACAAATAGATATTCGAGACTCTACGCCAGTCCGAAGCCCTGAACCTGTTCAAGTCCGTGGAGTCACTTAAGACCCCGATCCCAGTGGCAGCCCTGACCTCGAAAAGGCATCAACTCTTGTAAGAATACCCTCGCTCTATAATATACCCTTTGCTAATATCGAGTCATAGCATGCATGGCCCGCCACTGCGAGCTACACGGGCTAATCGATCCAAACAGAGCTCCAAATCAGCCATTGCCGCATTGTTATAAACGTACATAACATTCTCTTTCCTCATCTCGTATTATTTGTTAGATTTTCCCCCCTTATGTCTTTGGTTGTTGCATGGTTCTAACATAAATGTGTTGAAATATATTACAGGGAATTTATTGTAAAGTAGGTGTTTCAGCGACTTGCAGAGGATGCGATCCGGGAGTTGGATTTGGAGGAATGAATCAGATAGTCGGCTCATGAGTTATAGAGTGGCTGCTTGGGTCTTTGGGTGCTCTGTACGTTGACAACAATATCGCTTCCCTCCTTCGATGGGGTCAATATGATATAATACGAAGTAAACACATTTCTACACAGCGGACATTCAAATCAAGGCCATTACTTTTTCTTCTTATTATTTCCCATTCCCTCCTAAAGATCTCCCCTTGGTTACTATTAACCCTATGGCAACCCACCGCGTGACTCTGGACAGGTATATAGTGTCTTCAACTATAACACCTCCACCTTCGCTCTCAACTCCAGATTACCATTCGCATTTCATTCATCATTCTCACGCACACATGGTTAACGATGCTGTGTAAAGTATCGGAAGACTCGCCGTTAGAAATCGCTATTAATTTGTTTTCGTGGACATTATGACAGTTACGCCCATATTCACGCTTACATACATGCCCTTAATCATCTAATCAACTATCAAGTCGAATGTATGTTTGCCCAACTTTGAAGATCGGCAGAACTTCGTAGACTTGGCCAAGGTTCGCGTATAAAATTCCCATTGGCCAACGCGGGTCCTCACTAGCGCGCCCCACCTAAAAATTCCCTTCTTAAGCAGAATCTCTCTCCGAACCTCTTCTTTTCCTCTTCGTGCGGCGACAGGACAACAACCCGTGTTGCTCAGACATCCCCAAACCTCCCTCACAGGAGCGTTTGCGCCATGGTGTTAAGTCAAATCATTTTGAGCGTCAGTCCTGTCACAGAGAAAACTTAATTGCTACACGGCCTCTTTATTCGTTAGTTCTGCACTGTGTTCGCTCCCGCGATTTGTCTTAACGGGCTCGCGGGACGCTGGGTGTAGGGCGTTGATGGAGGGTTGGACATACCTATGTGGAATGGAGAGATGGACTCGGGGGTTTCGGAGGGAGGACATACAGGTTGGAGAGTAGTCTTCGGGCAGAAGAAATTTTTGTCGCGAGACATAATCTTTCCGAGTTGGCTAGCAGGTGCCTAAGACAATTGAAGTTTATTCTGAACAGGACCTCATTCAGCAAATTGTGATCAGATAGCTGGAAATCTTCGATTCGTACGCAAGTGAAGCTCTTTGTTTTAACTCAATAGTCCCAGGATCGCCCCGTCAGCTCTGCCAACGCCCGCCATGTATCAATTCATTTATCATGCTTAACCCTTCCTATGCACCTTTTTCCTACTCTCCAGGCTCATCTCCAATTTTCTCCAATTTCCCCAAGTCTCTCTTCTCGCCAGTCTCCCCAATGACCCTAACACGGTCTACGCGGACCCGATCGCCATCTCCATCACCATCCACGATGAACAGAACCAAGCTTGTCACATTCTGAAATTTGACAAACCGTAAAGGTAGTGTCGCAGTGCCAGTGGAATCCCAATCACTTTCCGCGATGGTAATGCTTTGCGCCGCTGGGGTATCATCTGCTTCTTCGAATCCGAGGATATGTGGGCGGTTAGGATATATTTGGATGGTTTGTGGTCGCATGGGGACATCATCGTCGTCATCTTCCGGTTTTGGTGGTAATGATGTGATCTAAAACTCCCATTAGCAGATGAACCCCATTATGCAAGACTGGGACGCATACCTGTAGAGTATGGACCTTTAGAGTGGCTTGAAATGGCATGAACATCATCAGCTGCTCATCCGTATCACTCTCAACCCAATCTTTAGCCTGGTTCTCCGGCGCCTTCCCCTTCTGCAGTCCTGACGGTTTGCTGCTATCGAACAGAACCCGCACGCTTCCAAACTCGCTGTTCGAATTTAACAGCTCTAGGCCCTTGACGTCCACCTGGTCCGAAACATCACCATATCCCTTTGGCAGATCTCCAACACGCCAGTTGCTTCCACTGTTCGAACCTCCAAAGCCCGAGGAGCTTGAACCACCTTCTGCCTCAGCAGCCAACTTCCTGACAACGGCTTGCAGTTTTTGAGGGTCTGCGCCAGTGACTTTCTCAACGACCGTGCCTTGCTTGAAGATCATGAAGGTAGGCATGGCGGTGACATTGTAGCTCGCGGCGACTTCCTTTTGCGTGTCGACGTTGACCTTGACGAACGTAATGTGATTCGGGCGAGATAGCTGTGCAGATAGCTGCTCGTATATGGGGGCTATAGCTTTGCATGGTCCGCACCAGTCCGCATAGACTACATTAAAATCAGTACAGCTTCTATAGGCTTTGAGGTCGAGTTGCCAGAATTTCGGCGGCCAAAATGGTGGTGGGGTAAGTGGGGGAGACTTACAATCTGCCACCACAATCTTTGATGACTTCAAAAGACCACTGAATTGCGCCGGGGAGGCGATCTGAACCGTCTTCGACATCTTGAGCTTGGAGTCAGTGATGAGGAGAGAGGGTAGGTTTTGATTGTTCTTGTGTTTGCTAACCCTGCAGACACTGCGGATTTTGCCGAGCTTCAGGCGGACAACGTGACGCGATGTTTACTTCGGATTCCGGAGGTGCAACCTCACTCCACATTCACCTTATCATTTATTTAGCATACATATAGAATCAAGCTGTTTAATATGTATCCTCTATAGTACTATACTACTTGTCATGTTTGATATATGGTATTTAAGTAGTATTGGTTTTCCTCCGAGGATTCTATCTAATCCGACGGCCACAAATGTAAGTAAATAAAGTAGGCGATGAGATAACCTTGTTGGTAAGATTGGCACTTATTATAACAACGCTACCAAGCAAGGTGTTTGGGAGCTTAGTAATTGATTGCTCTTTCGAATTTACAATATTAGTAGTGAAGATGAAGTGAAGTTTGCCATGGACTGGCTACCTGGATCAGTTTTTCAATCTAAGTAGAGCGGTTTGCAACAGATATACCACTTGGATTTTGGACTGTAACTTGCCTCACCTAGTAGACTCTTTATAAGTTTTTCAAACTAGCGGTTACTTTACACTCCTAGGTTTGACGGAATCAAATAGCTTATAAACACGTTGACCATTACTACCTAGTAGGTTAGCCCGGTCAAGTGCAGCATTGTCCCTACACACGCCGTGGCTGCTACCTACTAACGGTGTATCATCTTAATAATACAATTGTTTACCGACCAAACCCCCTCCCCATCCCCTTGAATATATATGACCAAATAAGCAAATATCCATTAACAAAGTACAAGGGCGTGGCACTTGGTCAAGTATGTTTCTGGTCAAATTGTACTTTCGTTATCGCCAGGGAAAGGGTGAGGCTAAGCAGAGTCTGTTCTAGAGAATAAACCTGTTATTCTGAAGTCCACGATCTGGTACCTATTGTCATGTAGTCGCGTAGGAGTATGGTGCCACGCATCTCCCCCTGGAGATTGAATAGGTTGCTTTGAAACGTTTTGTCAACGGTATTGCTATCAAAGTCATCGAAACCAAGCTTATCCGCCCCCCACTCTATGATAGCTTGTTTCCTAAATACAACTGCTAGTACGAATATCACAGTGCTTCGTCTTACTTTTTCATTATAAAAAGTAGATAACTAAAGCAGCCATTGTATAAGGGTTCCTTCTAGTTGTCCCTAGTGGAAGCTACTAGCTTCGATATTTTCTCAAGACCGTAGCGACTGTATGTAAAATCTGCGCGCTTGACAAGTCGATACAGGCGTATAGAACTACGTTGAGGAAAAGCCTTTTGTACCGCAAGAAAAATGTAAGATTAACACCAATAAACAAAATTCAGAAATGAACTTTACCTAACATTACGTTATAGTTTAATTTTTGCGGCATTGCGTTTTGATTGTTGTGGTACATGAGGCAAGTAGACTTTGGCTGTCGCTTTTCCGTGCAAGGTTCTCGAGGCTTGCTGGGTGTCTCTATATCAGAGCCATCGGACGGGCTTGCTGAACTTTGCGATTGATGAAAGTCCTCCGCGTTGTCATTTTTACACCCACTACTAAATTTTCGGCCTTTCCTAGGTCGCAATTTATATGAGGATCGGTTAAGTAATCGCAGTCTTGTCTTGAATACAGAGAATCTAGTGCCATTACTCAATTGTCTAATCAACATATTCCAAAGCCTATTATAGTCTGTATTGTCAGATTCTCTCTGTAATTGGAGGTTTGCGCATAGCTAATCGACGGTGGAATCCTTCCCTTAAAAGGGCTGAATGGATAGCGTCTTTCTTGACTCCAAAGTCTAATATAATTACTAGTTGTTGAAAAGATATTCGACAGTTTTTAGAGGACAGGCAGACGAATTCGACTAGCTCCTCGACTTGAGCTTGGGTAAGGAGGATAGGTCAGCCCTTTCTCTTTTGTAGAGCAGCTTTCTCTACCCTACAGGCACACGCTATTTGATTGACAGTATAGCCTGTATACCTACGGATCTGAGAATAGGACTAGCCTATAGTATGTAAAGGTTGGCAATCACGTCGTTGATCTCGAGTAAGGTCAGGGACTTTTATTCGACGAATAGGGGGGTGAGGGATAGGGCCCAAAGGCTCTGTAGGTGTATTCAAAATAAGCTCTAAAAACGCTGATATTTGGCACTTGGAAAAGTATAGGCTGTAGTAGTATAATTATAGCAACTCAAGGTCGACGCGTTGATTCTAGTGTTTTGGTATTGCCAGCCCCCTGCCTAATTGGGATTGGTTAAGGGGGCTAGGGGGCACCCCTACTGAGTCCTGTGTGAAACTTAACCGCTGTACCTCCGTACATAGTAGTTGAATACAGCAATGCTAGTTTGGACCTCTGAAATCGTCATTCCCACAGATGATCCACTTCCAACCCCAAGCGACCGCGGACTTTGTCAGTTTCAAGTTCACGTCTTGACCTCCAATGCCATTACTATGAGTCTATGATTGACTGAAATCCCAACAATAAACTCGTGCGGGTAACTTGATTAGCTGCTAGGAAGTGCCTGTAACTTCTCGTTATCGTAGAACGACTGCCCGCTCAAGAATTCGTCGTTGTGATTGAGATCCTCCGACATGTCGGCACCGCGCCTGAACATGCTATATCCATCCAACTTGTCCGAGGGCCTCTTTCGGAACCCGTATACTATACCCAGCACAATGGAAAGTCCCGACCAGAGGCAGAACAGTGCTAGAACCAGATACCCAGTCCCGTGTCCCGGTATCAGCGACGCGATGGTCAAGATCTTCCCCTCTCGCGAAGACGTCAAATTCGTATTCACCCATTCTGCTTCGAACCCGGATGTAACGCCGTACATGAGTTTGAGTGCATCCATGCCGTATGCGAGCATCACGGACCGTAACAATGCCTCGGAAGGAACGTAGCCTTGGTATCTCCATAGGCTGCCAAGCGGCATCTCGCTCGGCAAGTGGCTGACCTTGTAGAAGTCGGAAAATTTCGTCCTAGAAAGGATTTCCTGAGTCAAATGGCCGAAAACGCCCGCTCTAAGGCCCTTGAAGTCATGGTCAGGATCAACTCTCTCGAAGTCGCTGAAGGTTGATGTTACGCCGTCCACAGTTGCCATTCCGGCGCCCGAAGATACAACGCATCGGACACCAATGGGGGCCGCCACTTCTAAGACAGGTTCTGGATACTTGGGCATTTGATAGTCGGTTAATTTTGTTGGGTCGAAAAAGTCGCGAAGGTCGGTGATCGAGGCGTTCAGCTTGGCTGGCTGTCCACCAGGGTTTAGGACCGTAAAGTTTTCGCCTCCTCGGATCTTGAAGAAAGTGTCGTTACCGACAAGCGTCTTGTTCTCTGACATGAAGAAAGGACTTCCCATTCCTTCAATGACAGGACCAAGAGTAGAATTAAAGGCAAGGGTGTCGTTGGCTTCGTCGTAGTAGCCGCGGAACTGGAGCTGCCATAGCGCGTATTCGAACACCATTGACTGGGTGATGTCGACGGGAATGTTGTAGCCAGACGTCTCGTACGTGGCCCCTACAGTCGTTGGAGTGCTCATCCCCATTTCGGAATACGACCACATGTTGACGTTGTTAGGGGTGTTGCTGCTGTTGAAGATTTGGATCGAATAGCCTGAAGGAGTTCGGAGAGTGACAATGGGCCTTGTATTGTCACGGGGAGCGTCTACCGTTGAGAAGATGGACACGGGCTTCTCGCTCAGAACTGTGAATTCAGAGGCTGTGCGAACGATTGAGCAGTTATACTTAACCCGAAGTCCCCATGGTTTGCCTGACGCCGGTACGTCGGCCTGCGGCGCGAGGAACATGTCGGGAATGGACTCTGTCAGGGGCAGAGTATTCGGCACCTGCTCAAGGCAAGAATGTTCAGTCCTGTCAACGCCTGGAGGAGTGTATACTACTCCGAAGCCCGGAATGGTTGGGGACGATCCGATTCTCCAAGCACCTTGTAGGTCGGTAGCAGTCCCACCCACCAATCCAGCTCCTGTCGCGTTGTTGTACGTGGTCGCGTTCCGTCCCGTCACAAAAGGGTGGGCCGATGTCCTGATATGCCCATCGCCAATCTCGAAGACAAGACCGGACAGGGGGAACGCGATAAACGGGGCGACGCTTAGGAGGGTGAGCAAACACCACAGCTTGTGAAACTCGCGATGGTAGACGGCTTTCAACCACCCCGAAGGGCTGCTCCAGGTGGTGTTGGAGTGCATCAAAAGCGCGACAAGATTCGGCGCCCTCCAGAACCGCGACTGGAGCATGGCAACCTCCACGCCAGCAAGTCCATACTGCGACCACGACAAGCCAAAAACACCAATGAGGAACCAGGAGTAGTAGATCAGAGACCCTGAGAAGGTGCGGTACTTGGCAGCATCGTCGTTCTCGATGCCCAAGACGAGCCTCCCCCAGATGACGCCGTACCAAACTGTGACGATACACGGGATCAGGATCAAGACAAGGGTTCGCGCCCAATACCGCTGGAGTTGCTGTGGTTTGACTGTTCCTGTGTGGCCATTTCGTTGGATCTCATGGTCATCGGTTGCGAACTGAGGCTTCCGGTCGGAGCTCTCACTGTCTTGGAGAGGGTGTTCTTTGACGGCGTTCGTAGTGACGAGGGACGCCATGCGAAAAATGAGAGGAAGCGCTTGGCGTTGCTACGGTTTTGCCAGATGGGTGTGCACTTGTGGTCGAGGCATGGCCGTTTTCTTATAAATACGACAATCTGTGGCGGCATGCCAACTGAGGTTCAGCCCATAAGTAAAGTAATAGCACTAGCCAGGGAGCTCTCACACGTACGCAAAACTTTACCTACCGTATTCCAGCACAATTTCCCTTGCAATTACACTTCAATAGAATAAGGAACGGCGCCTCACATGGGACCCGACTTGTGCTCTTACTATGCTTATGGGCTGTACCTCCGTGCTTCGTTCGCGCCGCAAAGGACCAGGGGCCTGTCCAGGGTGTGTTGGCAAATAATATGATATCAATGATGCAAAAGGGTGCTCAGCCGCCAAAACACGGACTCTGTGTTTTCCACTCACCAGTTTTCCACGGCTCGCGCAACCAGGGTGGTCAGGGGTGAGCAAGGTGAGCTTGGCATCGATGCATAATGGTGGGAATGGACCAAGGGTTCAGTGCAAGGTACCTTCGTACTCCGTGTAAATTTGTAGAAATTCGCACATCCTATAGGGAATTGGAGCCTGGGATAGAATGTGATATTGGAACTGTACGCGCAGGCCAATTGGAGCTATATTATATAATCGACTAATTAAATAAGGTACAGCGTTGCTAACCGAATAGGATTTAGCGCTGTGTACTAGCGTGCCGGTCCAAGGGATAGATGTTTTACTAGTTCCTAGCCACAGAAATCTAAGGCCAATTTCATAATGCAAGAGTTCAGCTGAGAGTATTGTGCTGACGAGAGATTCTTGGCAATAGAAAGTGCCCCTTCTTTAGTGGTCTTCGTAGATGTATTCGGCCCACTTGCAAGTTGGTTCCATTCAAGGCTGGTTTGAATTCTGGATGCCGGCGCGAGGCGCGCCTTTTGGAACATGAAGGAGAAAGGTTTCCACCCGGGCCACTCTGTAGCGAGCTAGGTTCCGGACTTCTAGGCTCTAGACTAAACAGGTTGTGGTTTTGAGGGTGATATAGCTACTGCCTACTTTGGTTGATGGTAGTAGGCTGCTAAGATTTGCAGCTCTAGGTTCCTAGGGCAAGAGAGCACGATGATTGATGCCTCTCTGCTCTCAACTGTAGGTAAGGCAGGCTCTATAGGTGTAGGAATGGAAGAAAGAAGCATAGTGCTTATGATGTTAAATTTGAAAGAAGACTTGGCGCATAACCTTGATGGGGGCGGTCGACAGAAGACTGTATGGAAGAACGTTGCTCCATGCCGAGCTCCGCTTTGGTGAATCACAAGATTGATCACGGTGACGGGCAACAGTCACATGACTGGTACTTGACAGTTTGTCGCTCTTCTTATATATATATTAAGACTACTAAAGCGAACTTCTCGCGGCTATCGCTCGCCGTCCCTCCCGATCTATGCACGGGCTTTTGCACAGATTAACCCAGGGCCCAGGCACAGCTCTATTGTCTTTGGCAGAACCCGGGCATACTCGTAGGCCCACCCGCTTATGACAGTTAACCCGACCCTGATGAGCCTCAAATGCACACATTTTCCCGACCGGCTGTCTTTTTCGCGTCTTGTACTTCGGAGGGGCAGTACCGGGACTACTATGCGAAGTCTGAGTTTTCGATCTACCCCCAAACCGCAACCACCTCAATTCTAGATTCACATAGTACCAAGCACCGGCGCTATTAGCGAACATGCCTCTTGCCGTGTCTATGCTTGCATTTGACCCTGTCAGAGAAGATGGGCGCAACCTACGAACGTACTGTGAGTACCTAGGTGCTGTATGCCGTACTTGCAATCAAAAACTGGCCTAAAGAGGGCCTCGGGGATACAGCGGATTTCCAATCGTGATACCCCGTTAGCCTCGAGAGGGTCTTGTGAATTTTGGCTATGTCCGTGGTCTTGAAATTCAGCAGCAATTGATTCTAGATTGCCTCCGCACATATCTCAGAGACGTCGACCACAACAACCGCATATTCGATAGCCTACTTCAACATGGACAACCAAGGACAGACCACGTCACAAAGCGCGGGAGGTGGGAGCAGCATAGAAAGCTTCAATCGCATTGACACTCATGCACACTTCCTACCAGACTTCTACCGCGACGCTCTCCTCGACGCGGGTATCACAAAGCCAGATGGCATGCTTGCCATCCCGCCCTGGAACGAAGAGGACCATGTTGACTTCATGGACGCCAGTCGAATCAGCAAGTCCTACCTCAGTATCAGCACCCCGGGAGTGTATTTCGGGGACATTGACAAGGCAAAGAAACCTGCCAGAAAAGTCAACGAGCACGCCGCGGATGTAGCCAGCAAAAACAACAGATCAGTCACGTCACTTGCCTCTTCTCTCGACTGCACAGAAGACGTCTACCCGGAAGTCTCTCCCAATAAAACACGACCTGATTGGGCAGTACTTTCTGCGCTTGTCAAAATTTGGGATCCGCCTGTCATGCCGTGATAGCTTATGGATGGATATTGTAGCAGGAGAAGAGATGTCCATCGGGGCCCGCGTGCTCTATGCTGCTATTTACACTATTATACGTTATCACTCGACTCGGTGGTCTACTACTACAGAGACACTTGCCATGAGTCGATTCAGGACATGACATGCATAAAGAATCGAGTATAGCTCGATAGACCAACTCAAATATATATAGTTTCTAGTTACATATATGCCGCTCTTGGTGGATGTACAGTACAAGGCCTAGCGCAAAGAAGCCGCCGTCTCAGGTTACCAGAGCAATGGTCGCATTCCGAGCTTCGAGCGGGCGGGGTGGTCGGCGGTACGGTATATCCAGTCCCTTCGAAGCCGACCGAGAGAGGGAAGGGGGTATAGACCACTCACCCCTTCTCATCCAGGACGAGACCGTTGTTGCTCATCGGTAAATGTGGGCTTGTCAAAGTGCAAGAGCTGCCATCACCACTGCCTGTGCAACACGGATGAACTCGCCTTCCGCGTTGCGTGTAAGTAGAAAAAGACCCACAAGACATACCTCCAGCGTGTAGACGCCGGTAAAGAGCTGTTGAAGTGCCCTGCTGTACATGAGGCCGCTGGTATCCACCAAGACCTCCAGAACGTAGAGAGGAGTACCGGTAGACGACCTAGAACAAGACAAAGGTCACGACGCCGAGTGCCAGAATGAGGGGCCATCTTCCAAGATGCGGACATAATTTTCCATCTGGTAATAGGCACTCCTCATATATATTGTTGCCTTTCCGGCCCCCAGTTGCTCTGCAAAAGCAAGGCAGCCGCCGGTTTTCTAGTTTCCGGCAATAGATTTCTACATGCTTGCACATAACCCGTAGGCCTTTATAATGTTTAGCTACTTCTCAGACCAGATTTTCTTCTTTTTAAGGAACATGCCGTTGGGGTGCCACTTGCGATACACAAGCCCTGGTGCCTACACTGCTGCCCCTTCAGCCTCTGTTGCTTCGCGGAAAGAAGGCAACCGCTGAGACACCAGGATCTGTTTGAGGGATTTTGAATCAAGTGTCTACTTGAAATTAAAAACCTGACTGGTCAGAGCAGTACAGGCGTTCTGACCAGCCGGTACTTCCCACGCTCTGACTTCGGTTTGTTCCCTTCAATATGTATCATACCCTCCTTTGCGAAGTGCGTACGACTCCTGATAACGTGTACTTAGCCAAGATGGAGCTCTCCTTTCTCAGCCAGGACGTCTCTGTCCCGTGGCCACCCTTGAACACATAAAAGAGAGCATTCACGTTACATTCAAAATGGCTAAGGAAGTATCTAGTACTACCTGAAACTAAGATAATGCAATACGCGATGCCACGGTTCCCATTTTCGCATGCCCATACCCTCCCCCCCATTCAACCCCATCAGACTCAATCCCCCCTGTCGCGCAGTCATATGGGGCAACCATACCGCCCTGATGGTTCCCAGTTCCCCACGACGTCTCCGTATATGGCATCCCAAGCGATGATCCACAGCCTTGCTCACCCGCACCCCTTCCTGGCCAATCCAGCCCATCAGTTCCACTCGCCTCATGCATTCCTCCTCCCAACCTCCTCGATGGCTTAGGGCCCATCCACTGCCGATAGCCCCAGCTCCGCCGGGGGGGTCGGGCACGGAGTTTCCCATGCCCTCTGGCGCATTATTCGGCCATTCTGATACGAAGATATGAAGGCAGCGTCGCCGAACGGTGACCGGCTTCCAGGGTAAGGCGAGACATTCTCCCCAGTGCTCCGGGCCGATCTCCTCAGGAATGATGATTGGACCGTTAAACGCTTGGACCCCTGAAATCGTGCAGAAGTACGGGGTATGTGCTGCGGAAGGCGTTCCGACGAAGGACGAGACGAGGTACGACGAAGTACGCGTGTATATACATGTACATATATACTCGGGGACGGAGTACGAGGTACTACGTACCTTATGTACAGATACTTGCGTACGAAGTACTCCGCTTTTTCTTTTTCTTTCCTTGGTCTTGTTCCAACGACCCTATTTCATTATGACGCCTGTTGTCTGTGCGTCAAGAGCTGGTGCTTCAGACTTCGCACCGTTGTTGGCAGCAGGCTGAAAATACCAAGAAAGGCGCGAGCTCGCGTTGGTACAAAACGCATGGCCTCCCGTGGACGTCCAAACTGTTCCTTCGTCCTTGGCCTCATATGGACCTTGTCCCAGTCCCTCTATAACAACCGCCCAACGCCCTTCCCAGGCCTGCTGTGCCGAAGTGTGCCGCTCTCCACATGATGGAGCATGCTCTACATGCAAGGGAAGATGCCCAGGGCAGGCCAACTGACACACGCATTACGGAACTCATCCTCATCAACGTCATCCCATGTGGCATTGCAGGCTGCATCGTTGGATTGCGTATGTATGCCCGGACGATGACGGTGAATAAATTGGGGTTGGACGATTTGTTCGTAATGCTTGCTACGGTAGGGCAAAGCTGATGCTTGCTGTGGAAGCCTTGCTCACCAACTCTGTAGTTTTTCGGAGTAGTTGTAACGGCGCTCAATTGCTCAGGTGGGGCCTTTGGCTATGGCCGGCATTACTGGGCCATGCCTGTCAGCATAAACATTGAACGCGCAAATGAAGTATGGCTTTGACCTGCACATTCTGGCCTTTCATAGCTAATCAGTTTTAGGTTCAATATGCAACAGTGGCTTTCAGTTTTGCAACCCTAAGTTTTGCAAAGATTTCCATGGCCCTCTTCTACCTTCGTCTCAGCCCCAGCGATACCTACAGGAAGGTGATCAAGGCCGTCGCGGGTCTTTGCATGGCTTTCAGCTTCATCAGCCTCATGTTTGCCCTGTTCTTTTGCTCTCCAGTCTCAAAGGCCTGGGAAGGGGCTATGAATCCTGGAATCAAAGGAAAATGCCTTCCGTTCTATGATATTATACTGTCAGTCAGCGGCATCAATGTGTTCCTTGAAGTGGTTCTTTTTTGCTTGCCATTGCCAATGCTCTGGGGACTTCGACAGCCATTGAAAGTCCGGATCCGCGTGTTATTGCTGTTCAGCTTTGGATCCTTGTATGTGAAATCCACTCTATTTGAAGAGCCCACACTCAT